AAATGAAAAGCAGGTGGGAAATAGGCGGGGTGAGATGCAATCTTGCTGGTGTGGCTTCCTCCTCGTTCAGTTTACAGGTGTATTATTCAGCTATGGTTATTTATCAGGTGTGAACGCTCCTTAAAACTAGGCCACGTATTAAATGTTGCAGAAAGGACTAGAAACAGGAGCAGGCTCATCTAGTTCATCACAGTGACCAAATACCCCTGAGATGCTTGGAATAATAATAATAATAATAATAATAATAATAATAATAATAATTTATTATTTGTACCCGTCCCATCTGTCTGGGTTTCCCCAGCCACTCTGGGCAGCTTCCAACAAAGATTAAAAATACATTAAAATGTCACACATTAAAAGCTTCCCTAAACAGCGCTGCCTTCAGATGTCTTCTAAAAGTCTGGTAGTTGTTTTTCTCTTTGACATCTGGTGGGAGGGCGTACCACAGGGCAGGCGCCACTACCGAGAAGGCCCTCTGCCTGGTTCCCTGTAACTTGGCTTCTCGCAGGGAGGGAACCGCCAGAAGGCCCTCGGAGCTGGACCTCAGTATCCGGGCAGAATGATGGGGATGGAGATGCTCCTTCAGATATACTGGACTGAGGCCGTTTAGGGCTTTCAAGGTCAGCACCAACACTTTGAATTGTGCTCAGAAACGTACTGGGAGCCAATGTAGGTCTTTCAAGACTGGTGTTATGTGGTCTCGGTGGCCGCTCCCAGTCACCAGTCTAGCTGCCGCATTCTGGATTAGTTGTAGTTTCTGGGTCACCTTCAAAGTAGCCCCACGTGGAGCGCATGGCAGTAGTCCAAGCGGGAGATAACCAGAGCATGCGCCATTCTGGCAAGACAGTCTGTGGGCAGGGAGGGTCTCATCCTGCGTACCAGATGGAGCTGGTAAACAGCTGCCCTGGACACAGAATTGACCTGCGCCTCCATGGACAGCTGTGAGTCCAGAATGACTCCCAGGCTGCGCACCTGGTCCTTCAGGGGCACAGTTGCCCCATCCCAGGTGGACTGCCTCTGGACCTGGGGTTCCACAAGGACATCACAGAACGCTGCAGCTGGGTCAGGCCAAAGGGATCTAGTATAGGATCCTGTTCTCCCACCCAGATGCCCCAAGGGGAAACTTGAAAAGAGAACATGAGCGCAACAACACTCTGTCACTCACAGTCCCCAGCCAACTGGTATTCAGGGATATCCTCCTGACACTGGAGTTAATAATAAAGCAACCATTGATTTGCAGCTATTGATAGCCTTATCCTCTGTGAGTTTACAGTACTTATCTAATCCCCATTTTAAAGCCATTTAAAATGCTTCTGTAAGCAAATTCCAGACTTTGACTGTGAAACAAGACATCTTTTTTTTTCTTTTTTAAACTTTTATTTTCAATGCGAAATTACAGCAAAAATTACAAAAATTGAATGCAAAATAAAGCAGTACAAATAAGAAAAAAAGACAAGAAGAAAAACAAACTAAAAACAGAAACAAAAACACACATCTACAAATAAAACCCTATCATCAGTCTAATCATTACGTACATATACACATATTGACTTCCTTCCTTTGTTCTAAGACCTCGAATCTTTGCAGGTTTAAAGAAAGAGAAAAATGGTGCAAAAAGTATAAAGATAGAGGTAATCTACATTAGACACAACAATTTAGAAAGAGTAAAAATTTCGAAACAAGACATCTTCTTGTCTGTCCAGAATCTCATTTGGAACACCTTGCAGTTCTAATATTATGAGATAGAGAAAAGCACTTATTCTGCAACACAAAAAAACCAATTTAAATACTCCAGATTGCACCCAGTGTTAGTCCTCTCCAGAGTAGCAGACCCCATTAAAAACAAAGGGTGTTACTAACGTGGGTCTTTTCATTCCAATAAGCATAACTTAGTTGTATACAATCATCTTTACTAGGAGAAAGTTATTCCTCGTTTCTTTATTACAGGAAAGTACTGTATATTTTGCATATTTGGAATGCTTAAAAAAAAATCAAGATGGTTTCATTCCACTCACATTCCAAAAGAGGGATAAGCAGATAGAAGCATCAAGATAATTCACCTCTTATCTTTAAAGGCTAAAAAAGGAAAGGAAATCTCCCATATCTAGGAGAGATTTGAAGAGACTTCATTTTCAGTGTGTGGGGAGAGAGGGGAGCCCAGCAGAGGCAAAGTGTAGGCAGCAGCAAGGAGGAACACATGTTTTGTCCCACATTAGATTTCTGAAAAAAGAAATAAAAATATTTTTCTTATTGATGCTCCTGACTTACAAATATGCTTTCTATTTGACTGAAGTTGGCTGTATTGGTTTTGACAGAGTTAAGCTTGCACTTAACTCCACTGCAAGACACATTTTAATTTCCAGTTTACAATTACGTCGCAATTTATGAGAAATGTCTGCTCTTCCTAATAATCCTGGCATTGCCTCTAATCCCTCGGCAAATGACTTTACCCAATATAGCCGCCATCCCCTAAATCAATCTTCTGTTCCTATAGTTCTGGGCACCTCTCCATTTAAAGGATATTGTAGGGTTGGAAAATATTATTTTAAAGGGCAAGCAAAATATTAGTATGGCTTCCTCCTCAGTTCAGGATGCAGTGCTGGCTACCAACTTGGGTGGTTTGAAATAGGATTAGACGAATTCCTGGAGGATCAAGTTATCAGTGATGACTAGCCGTGATGGCAATGTTCTGCCTCTGCAATCAGAGGCAGGAATGCGTCTGAATATCAGTTGAAGGAAAACAGGATGCGGGTGGCGCTGTGGTCTAAACCACTGAGCCTCTTGGGTTTGCCGATCAGAAGGTCGGTGGTTCGAATCCCCGCAATGCAGTGAGCTCCCGTTGCTCGGTCCCAGCTCCTGCCTACCTAGCAGTCTGAAAGCACACCAGTGCAAGTAGATAAATAGGTACCACTCCGGCGGGAAGGTAAATGGCATTTCCGTGCACTCTGGCACTCATCACATTCCTCCATGTGCCAGTAGCGGTTTAGTAGTCCTGCTGGCCACATGACCCGGAAAGCTGTCTGTGGACAAACGCCGGCTCCCTCAGCCTGAAAGTGAGATGAGTGCCACAACCCCATAGTTGCCTTTGACTGGACTTAACCGTCCAGGGGTCCTTTACCTTTTTACCTGCCTGAAGGAAAACACAGAAGGGGAGAGGGCTGTTGTGGTTGAATCCTGAGGGTTTCCCACTGAGGCATCTCTGTGCCTACTGGGAGAAGAGGATGCTGAACTACCAGTACTTGGGCCTCTGGCCTGATCGAGCGAGAGGGATCTTCTGATGTACCCATGGAACCTCCAGGTTCAAAAGCAGTCTACCTTGATTACTAGGTTATTAGGAGCATTTGACCATGGTGTGAACAGGAAGTCAGACTAGGTGGATCAATGGCCTGATCCAAATGGACTCTATATCTATATCTATATCTATATCTATATCTATATCTAGGGACGTGGGTGGTGCTGTGGGTTAAACCACAGAGCCTAGGACTTGCCGATCAGAAGGTCGGCGGTTCAAATCCCCGCGACGGGGTGAGCTCCCGTTGCTTGGTCTCTGCACCTGCCAACCTAGCAGTTCGAAAGCATGTCAAAGTGCAAGTAGATAAATAGGTACCACTCCGGCAGGAAGGTAAACGGCGTTTCCGTGCGCTGCTCTGGTTCGCCAGAAGCGGCTTAGTCATGCTGGCCACATGACACGGAAGCTGTACGCCAGCTCCCTCGGCCAATAAGGCGAGATGAGTGCCGCAACCCCAGAGTCGTCCGCGATATTTTTATTAAATTTTCTGTTTTACAATTTAGAAAATTCATTTAAAATATCAATGACTTCCCTTCTTCTCTTTCCATGGTTCATTTTGCATAACATAAATCCCTGCATATTTTAGATAAACTAAACCATTCAGTATTCCCTTATCACATCTGTCAAAACTTATTTACACTGTTGAATTTATCTTAATGCTACCAACGTTTTCAAGCGTACACAATTCCCCCCCATATATTCAATAAACATTTTCCAATCTTCTCTAAACGAATGTTCTCCTTGTTCTCTTATTCTATATATTAAGTCCGCAAGCTGCACATATTCTATCAGTTTAAGTTGCCATTCTTCTTTAGTTGGGACCTCGCTTGTTTTCCATTTTTGGGCTAACAAAACACGGGCCGCTGTAGTGGCATACATAAAGAACCTTTCCTTATGTTCTTAAAAAATATTTGTATTCTAATAAATAATAAGTAATAAATAATAAATAAAAAGGTGTATAATGCAAGGAATGACATACAATATTAGAGAGAGAGAGAGAATGAATGAATGTATATATTCATTACTATTACATGAGCAAATTCTTGGAATAATAATAATTACAGAATATACACTTAAATACTACAGCAATGGGTAAAAGAGGTGTGGCGTTAACTGATGCCACACTCAAGATGGCGCTTCCCCATTCAAAGTAACAGGGAAAGAGCGCCCCCTCGAGGAAAGAAAGCGTCACAAACTCGTGCTCAGCTTAGCCCATAGAGGTTTCAAAAGGCTAGAGCGACACGTTTAGCTGAAACTTCCGGCAAAATGTGAGCGTAGACAGCAGTAGTTGCTCTAGCCGTTTGCATCTCTATGATGGAAGCGCGGGAAACTAGTTCCCTTGGAGATAGCGGAAGTGCTCATAAAGTCTGCGACGGAGTTTGTCACTCTAGGCCTGCTTGCTCTACGGGCTCTAGCTAAGTTTTGAGCAACACTCAAGATGGCGACACCGGGGGGGGGGCGGGAAACATGCCCTTTTAAATTATACAGCCCCTGCGGCCCCCTTCGCACCACAACTTCCCAATATTAAAAAGTACTTTCGTAACTCTCTGCGGTCTGCGTTTGCTAGGACGTATGATATGTTACCTTTTTTTAAAAGTTAAAGAGATGCATTAGTTTCGCCACACTCAAAATGGCGGCTCCTCACGGTCTTCGGCTTCCTGTACGGTTCGCCGCCGGGGACAAAAAACGAGTCCCCGAACGCCGCGCATGCGCAGAATGCCCGCTCCGCTTCCTGTTCAGTGACTAAGCTGCGGCTCTTCGGGGAAAGATGGAGGTTCCGGCGCCGTTCTCGCTGCCGCCGTTTTGGGCCGGTGGTCCCGCTCCGGGGGCGCTTTACTCACCGCCCTGCCCGGGAAACGCACCCGGGGTCCAGGCCGAGGGCGTCACCAGGACTCTGTAAGGGGGCTGGGGGGGGAGGCTGAGCGCCCCCAGTTAGGCCTCAAAGGGGGGAGAGAAAATGCGCCTGTGATGTCACCTTGCTGACGTCACACCAGGTTGCTGACGTCTCTGGGTGAGGGGTGGGCAGGAGGGAGGGTTAGGGGAGAAGAATGGCTAAATTAGACAAATTATATCTTGTTTAAATGGGCATTTACTTATTTCAGAGATGGGGGCCTCTGTGGTCCCATCCGGATGTTGCTGGACTCCAACTCCCAGCACACACCCCAAGTAATGAACAAGGGTCCAATTATATCCCGATTTCCCCATTTAGTCCATCAGCATCTAAATAAATGGACCAAATTCACAGACCATATCATGATCTGGCGGGGATGAGGGTATAGAGATATGCTGCATCTATTTTGAAGGTTTTAGGTATAGGTATTGTGACCCGGTGGGACGCGGGTGGCGCTGTGGGTTAAACCACTGAGCCTAGGACTTGCCGATCAGAAGGTCGGTGGTTCGAATCCCCACAACGGGGTGAGCTCCCGTTGCTCGGTCCCTGCTCCTGCCAACCTAGCAGTTCGAAAGCACCTCAAAGTGCAAGTAGTTAAATAGGTACTGATCTGGCGGGAAGGTAAACGGCGTTTCCGTGCGCTGCTCTGGTTCGCCAGAAGCTGCTTAGTCCTGCTGGCCACATGACCCAGAAGCTGTATGCCAGCTCTCTCAGCCAGTAAAGCGAGATGAGCGCCGCAACCCCAGAGTCGGCCACAACTGGACCTAATGGTCAGGGGTCCCTTTACCTTTACAGTGGTGTCTTGGGTTACATACGCTTCAGGTTACAGACTCCGCTAACCCAGAAATAGTGCTTCAGGTTAAGAGCTTTGCTTCAGGATGATAACAGAAATCGTGCTCCGGCGGTGTGGCGGCAGTGGGAGGCCCCATTAGCTAAAGTGGTGCTTCAGGTCAAGAACGGACCTCTGGAACGAATTAAGTACTTAACCCGAGGTACCACTGTATAGGTATTGTGAGTTACATGTGTTGTCAGTCACTTGGAGACTTTCAGGTAATAAGCAGCTAAGACGCCTAATAGAAAATAATACCCAACAAGAGGCCCTTTCTCATCTACATCAGTTCGGTATTATTTTTTAGGATGGACTTGTTAGCCCTGCCTGGGGTGGTGTGTCTGTCCCAGGGCGGCGGGGGCAGAGTGGGAAATAGGTGTTGTGTGAACAAGCAGCATTTTGTGGGGTTAGATTTGACTGCCTCAAAGGGAGACAGCACAAAATGCTAGCGCAGGAGGCTGACTTATACCATGTCAGTCCATTTAGTTCAGTGCTGTCCACACTAGCTGGCAGCAGCTCTCCAGAGTTTCAGGCAGGGGACATTCCCAGCCCTGCCTGAAGATGCCAGGAATTAAACCTGGGAACTTCTACATGCCTAGCAGATGCCCTGCCACTGATCTACAGCCCTTTCCCCCAATAAGGAGTCAAGTAGGAAGAGGCACTTGAACACGGCAGGAGATGTGGGGCTGCTTTGCCATTTCTTCCAACTCAAGTTATTCCCCGCAGAGAAGGGGGAGCTGCAAGCTGACCCTCTGATGCTTCTTGTTCCCCTCAAAGGAGCCCCATGGTGACAGGCACCTCAGTCCTGGGGGTGAAGTTCAACGGAGGGGTGATGATTGCGGCCGACATGCTGGGCTCCTATGGGTCGCTCGCCCGCTTCCGCAACATCTCCAGGATTATGAAGGTCAACGACAGCACCGTGCTGGGGGCTTCGGGCGACTATGCTGACTTCCAGTACCTCAAGCAAGTCATTGAGCAGATGGTGTAAGTCTGAAGTTCTCCAAACCAACGGCAGGGAGCAGTTTCTCCCAACAAGAGCAGATGGAGGCCTTTTAAGCCTCTAATTCACCTCCTCCAGGCTCCACCCTCTCCTGGAGAAATGTAGAACCTTAAAGAAGAAACCTGAAGACAGACACTCCTCCTCCTCCTCTGTCCCATAGCCTGCCTCCTGGTGCACCTCCTACACTGCTGGACTGACAGAGGCACCTATGAGAGTCCCAGCTCTGGCCCTGGGGGTCCGGGAGGTTATTCTGGGGGCTTCTGTCTGTCAGGCTCTGTGTCCCTCCGATATCCAGCAGCCAGCTCCGAGCCCTGAACTGTTAGTGTAATCTAAAAATAGGCTTGAAATGATTCTTGCATAGTTTTGCCTCCCAGCAGCCGGGTTTCCTTAGCAATAGACTTCTATATTAGACGTTCTCTGATAGTGGCTGTTACTCTGTCTGGATGGTTGAAGAGCAGAGAGATGGAATGATTCCGTGTATACAGTTTTACTTTGTTTTTCTTAGACCAGTAGTTGCATAAGTTGTACAGTGGTACCTCGAGTTACAAACGCTTCAGGTTGCAAACTCCTCTAAGCTGGAAGAGTTACCTCGATTACCTAGAACTTTGCCCCAGGATGAGAACGGAAATCGTGTGCCAGTGGCGCAGCAGCAGCAAGAGGCCCCATTAGCGAAAGCATATCTCTAGTTAAGAACAGTTTCAGGTTAAGAACGGACCTCCGGAACGAATTAAGTTCGTAACTAGAAGTAACTAGACTGTAATGTTAATTCTTCAGCAAATACTTTAAGTAGAACAGGAATGGATGAGGTGTTTATTCCCGCATGGGAATTCACCAACAGATGAGCTGAACAAAGAAAGAAGCGCTTGGAAGACTTTCTGGGTGACTGCAGACCGAGAAAGGAGCCCCAAATGATTGGCATAGTGCACCAACATGAACTTGGCCCGGTTCCTTAGCTGGCCCTTACGTAGTCTGCGACTGTGTGTCTGGGTTATTGCTGGATTCAGGCGTCAAAATGGGGGGTTCCCTATTCAGCCCCATGCCTGAGGTTCCCCACTCCTTGCTGTAGAGCACCAGGTGCTGCGTCTAATCTGGCTTCCGCCCTGCAGGATCGACGAGGAGCTCCTGGGAGACGGCCACAGCTACAGCCCCAAGGCCATTCACTCCTGGCTCACCCGAGCCATGTACAGCCGCCGGTCTAAGATGAACCCCCTCTGGAACACCGTGGTGATAGGCGGCTTCAGCAACGGAGAAAGGTAAGTCATCCTGGGGTGCGATGGGCAGAAAGGTTGGGAGCGCTGTTGGAATCAGCATTCAGATGGGATGGGATGAGACTTCTGGCTAAAGTGCTCTGCCTGCCTGCCTGCCTGCCTTTTTATGTGGAGAGGGTTCATCCTGGAAGATGAAGCTTTCACTGGCTACTACTCATGTTGGCTGGGATGCGGGTGGCGCTGTGGGTTAAACCACAGAGCCTAGGACTTGCCGATCAGAAGGTTGGCGGTTCGAATCCCCGCGACGGGGTGAGCTCCTGTTGCTCGGTCCCTGCTCCTGCCAACCTAGCAGTTCGAAAGCACGTCAAAGTGCAAGTAGATAAATAGGTACCACTCCGGCAGGAAGGTAAACGGCGTTTCCGTGCGCTGCTCTGGTTCGCCAGAAGCGGCTTAGTCATGCTGGCCACATGACCCGGAAGCTGTACGCTGGCTCCCTCGGCCAGTAAAGCGAGATGAGCGCCACAACCCCAGAGTCGGCCATGACTGGACCTAATGGTCAGGGGTCCCTTTACCTTTACCTTACTCATGTTGGCTCTGCTCTTGCCTCCCTGCCAGAAGCAGCCATGCTTCTGAACACCAGTTGCTGGAAACTGCAGGAGGCGAGAAGGCTCTTGTGCCGGAGTCCTGCTTGTGGTTTTCCCACTTAGGCAATTGGGTGGCCGCTGTGACAAGAGGGTGCTGGACTACATGGCCTGATCCAGCTAGAGGGCTCTTCCGATTTTCTGTTTTGTTTTGTTTATTTACTTATTTATTGATATCTCAATACATATGCCCCGCGGAGGACCTTAAGGTCCATAAATAGCAACACCCTAGAGGTCCTGGGCCCTAAGGAAGTCAGATTAGCCTCAACCAGAGCCAAGGCCTTTTCAACAGTGGCTCCGGCCTGGTGGAACGCTCTGTCTCATGAGACAAGGGCCTGCAGGATCTGATCTCTTTCTGCAGGGCCTGTAAGACAGAGTTGTTCCACCTGGCCTTTGGCTTGGGATCAACTTGATCCCCTCCCCCTCTTTCCTTTTTCCTTTCTCTTTCTGTGATGGAACTCCTATTTGGGAACTTCCCTCCCTGGCTTTTTTCTGACCCACGTAGGACCAGTCTGGATAGTTGGCCTTGGTGAAGATTTGACGTTTTCATCCCCAAAAAGTTGTTGACTTGAGTTTCTACTGAAATGAAGCTGCATTTTAATGTTGTACTTAATCTTGTTTTTAAGTTGTATTGTAATTCATTGTTTTTATACCTGGTGTTAGCCGCCCTGAGCCCAGTCTTGGCTGTGGAGGGAAGGCTATAAATAAAATTTATTATTGTATTATTACTATTACTAAAGCCCCCCCCCCTTCTCAGTTTCCTAGGATACGTTGACATGCTTGGGGTGGCGTATGAAGCTGCTTCTCTGGCGACAGGATACGGTTCTTACGTGGCACAGGTAAGCATCTCATGGTCTCATGTTAAGAGGTGCCAAAGATCCAGTCTGTGCCCAGCCGCTTTTGGTTGGCCACTGTGAGACCAGGGCGCCCGATGAGCCATGGGCAGGACTCTTCTGGCCTTCTCACTTCCCACTGCTTGCGGCTGCACAGCTGATGGTTTTATTTCTCCCGCTCTATCACAGCCACTGATGAGGGAAGCCTTGGAAAATAAGCCCGTCCTGTCTAAGCAGGAGGCCAGAAGCCTCCTTGAACGCTGCATGAAAATCCTCTACTACAGAGACGCCCGCTCGTTCAACAGGGTAAGTCTCCCACCGTGTATCTTGGCTTTAGAACCGTGGAAAGGTGGGACTTTGTGACCTTCCTGATGTCTGGATTTGCATCTCTCACCAGCCCTGGCCAAAAGTCACAACTGATGCTGGTAGACGGCCTCAGGAGGTCCTCTTTAAGGCAAATGTGTCTGGCAAGAGGGTCTAACCTATCACTCTTCTTTCTCTCAGTACGAGCTCACGACGGTGACAGAGAAAGGCGTGGAAGTAGAAGGGCCCATCTCCTCCGAGACCAACTGGGAAATAGCACACCTGGTCAGGTAAGCACAGCTCCCTTTGGATGGGCTTTCAAATGAAGCAGTTTGCGGCTGGCACACAGTACAGGAAAATTACCAAGCTACCTACATGACCTTTGGGAAGGTGGCATTTTTGGACCCTGCACTGTCTGGACACCCTCGCAGAAACCCCCTCGGCTGTCAAGAACATCAGAGAAGGCCCTCATGGAAGTTCCAGCTCCCTCATAAGTTTTGGGGTTAATAGCAGCTTACAAAAGGGGCTTCCTTTGTTCCCCCAAGTTGTGGAACCCACTTCCCACAGAGGCGAGGCCAGCTATGCAGTTTTTGGCTCAAGACTTGCCTCTTCATCACGCTTGCGAGGGTCTCTCTATTTTTGTGATTGTCACACGTTTTGGACTGTTTTGAGTCATGTGTTTTTAAATTGTGGTCGCCTGCCCTGGGCCCTTAGCAGGAAAGATGGGGAAATAAACCAAATGAATAACATCTTTCAGATTATCCTAGAACTCTTTGTTCTGCTCCCATTTTCTTGGCTTGGCTCACCTCACATTACCTTACCTTTGGGAACAGGAGCTGAAAAGGCCACTAGATTTTCCTTTTTTTGCCCAGGGAGCCATCCAGCCCCTTTCATGCTCTTCCCAGGCCACACCTCTTCAGCATGCTACACTCATTACCAGCCATGATCTGTCATTTTCGCACAGGCGTTTTGGTTGGCCCCTGTGAGACCAGACACTTGGCTAGATGGGCCATTGGGCCAAGTTTCTTCTTAACTTCTTGCCTGTGCCCTCAAGTGTGTTTTCCTGGCCAAAAGCCATCCCTGAACTGCAATGATGCCTATAGAAGGGTGTGTAGAAACCTTCTTGACCTTTGCTTGGCCTCTAGCCTACTGGGCAGCGAGCATCTTATCCATGGCCCCCCTAAAGCTCCCCACAAGGGAATGTGGCCCTCGGTGTATAAAAGGTCCCCCTGCCTCATACCCTCCAGATTAGCTAGGTTTTGGGTGTTTATATATGAACCTTGAAAGGAATATGCAGGTTTTAGAGGGAATGACTGGCTCCTAGCAAGAGGCACGCACGCCTCTGCAACCAAACTTAGCAAACCTTCTCGTAGCGACGTTCTGAACATGGTTAAATGTCTGTATCTAGTATCCCTGGGCCCAAAGGCTATAGTAATTCCATATTCATCCCCTAAATACTGTGCTTCATTTTGTCTTAAAAACAATTTCCTGTTCTGCAACCATTTCTAGACATCGTGCAACGCTTGCCTCCTGCTAATTTGGGTATTGCCAACCTAATTTCCCCCCATTTCCTCCCTTCTCTGCAGCGGCTTTGAATGAAGCTCAAGAGCTCGTGGGCAGTCTCTGTTCCCGTCAAGAGATAATCCCAAATCCCTTGCGATGCTGTTTGATGCCTAATGTTTCGGCAGCTCCTCAGACCACGTTCTTTTTTTGTAAGCAGAATAAATGAGGTTTAGACTCTTTGCCTGTATGTACATGTCATGATTCTTATACTTTCACTGTAACTTTCCAGTTTTCTCTGCTATAAGCTTCCTGTCGACCTGAATCGGGCATTCCTGATCCTGTGTCATCTTAAAGCGTTGCTGGCTTCTCCCCTTTCTGAGCTTGTCAGACTAATCTTGTGGTGAGGCTGTTTGTGTGTGTCGGGGGACGGGACGACACTTATAATTAAAGAGAGTGGGAGGTGCATTTTTTAAAAAATGCTTCTCCATCTACTGAAAGCTCCCAGAAAATTCACTGCATTGTAGAAAGCTGACACATCAAGGAAGAAGCCTGCAGTCCAGCCTTTCTTGACACTCTGATTTTCTACCACCAGGGGAATGTATTATTTGATGTAGGGGGAATTGGTCAGACTCTGGGGCTGAGGGCTAAACTGAATGTGGCATATCAGTCATGTGTTTAGTGACTGTGTAAATGGGTCCGTCCTTTAGGGGGAAATTAACGTAATCACCAATGAACATAGCTGTTGACTTTTCCCTTTTCTTGCGAGGAATCCTATTCGGAATAAGGGAATTTCCCTTTAAAAAAAGGAAAAGTTGACAGCTATGCTAATGAATGGTGCTGTTTGGGCCTGCGTGGTTAAGTTCCAACACTGATCCAGAGAATGCACATGGACACTCTGCTTGCCAAGTAGTTGACAAGAAAAAAGTGGCAGAGATTGGAAGCCCACTTTCTGCAATTTGACAGGCAGATAGATACAGGATCAGAGTTTGCCACCCTTGCTGTTAACAATCTCATTCTTAAGCTCAGGAGCAGCCAGTACAACTACCAACACATGGGGCCACTGAGAGGCATTCAAAACATCTGAATAAGCACCGTGTTGGCTATCTAATTTTCAAAGCACCCCGGTACCAAGTTTGAGAGCTGCTTACAGTCTTGAGGGGAGGGCGGGATAAGGGGGAAAGACAGTGTCTGCAGCAGAGAAGAAGGAAAAGCAAGAGAGGAAGAGTCAGCTAAAATGGGGTGGAGGTGGGGAGGAAGATGAGCCCCTTGGACTAGAAAGGGAAAAGATGGTGGGATGGCAAGATCCACTCTGTGAAGGGGCTGGGGTGGTAATCTGTGCATCCAAGGAAGGAAGGAAGGGAATCTAGTGTATAACAGGGAGGAAAAAAACTATCCAGTTGCTCCAGATCATGCTAATTTTATGCTTGTCTACAAGGTCACCTCTTGGTGGACCTTTTCTGAACCTCTTCTGACTCTGCCAATATCCTTTTTGAGATGTGGCAACCAGAACTGTACACAGTATTCCAAATGTACAGAAGAGACAAGACTCTCTTTGGGGATCTGGCCCAAATAACGTTCCTCTGGACCCCACAACTGAAAATGCAGCCGAGTACCCCCTTTTGCTGCACCACAGCTGCTTTAGGCTCCATCAGCATCCATACCCTCCCGGTAACCTCAGCATCATACAGCTGTGCTGCCTTGGGCTGATGGAAGATGAAAACACCTGGATGGAGGACACCAGGTGTATTGGGCATCCTGCCTGAAGCTCCTGTTAATTTACAATGCGCACAAAACTTCAACCTGCCCCATCCAGCTGTCATTCTCCATAATAAAAACACAGCGTTTATAAATCCATTTCCCTGGCTTTATTAAATGTTCCACGTATGTACATTTTAGAGATTAATCATTTACAGGTCAGCCCACCCTGTTTCCTTCTTCCCTTGAGTCACTGGGGTGGGGAGCGGGGTGGGCATATTGGGGGCTTCGGGGAAAGGGAGGGAAGGCGTCGGCCACAGAGGAGAGTCTTAAAACTTCAACGGAAAAAAGTAAAACCAGAAGTGGCATGAAGGGCGGGGGAGGCTCCCACGTTCTTTCATCATGTCAAAATGCTTTTCATTGTTCAGACCATAATACGTTACGATTTTTAAAAAACTCTCAAACATGCAAACAGTAGAAAAAACATCTCTCTTTTTGTCTTTCTTTTGTCTCTGTTTTTTACGCTGGCAGTGAAAAATAAAAACAAGTTCTCCCTTGTTTTTTGAGTGTGCAGCCGGGTTCAACCGAAGTAGCAAATTCGGGGTACGTAGTGTGTCTTGGCGCCGTCAGAGAAAGCAGGATTCAGTAGCTATCGATAAGTTTCCAGAAGGTTTAAAGTCAATGGTCCAGGAGAGGATTAGCTTGCAACCAACGAGCCAACCGGAAAGGATGTTGTCAACCTGAACGGAGTTGTCAAAAGGCTTGAAGCTTCCACAGTTTATACTCTTGTTAGGAATCAGAAGGAGCAGGTGCCCAGTAGTTTAGCCAACGGACGAGGAAGTGAGGCAAGTTGCGGCAGCTGCCTGAAGTCCAGGTAACTCTTGACCAAAGTGGATCATCGGTCAACCCAAAGCATGGCACTTCTATGTCTATAAAGATCCATTTGCTGGTGACCAAGAGGCCGGATCAACCCCTTTCCTGTCCCTAAACAACGGTGTCGGCCTTTAATTGCTGTCCTCTTTGTTAATAAGGAAACCTCAAATTTTCAAAGGGCGGCTATAGAACGTTCAATGTGTTAAAGGAAACATTCATACCTTAAAAGAAAGAAAAGATGTTATCACCTAGAAATCAACATTTCTGGATCCAAGTGTTAAAATGGGGAAGGGTAGGGGAGGTCTGTGTTATGACAATTTTTTTTAAAAGTGGGGGTGGGGTGTAGAGATTTTCATTCTTTAGCTACATATTGGTGTTCCTTGGTTTTTTCAAAAGAAAAAAGGTCACATTGATGATGTGGCTTAATTAAAAACCTTTTTTTGCACAGTATAAAACAAACACAACCCAGAAACTATAATACAGTGAGGTAAAGAAAATGAAAAGCCAAAAATAATTCACCCACAATGTATCTTCAGAAAATAGCAACACAGTGATTTAAGAAAAAACAAAAACAAATTAAGCACATTTTTTTCTTTTTAAAGAAATGAACAGACAGCATAAAATGGCTATTAGTCTGCGTGTTCACCTACTAATCTCCTGTACCCACAGATCCACAGGGAAGTGAAAATGGTCTCATCCAACATTGATTTTCTTTTATATATATATCTATATATCTCTATATATATCTATATATATAAAAGAGAGAGGAAAAGAACTCTTTCTCTGGATCAAGCGGGAAAGCACTCAGACTTCCATCAGATCCAAGTCAGCATCCTCAAAGCCGTAGAACGATTCTGTCTCGCTCTCCCCTTCAAAGAGCTGGTGGAGGATCTCAGGGTTGGCAGATTCCTCGGCTGGCGCGACCGATGCCCCGTCCTGCAGCTCTGCCTCTTCCTCCTCCTCCTCTTCCTCCTGTGGCTCGTTGTTGAGCTTCAGCTGCTCCTCCAGCGAGGCAATGAGCTCCTCCTGCATGTCGGCGTTGCGGGTGGGCGTGTTGGCCGTGCCATCGGGGCCTGGCAGCACACTGGCCACCAGGAAGGACTGCTGGACCAGTTCGGGGCAGTCGCTGATGACCTCGAGCGCCTCGGCCAGCCAGCACAGGACCAGCTGGAGGAGGATGTCCGAGTCGCACGTGGAGTCGGCCATCTCCTTGGCCTGCTCCTTCCACTTTTTGTGCAAGAAGTTTTTCACGGTCCTTTTGATGCAAACGTCCAGCGGCTGGTTTTTGGAGCTGCAGCCGGCGGGGACGACGGCTGGCAGCGTGTTGGAGGAGCTCAGCACGGAGAGGACCTCTTCCGAAAGGTGGGTCCGGTGGCAATCCAGGACCAGCATGCCTTTGCTGTTCTGGCTCTTTATGTGCTTGTGCCACACCGTGGAGGACCAAGACTCCATGATCTCGTCGTCGCTGTAGCCGCCCTCCTTCACCTCCAGCACAATCGTCTCTGGGACGTTGGCGGCCTGCTCCACCCGGCCCCGGTAGAAGACGAGGGTGGGCAGCACGCTCCCGTCAGCCAAGATGGCCAGGACCACGTCGCACCAGGGCTCCCCCGTCCCCACCGTCTGCAAGGCGTTCTCCTTCCGGTCATCGCTGCAGAGCACTTCCACGTCCAGGAAGAGGGAGATCTCGTCGATGGCGGCGATCATGGATAGAGGCAGATCCTGGGTGTGGATCTGCCGCTGCACGAACTCAATGAAACAGCTGGCACTGCCCTCGACGTCCTTGGGCAGAGGGTGGGCCACCGCCCGGCGGTTGTGCGTGCTGAGGTTGTGCCGGAGCATGAAGCGGACGGCCCACTCGTAGGAGATCTTGAAGCCGCCTTCCAAGGACCGCCCGATCTTCGTGGCCTTCTGGAAGAGGGTCTCCTCATTGACTGGCAGCTGCTGCTCCCGCTGGGTGAGCACCCACTCTGCCAGTTTCTCCTCCGCCTCAAAGCTCAGGTACTTCCCCTCTGACAGGGAGGCCACGTTCTCCTCCTGGAAAGCCTGGAACCGCCGAAGCCAGCGCCGGATCCGCCGCGGGGGGTTCTTGAAGTGCTCCGCCGCCTGCTCCGTGTTGCAGCACAGAGCGAAGAGGACCACCCGTAGCTTCTTCACTGAGAGCTGCTCCTTTCGGCTCGCTGGCTCAGGCGCTTCCTTCACCGGTGGCTCCTGGTCCTCATCTTCCACGTTCAAGCACTCGTCTTCGTCCTCCTGGATAGTGGCGGGAGCCGGAGTGGGAGCGACGACAGGGGGTCTGTTGCCGGCTTCAGGCGCCTCCTTCTCTTTCTCGTCCTCAGGCAGAGGCGAGGCCGTGTTCACGGTAGCAGCTTTGATTGGCGGGTAGGTGGAGCTGGGGGCCTTCACACCTCTGTCAAATGGCTGGGCAGGCCTGAAGGGTGGGAGGAAAAAAGAAAGACAGGGAAGATCCTTGAGTATTTTTCTTTCTTTCTTTATTTCATCAAGTTTACACACCGCTTAAGGGGGGGGGATCTCAAAAGCAGTTTACAAAGAGAATAAAGCAATAAAATTATTAGTAAAAACCATACAAAACAACTCTCAAGATGATTCAAAAGAGAAAAATCACAGCAATTAACTAAAAGCAGATTAAAACATGTATCTACATTCTGCATGTCTGGGGGGGCTGAACAAAAATGTTTTTAGCAGGAAGCAAGAAGAGTACAGTGAAGTCAACTTCCCTGTCAATACACAGGGAGTCTCAGAGTGTGGGTGCTGCCACAATAAAATATTTCTCATAAATGTGGAATGGGTATGATGTGGCACTTGTAACAGGGCCAGTTTTGCAGTGAAAGAAAGAGAAAAATCCCTCACACACGGGATGAGGGGCAGAAGAAGAGAATCTGACCAGATGGGAGGAAAATTGGGGGAAATTTACCTTGAATGCGAACTCCAGGTGGAACCTGTTAGAAAAAAGAGGAAATAAAAGTATTGAGAGGCTGAGCTTGCACCAGACGGCTTGTTAACAAGGGACACACAAAGGGACTGGGTCACTGGCAACAGGTGGACTCACAGCACAGGGGCAGAGGAAAATGCAGGGGCGTTCTGGGAACTATTAGCCCTACCCTGAGTCTGCACAGCAATCCATCACTACCCTTTTCCATCAGCATATAAACTGCCTCTTAGGATGGCGACAGAGAACCAGCTGCAAGCAGCTCACAGACACCATGCCATACTTAGCCCCACCCTGGCTCCCTTACGCACCAGACTAGCTACCCCATCCTCTCCCTGCCTATTCTGCCTTCCTGAAACTGGCCTTGCTCTCCTGATGGCACCCTCCTGTTCAAGCCTGCAAATCTGTCTTGCCCCTCAGTTAAGCGCCGCTGTGGCCTGGTGATCTTCCTGGAAGAGTCCTGGACCTTTTTGTACTTATCTAGTGGGCGACACCATTGCCTTCCCTTTATTTCCTGATCCCTTGTTGATACCCCAATGTGTGTGTCTCAAGGACAAGTTCTGTGGACACGTTTTGAGAATTAAACCCAGATCCATTGCTCTTTGAACCCAGAGTTTCCTAGGCAGCTGCCCCCAAGTACTTCTATCGCAGTCTCTGAGCTTGTTGGGAAAAGAAGAGCAAAAAGGCTGGAAGTATCAAGGCAACAGGAATGGTGGGGATGGCAGAGGGAGTAGAACTGCAGCAAGGGCAATAGTGAAGTGTTCAAACAGGCTTGCAATAAAACACAGAGGAAATGCCTCTCTCTCTCTCTCTCTCTCTCTCTCTCTCTCTCTCAAAAGAGAGTCTCAGTTCGAAACCATGGGAAGCTGCTACTAGTCAGTGTGGGCAATACTGAGATGGACCAGTATAAAGCCGTTTCCTAGGTTATAAGACACATGTGGTGGTGAGGATTCTTTTTGGTGAGGAACTCTGTTTAAATGAGCAAACACTGGGAATGGAGGAGTTGGGAGGAGCCGCGCTGCATCATCCGATTTCCACCTGCCCCCTCCAGCCCTCACCTCGTAGGAGCACGTTGCTGAATTCGTGCGAGGGGTTGAAGACAAGGTGCTTGGCCATCGCGTCGCCTTCCGATGTGGCAAAGAGACAAGCCGAGCAAGCCAACCGCACTCCGCTGTGAGGCAGAAATGAAAAGAAGGAAGGTCATCCCTTGTGGTAGGATCTTGCCACCAGCAAGCATATTTGATTCCCAAACATCTTCCCTTGTAGACAAACAACAAGAACAACACCCCCTCTTCCCTGGCAATGCACATCTTGATTTAGCTGCTCAGAAGATAAATCACATCAGGGTGGGGAACTTGAAGCCCCTTGATGTGATTCTTTGGCGATCTTGTTATAAGTGCCAAGAATTCCAACACATTCATTACTTACACACACACAGGAAAACTGTCTAAGCCTCACTGATGAAGCATGTCAGAAAACAAGGTTTTTAAAACAACCACAGACCTTGCAGGGCTGGCTTAAAAAGTTATTAATTCAATGTTCGAAAAGCCAACCCCTCAAAGTGCTCTCTCCACTAAGGCTGGAGTCAAGCATTATGAGCTGAGGTTCTGCAGCATTTGTACTCCAGACCCAGGAACTGTCATTTGCGATTAGCACAAAAGTGATTAGATAAATCACACACAGGAAAGCTCATGAGGCAAATCTACACTACAAAAATACAAGTCGTAACACCAGTTCAGCTCACAGACTTAAAATGGTCTAAACCAGCGTTTCCCAACCTGAGGCCCTCCAGCAGAGGCTTACTGATTTATGGTTTGCTTCTCTCCAAACAAACCACAAGCAAAGTCCTCATTGTCATTGCCATCGCTTTCTTTAACAGAGCGGGGTTAACCTTGCACATGAACCAAATCCCTCTCGTTTTAATTGTCATAGCTCCAGCCACCCTGCAAGGAATTCTGGGAACTGGAGGTTGCTAAAGAGGCTGAGAAGGCATTCTTGGCTTGACCACCCCCAACTGGGCCAGAGAGTTACAAATATTAGATGTGAGAGAAGGATTATTAAGGCAGGTCTAGGTCCACGGTGTAGACGAACAGCACACCAGAACATAAAAAAGGTGCTAACTAGCAGGTAAAGAAAGGAAATTATTGTTCCAGGGAAATTTCTGCCTTACCAAGCAGTGTAGTTTTTGAACAAGGCCAAGTACTTCGGACTCTTGCGAGGAACGTGGTTGCTGGTAAAATGAGAGCAAGCAAACACACACAAATGAGGAAAGAGAGCAATTCTTAGGGACTCCCACAAGCCACCCACTTCCTTAACCGGGCCCAGCAAACGCTTCGGCCCAGCAAAAGCGGGTGCACAGGTCCCAGAAAGAGAAGAGCAGGCACACTCTTGCCCCCTCCCACTTCAGCCGGAAGGGAAGAGTTAGTTGCTGCACCAAAAGATCAGAGCAGGAGGAAGAGAAAACCGCTTGGCCTGACTTACTTGATCATGTGGTTGGCATAGGCGCGGGAGCAGCAGGTGCTGTAACGGCATAGCGAGCAGTGGACGTAGGTGGGGAAGTGGTTTGGGAAATCCGGGATTTCGAAGCTGCACTCGAGACACGTTTGCCGGCCAAGGACGCTCCTGCAGAGAGAAAGGGGGCAGCCGGTCAGGGGCTGGGTTCCAACAAAGGATGTGGGTTTTGCTAAGAGGGTTGCAGGAGGCTTTGGACCACGGTTGATGAAGCGGCAGGCTAGTGCCACAGCTGTGGACTCCTTCCTGGCTTGTTGTCCTGTATCGCCTTAAGCCATAAGGACCAGACACTTGCGTTAAGAGAAAAACCTTGAAAATGGAGTCCTATTGCATTTTTTAATAATAAAAAAAGCCAAGACACCACCAAATTAAATGAGCAATTCTGTAAAGGATGTTTGGGTCATTGTGTACCCAAGTCAAAGTGCAGGATTTGGATTTTGTAGCTGGAGTGCCACAACTAGCCAGGTGTTCAGCTCACAGCAGAGAAGGCTTACTCCTTGCTCCCCTGGCTGGGACAGTGCAGGGAAGCATCTATACCAGGGGTTGGGAGGAACCTCAGGCCGAAGGGCCAAATACGGCTCCCAAAACTCCCTCCAGCAAGCCTGGACAGCATCAGCTGTCGAATGTAAGGAGGAAGCTGCAGAATCTGAACCACTGAACTGTACAGTCCCCCCCCCCACCTGCCACAGACTGTTATTATTTCTAAGGGATATTTTAGTGGGAAATTTAGTAATGAGCTCTGACATCTTCCTGACGGCTTTCTTCTGGATGTTCCTCTGGTAAGGTGGGCACAGGAAGTTGGGCTGGGGGTCCGCCGAGGCTGAGAGCAAGGTGGTGTCTTGGAGGAGGCCTGGGGGCATGTCGTTGGCAGACAAGGGCACCGTCCGCGGCTGCCCTCGGGAGGCCCTGATGGTGACCTGTGGCGCAGAGGACGAGAGAGACTGCAATGAAAACACTCGAGCGCTATACAGATACAGATGGGGTTTCAAAAAGGAAAAAATCTCCAAATGATTCCTGTGCCTCATTTGCATAGCCCCACCCCTGGGGAAAGTGGGAGGGGTTACCCACTCCCCTTCCTCACCAGCTGAGGGGAAGCCAGAAATCGATCAGCATTAAAGACGGGGACAGAGGAACTAGCTGGAAATGTATTTTATTCATTTCTTATATTTATATCCCACCTTTCAAGGTGGCCTACAGACATCTCCTCCCCATGTTATCCTCACAACCGCCCTGTGAGGTAGGCTAGGCTGAAAGCCAGGCCAGGATCACATCTAGTCAGCTTCATGGATGATGGGGTGGCGTGGGAGGGGGAAAGAATTTGAATCCTGCTGAATCCTGAAGTCCAGAGCTCTACCCACAACAGGAAGATGGAGAGCCCAGGGAAACTATGCAAACAAGTCCACGCATGTTCTGGTCCACAAACATTTCAACCAGCCTGCGTGTCACTTTGTGCCTTAAAAAAGAAAGTGGTGTGGGGAACCACATAGACAGGGAACCTTAGTAATGTCTGCCTGCTAGATTGTGCAGTGAGGACTGCCTGTCTGTTCCCAAGGCCTGGCTTGATTTAAAAGAGAGGTGTGGGTGCTTCTGCCCACCCCTCGCGCCCCCCTGGTGTCCCTCTCCATACCTTGGTGCCTGGTTTTAGCCCCTCCAGCTGCTTGGGCTTGCGGAAGGTTTTGTGGTGCTGCAGCTTGTGCTCAATCTTGTCCTTGGCAAAGAGGAACTGCAGCCGGCACTTGTTACAGTGATAGATGCTCTTCTTCTGTGGGGGGAATTGGAGTGGCATGGAAGAAGAAGAAGAAGAAGAAGAAGAAGAAGAAGAAGAAGAAGAAGAAGAAGAATAGTAGTTTGGATTTGATATCCCGCTTTATCACTACCCGAAGGAGTCTCAAAGCGGCTAACATTCTCCTTTCCCTTCCTCCCCCACAACAATCACTCTGTGAGGTGAGTGAGGCTGAGAGGCTTCAAAGAAGTGTGACTGGCGCAAGGTCACCCAGCAGCTGCATGTGGAGGAAGCAGCAACAGCAGACTGGCTTTTGTCGTAAAGGGAGGGTGGGGAACCCGCGGCCCCTCCAGATGTTGCTGTCCACGCCAGTGTGGTCACCACTTGGCTGGTGTTCTTACCCACCATTATATACCCACAACAATCCTGTGCGGTAGGTTAGGCTAAGAGGCAGTGACTGGCCCAAGGTCACCCACAGGGAGCGCCATGTGGCCAAGCAGGGATTTGAACCCTGGTCTCTTCCAAGTCCTAGGTTGACATTCTAACCCATGGGTGGGCAACCTAAGGCCCGGGGCCGGATCTGGCCCAATTGCCTTCTAAATCCGGCCCGCAGAAGGTCCAGGAATCAGCGGGTTTTTACATGCGTATAATGTGTCCTTTTATTTAACATACATCTCTGGGTTATTTGTGGGGCATAGGAATTCGTTCATCCCCCCCCAAAAAAAAATATAGTCCAGCCCCCACAAGGTCTGAGGGACAGTGGACTGGCCCCCTGCTGAAAAAGTTTGCTGACTCCTGTTCTAACCACTACCCTCAGGACTCTCCTGCCTCATTCTAATGCACAGGAGGCTTCAAGATAAAAATAACAATAAGGGTGGGAAATCAATAATTATTTCTATATCCCTGCATCTTCCCCACCCCCACCTCCTTTAGAATTTTTAGTCCTGGTTTTTACTTTATGTTACATTCTCCAACTACCCCTTAAAAGGGAAGCTGAAACCAGATACAGAGCTGCAAGGCACCTCTGGGAAATGCTTCGGAGACCTCTATGGCCTCAGGGGTTGAGCTGAGGAGGAGGAGGGTGGCGGCCTGCATGGCATTCCCAGTCACCAAGGGGACCAGGCAAGTGCTTCACCTGCAAGGCCAGTTTACCTGGTGCCTCATGAAATGCTGCTGGAAGGCGTTGCCGTTCTTAAAGACCTTGAGGCAGTAAGGGCAGAGGAGGTGCCGCGTGTCCTCGTGGACCATTCGGAAGTGGCTGTCTACTTCGGAGTAGAGTGACGAGCGGTACTGGCAGACCTGGAAGGAGCCATGAGCACAGAAGCATGGATAGACTTTTTTTTTTCTTTTGCAAATTACAGTACAGTAAAAAAACAACAACAGCAACGCTGAAACGAACAGTCACAGATTTCTCGTATGTTACAGTATGTTTCTGGAAAGAAGTGATAAGCATTAAAATCAGGGGAGCAATAAGTAAAGCAACTATCTGATACAAGCCCTCCAAATTCCAGCATGGGTAGCTGGAGGCTGTGAACTCTCAGGATTGGACCTTTCTTGTCTGGCATTTTGCCTTCAGCAATGGCTTAATGTGGGAAGCTCATAATTATTTTCGTAAACAACTTTGAGGCGGTTTTAAAAATTAAAAAAAAAAATCAAAATCAAGAGATATATAAATAAATAAGGAGTGTGCAAAGGCCATGGCTCTCCCATATCACTTTCTCCCCATGCACAGAAACTCCCATACATCAGAAACTGGTATTCAGGGGTAGACTGCCTCTGTGCATGGAAGTTCCATTCCTACTACATTGTAGCTAACAAAGGGGAGAGCAGGCTGGCCAGACGGAGTGTGGATTCTCAGTTTGCTGAAGCAAACTATTTTTTTGGGGGGGGGTGTTCTCCATACCTGGCAAACATAGGGCATCTCCCCTGGCTTGTGAGTGTCCTTCATGTGCTGCAGGAACATGGGCTCGCTCTCGAAAGCCCATTCACAGATCTTGCATTTTGCTGTAACGCAAGAGGGAGTCTGTCAAAAAGGAGGACGCCAGGAGGATTCAGATGCCACCCCAAACTGCAGAAAGCTTGCAGGGCCTGGCCCGGGAACAAAGTCTGGGTTGAACCTCAGATAACCATCCCCACACCCCATTAAGGGTCCCTGTTGGTCATGAAACAAAATCAGGCAATGCAGAAATGTGCCTGCAAAATAATTTATATTTAGGTTTAGTTTCCCATTCTCCTGGACCCAACTGCAATTATGCTTAATTACATGAAGCTCAAAAACGCAAATCCTTCCCCTTTCCCCTATCGCTTCCTGCAACCCCCTTGGGGCAGGGAGCAGCTCCTGGTACTCTGCAAAGTCAAATGGATGCCCTGTAAATAATGCCACTGTTTCCTGCCCTGTCTGTGGTGAGCAGAGCGGACAGTCCTCCTCTGCACCAAAGGAAAAGGGAACCTCTGAAGGAAGCATTTTTTCCAGTGCAGGCTGTGACCATTGTGGAAACCCTTCCCATCTCCCCCTGCTATGATGTTTTGTGGGGGGGGGGACGACGGACAGGGGGAGACACTTTGGGGCAGAGCTTACTGGTCGATTCGTAGGGGCTGTGTACGTTCTCCAAGTGGCACTGGAGCTGGAAGGGCGTAGAAAACTGCCGGTAACAATGCTGGCAGATGGTGTGGACATCCACCTCACCGTTCTGCTGATCCAACTCGACGTGGTGCTTCATGTGGTTCATAAACCTGGAGGGGTGGGGGAAAGGAGCAGACCTTTCTGTGGTTACTTTAGGGCAGCGGAGGGAGAAATCTCTTCCTGCTTGTTTTTCCTCGCTGCTCACTGCAGACAGCAGTTCCGAGTGCGAAGTGTGCCTCTCTGAATATTGGTTGTTGGGGAGTGTTGGCATTGGGCTTGTGTCCTGATTGTGGGCTTCCTGGAAGAGGCACTGGCTGGCCATTGTGGGAAAGGGGGTGCTGGAAGGAGATGGGTCCCCTTTGGCCTTTGACCCGAGCACAAGAGCCTTATTCCCTCCTGCAGTTCCCAGCAACTGGAATCCAGAAACATTACTGGCTCTGTCTGTGGAGACAGAGCATGGCCATCAAGGCTAGCGGCCAAACACAACAGATAAACCTCCTTAAAGTGGTCTGGCTCTCTTTAAGACCAGAGTGGGGAGTCTGTGGCTCTCCAGCTGATGCTGGATGCAAAAGTCCCACCACCCCCAGAATCTTCCCGAGGGCCACACCTCCTCCTCCTCCTCCGGCTGGCTTTGCCGCAGCCCTTTCTCCCTCCCCTCCCTGACAACGCTTCACTTTTACCGGATGTTGTTCTTGAGCCTCTTGGTGCAGTGCGGGCAGCGGAAGGACGTTGGCACCTTGGGGAAGTTGAGCAGCTGGTTCACCTTCCCGCCGTCCCGGCCGTAGTAGAAGTCATCCACCAGCATTATCAGCTTGCTCTGCGCCCCGTCGCCCGTGCCGTCGCTGTGCTCAGAGACTTTGGCTGGCGGCGAGAGGGCGGGGATGGGGGTGGAGGAGGGGGGCGAAGCGACAGCGGCTGCTTTCTCTGGGGAAGGGGGCTTGGGGGCTTGGATATTTGGTTCAGACTCCAGGGGCTTCCCTTTCTTCAGGAACTCCACCATTTCAGGGCAGCAGTACTGAGGAAAGAAGGAGGAGGTCCTTGAGTTAAAGTTAATATATGAATGAAAGAAGAGAGCTACTGCATCAGGCCAGCCCAGCATCCTGTTCTCACAGTGGCCAACCAGATGACTCTGGGAAACCTGTGAGAGGGATCTGAGTACAAGAGCACACTCCCGTCCGTTCCAGCAACTAGTATTCGGAAGCATCCCTGCCTCCAACTGTGAATTTGCTTAAACAAAGCTCCTTTCTCCTTTCAGTCCTGAATCTCACTGCCTGAATCAACTTTGCAGGGTGATATCACCACCGCCCCACTCCCTGAACTCCCAGTTTTTTAGCAACAGCCATCGACCTGAGCTTCTGCTCTGGGCAGACACCATAGTCCTTTGACTCTTTATTCTCGGCTGCCAGCAGGGTGTAACGCTGCAATGGCCTTGATCTCATAATTCGGGAAGGGGGTTACTTACACACATATGGCCTCTTAAAGCTTCAGTGACTCTAAACTGGGCATTGCACCGGGGACAGACTTTCCGCCCGCTGTCCTGAAGGTCGAAGGCGGGGATGGGGGAGGAGCTGACTGTAATGGGAAGAAAAAAGGAGAAAAGGTCATGGCTAGCATCCAGAAGCCCTGCAACTACCTTTTTGGACTTCTCGCTTGGGCTGGTCACATTTTTCCTTTCCTTTCCCCTGGATCTCCCTTCCCACCCTATGTAACAATGGAGGACAGAGCTGTCCAGGCTTTGCTGTCAACTCTCCCATAGTGCACCCCATCTGTTTCATGCACATAGGAGTGGAATTGGGAGGGCATATTTGCATGGCACCACCCCCAGAGTGAGTGGGAGGAGTCACCCACGTAGTACCATCCTCCATCACTAGGGAATTCCTGTTTTCTGTGCAATGGGCCAAAGTGAAACTTGATGCTGTGGTTTGGGACCAAGTTACAGTCGGAACCTGCCCAAGCCCAGGCTGCTGGCAGAGCTTACCTTTCTGCGACGAAGACTCTGAGATGCCTGCTCTCTGAGGGACATGGGCCGGGCTGTTGTTGGAGACCACAATGGGGCCCGAGCTCTGGCCGAGGGAAGGGACCGTGTTCAAGGTGTTCACCAGCTTTGCCACCTCGTTGCTGTTCTCCCCCGTCACCCCGGGCCTTTTCACTGTCACGAAACTTGCAATGCTCACTGTCAGGGAAACAAGCGTTTTTAAGTTGAAGAACAGGGAGATGGAGCAGAATATTTTAATTATTATTGTTAGATGGAGAAAGCAGGAGAGGGCTGGTAAGCTTTCAAGGTATGTTACAGGGCAGGCAAAGAAGTTAATAGAAAAACATTAACTATATTCCCTTTGGAAATATAGACCCAAGCGATTTCTGCGTTTTGGTAACAAAATACAGGAAGTGCATTCCTTCCACACACACACACCCTTTCAAAAGAGATGAATCGGTAGACAGAGCATCTGCTTTGCATGCAGAAGGTCCCAGGTTCAACCCCAGGCTGAGCTGGGAAAAGGACTCCCATCTGCTGCCAGTCAGTGTAGACAATTCTGAGATAGACGGAGCAAAGGTCTGACTTGATATAAAGCAGCATCCTAAGTTTCTTGGAATGAAAGACAGATAAAGGCTTGCAAGAGTGAGAGACGTATCCTGTAAGCCTGCTGAAATGGCAGGGACAGGAAAGCCATGGTCTATCCCTTCCCTCCTGCAGACTGGATTTTAATATCACTTTATTTCCCTCCTTTGACTTGACATCTAAGGACTAGTAATAAGAAACTGGAGAACATGGAGCCCATTGGTCATCGGCCTTTGGATGGATTGGCCTAAGTACCTTTTGTATATATGGAAGTGAGGTGTTATTAACAGGGCTGTTGCAAGGACAATGTCAGAGAATGTATCATTTAATAAGCAGGAGCTACTGGGCTGGGTGCCCCGGGTTCAAATCCCTGCTTACTGGGTGACCTTGGGCCCATCTTTTCTCAGCCTGAACGATCTCACAGGTTTCTTGTGTGAGGGATGAAATGGTGGCAGTGGGATCATGTATGTGCTATCCTGAGTTCTTCAGCGGAAGGTTTTCTTCTTCCCTCCCCATCCCTTTTTCCTTTTGTGCCTTGCCTTTTCAGGCTGTAAACTTGAGAGGCAGGGATTGCGGCATTTTTTAAAAAATTGTCCCCTTTTCCAACTGAAGAGTAAATGCATAGATGCTTTGAATAATTTTTTTAAAATGTAATTAACAAATAGTCTTGTAAGGCACTGGTTAAAATCAATCATTAATCGACACAAGCTGTTTTTCTTATATTTGCTTGCTTTCACATTTTGCCCTTCCCTGGAGTAGAGCGGAGGTGTTTTTCCTTAGCCCACCTCCCAATCAGATGGACAAACACAGAGCATTTGCTGTGCCCTGAGCCCCACATAACGCAGGAGCTGCAGCAAAACCCAGGGGCCGCAATGTTTCCCAGCTCCTCCAGACAAATGAGGACCAAAGTAATACCATTTTTCTTTTTCTTTCATTTTTAGTTTCCCTCTCCACGGGAAGTCTTACCTAATTTGGGGTTAGTAGCTTGAGTGGACTGCCCTGGCTGCTGTACAGTTAACTGTCCCAGTGCGGTTGGCTGTGCTGCAGTAGGAGTGGTGGTGGTGGAGGAGGTGCTGGGAGAGGACTTACTTTGCGGTTGGGCCTGGGACTGCGGTACTGTGCTCCGGATGGTAAGGGTGGCTGGAATGACCGTCGTGAACGTGTTGGAAGACGGCCGGACCGGCATGGCCGGACCAGGTCTCACCTGGGCCATTTGGGAGAAAACCTGAGGGACGCCGACTGCAGGCTTCACAAACTGGGTGCCTGGGGCTGCAAAGGAAAGGAGGGCACAGTTACCGTCCCGTCGGTCCTCGAGACTCTCCTAAAACAAAACTTATTAAGGAGGTAACATTCCTCCGATGGATCAAATCAGTCAGCTTGTTCATTTCCATTAATTCTAGAAATTCTAATCAGTTCCAGGGGACTCTCCTGGAAAAAATATTACTGCTGTTATAAGGAAGTGCCCTTCCACTTATGGGGCAAATCAGTCAACTTGCCCATTTATGCTAACTCAAGGCACTTTAGAGCCATCTCCATATAGATGGAACAGGAAAGTCTCTCAATTTCTCGCTGTGATTAACCAGGGTTTTTGTTTTGTGTGGTTTTTTAATTTTTACTAAATACATGTATCCTGCAAACACATCATCCTCAATCCAATTAAAGGTTACAGACACTGGTCAAGAGGCGGCCATACTTTGTAGATCATTGCAATAGGAATCTAGGAAATATTCAGCTTGGAAGACATTAATTACCTGCCCTTCACCCTAAGGTCCAAGGGCGGGTTACAACACTAAAACACAATATTAAAAAAAGTTTAAAACAACTTGCTCGTATTGGCAGAAATATTATTTGTACAATTCTCTAAAACAATTACATATTGGGTTGTTGATGTTTGATAAGATTTAAAAACGGATTGTAATGTTCTTATTTTTAATGTCTGTATGACACAAACTGCACAGGCTGAAACCAGGGGTGGCGGGAGATCACCTGTGGTCCTCTAATTGCTGCTGGACCACAACTCCCAGCAGCCCCAGCAATTAGAACGGCCATTGGGCAGGGATGAGGGGCTGGGAGTCCAGCAACATTTGGAAGGCCACAGATGTTCCCCACCCATAATCCATAAGAAGGCAGTCTTCCCTACCCCCAGCATGGAAAATGCACTCTCTCTTTTCTCTTGCTTTTAACAGAAGTACGCAGGAAAAAACCCCTGCAGACTTTAAGCCATGACTTCGGTCAGCCATGAATCCTGGTTTGCCATGCAGTGCAAACTGGTTTCGTGGCTGAGACCTGGTGCGGCCCCCCCTCTCCCTCCACCTCCTGCTACCCTCTTTCTACTCCTGTACTTTTTGTCCCGCCTTTGATAAGCCTGCCCTCGCGCTGCCTTTTTTGTAAACCCATATGAAGCAGAAAGATGCTAGATAAGCAAACCTCTAGGATTATATATATATGAAGGTAATATATTCATCACACTTTCTTTGGCTAAAGAGACACAGGTGCATAGGAGCTCTGTACCTTCAAAGGAGGCGGGGCTGGGACTACGGAAGCCCCTCCCACTGAAGGTGGCAGCAAAAACGTGAAGCTTTTCGCATAGCCCTGCCTCTGCAGCCCATACTCTGGTGCTGGAGGGAAATTTCCTGGGCCTCTTTTCTTCCCTTTTGACACCTACTGGCCCAGCAGCCTGACCCCTCCTCACTTTCACAGTTCCAGCCTCTGCTTTACCTGGGACAAGGGTAATGGGCCGCACTGTCTGGCCTTGCTGTACATTCAGGACAATCCCAACCTGGTTCATCGTGTTCTGCACAGGCCGGACGTTTCGCACGGGGAAACCCTGCAACGTGCAAGCAAAAAGAAGTGGATTTAGCAGGCTTATCTCAACAGCAGGCTTGGGGGCAGACAATGAGGATTGCTGCATGCTGCAATTCCACAGGAACTAAGGGACCCGGGTAGGCTTGTCTAAACACAAACATTTTTAGCATTTAAATTAAATACAAATTGTACAAATAAATTAATAGTGCAGAATTTTTTTACATAGAATTGTTCAGTCTGGCACCGTATTATAGAGGTTTCTGAATTATTATAACATTGAGTAAAAAGTGTACACAGCTCTGGGGATGAGTGGATTCTCTTAACATTTCAGTCAGCTCATTGATCAAGGTGTCACCCTGCTGGCCCAGTCAACACAGTGACAGGCCAATGGTACCATCCACCAGCTCCAAATGTGAAAACGAAATAAATGAACTACACATCTGCATAAAAACAAACCAGGAATGTGCCAGGTACTCATAAAGAGTTATCAACAGAAGAAGAGCTCTGTCGGATCCTCAATGTGGCAACATACAGAGTGGTCCAAAAGTATACTGCTTTAGAATCCACTTTCTTTGTGCGTGACTCAAGTTCGCAGTCATCATTCACAATAACAGTATAATAATCCTTTTATCTGACTCCACTATTCTTTCCAACTGCCAGCCTGAAATTTAACTGCCACTTTGTTGTGTGTCAGTGATGTGTACCCATATAATCTGTTGTGGTGAATTTCACTGATTCAACTGTATACCTACTTTGCGGCCACCCTGTACTTCCTGCAAGAGCCAATGAGTTGCCTTTGGAAAACCCATAAGCTGGGCAAGAAGGGAGGGAGCATACCCTGTTGACTGCCCCCCCCCCAGCAACTGGTATCGAGAGGTAGAAGAGGTGCTGCCCCTCCCTCACCTGAGTCGTGATGAAGATGGGCTGACTGGTCACCGGGGAATTGGTCACATGGTTGGCGTTCTGCATGACCTGCACAGGCCGGAGGACTGGTTGTGTCACCACTGTGCTGAGGCCAGAGCCTGGGTTCTGCGTGAGGATCAGAGGCTGCCCGCCTTGCTGAACGAGAGGAGTCCCAGCTGGACAAAAGAGAAGGAAAAGTGGGCAAAATCATCATTGTCACCTGCCCTACAACTTCCAACTTCAGATTAGCTTTGTCACTTCAGGGCCAAACAGTGGCTTGGAGGACTGGTGGTGGAGTCAGATGCAAAATGGCGCTCCAGCAGGATGGAGCAAATTATCTACTGCATATACACTGGGATTCCCAATATTATTTGAGGGAAAATACAACTTCTTAAAGTGGCATCAAAGCATGAATGTGGCAAATGTGAAAGTGGGTCATTTACTTAATTGGCAGGATTGGTACTGGCCACAGAATCCCATTTTCCTTGGCAAAGTATTAGGGTGAGTGGGATATCTGAAGTGTGTGGCCTGCAGATCCTAACACTTGCCCCCAAACCAAGATCCTCCCATCCAAAGCCTCTCCCCTTACCGCTGTTGTTAGCAAAAAGCGTCACTAGTGTCTTCTTTGTGCTGTCGCTGTTGGGTCCTCCACTGCCGCTGACAGATGTGGAGGTTGTGAGGCCGCCACCAATGGATGCGTGAGCGACGATCGGCATTGGGGTGGCAACTGGCTGCACGCTCACCGAAACTGCCGGGAAGGAAATTCAAAATGGTTTACTGCCTGCAGGTACGGACAGAGAGGACATCCACATGGCTTAGCTCCTTGTGCAGAAACACTTAGTGACTGACTGACACCAGGAAGGCACCTTCACTCTATTCCTTTCGGCACCTGCTAAAAAAACCATTTTTGTTTAGGCAAAGTCTATCTAGACATCTGGTATTTAGCTCATCATTGATTTTAATTATTGTTTTAATGTTTTAAACAGTTCCCTTTAGCTATTCTTACTGATAATTTCATTGTGATGAGGCTGCATTTTAATATTTTAATGTTTCACTATTTTAATTGTTGTATTTTAATCTTGTTTTTAAGTTGTATTCATTCAACTTGTTTTTATTATTGCTTGTTAGCTGCCCTGAGCCCGGGCTTGGCTGGGGAGGGCGGGGTATAAATAAAAATTATTATTGTTATTATTGTTATTATTAATAATAATATTTTATTATTTCTGTAAACCACTTTGAGATTTTTTGCTCTTTCTTACAATGAAGCAGTACATAAATTTTGTGGGGGGAAAATAAGTATCTGCCAACAATGAAAGGCTCTGGATCTGAAAAATAGTGCAGCAGCACTGGAAGGGAACTAACAGGATGGAATGGTCCTCCATACCAAGAATGAATGAATGAATGAATGAATAAATAAATAAATAAATAAATAAATAAATTTACTTATTGAAAATAAAGTAAAAATCCCTGCAGACAGAAAATCAGTATATGATGGAGCCTTATCTCACTCTACTACACTAGTTGTCTATATGCAAGGATTCCTTCTTTATTAGAGGAGAATCCAAACAGATGAATGAACCCCCACCTTCAGCATGAAGAGTGATCCTCCACTGAAAGTAAACAAACCAATAATCCCAGCGCAGAGAAAATTAGCATGTCATGGCTGAGGGTGAAAGGTGATAGCTTTCTACATGCAGGGACATATTTGGTTTCCTGTGTAGAAGCAGGCTGGGAATGTCCCTACCTGAAAGTCTGGAGAGCTGCCGCCATTTGGCGTAGAAAATACTAGATGGACAAATGGTCTGGTATGGTATAGGGCAGCTTCCTATTGACCTCTCCAGAACCATGGGGATTGGAATATTGCTATTATTTTTAAGGGAAGGTCCACAGCCTGGTGGTGGGTCATCTGCTTTGCATGCAGAAAGTCCTAGGTTCAAACTTCGGCATGTTCAGGTAAGGCTTTGGAAAACATATTGTCTGAAACTCTGGAGAACTGAAACAGTCAGTGTAGATGATGCTGAGCTAGATGGGCCCAAAGGTTTAGAGAATAGCTTCTCTCTCTGTCTTGGGGATATCCAATGAAGTTGAACACTGGAAGGCTCAGGACAGATAGAAGGTAAAGGTAAAGGGACCCCTGACCATTAGGTCCAGTCGTGGCCGACTCTGGGGTTGCGGCGCTCATCTTGCTTTACTGGCCAAGGGAGCAGGCGTACAGCTTCCGGGTCATGTGGCCAGCAGGACTAAGCCGCTTCTGGCGAATCAGAGCAGCGCACGGAAACGCTGTTTACCTTCCCACTGGAACGGTACCTATTTATCTACTTGCACTTTGACGTGCTTTCGAACTGCTAGGTTGGCAGGAGCAGGGATCGAGCAATGGGAGCTCACCCCATCACGGGGATTTGAACCACCGACCTTCTGATCAGCAAGTCCTAGGCTCTGTGGTTTAACCGACAGCGCCACCCGCGTCCCTCTCAGGATAGATAAAAGAAAGCATTTCTTCATGCAGTGCATAGACTATGGAACTCGCTGCCACAGGAGGCAATGATAGCCACCAAGATGGATGGCTTTAAGAGAAGTCTGGACAAATTCTTGAAGGACAAGGACATCAGTGGTTACCAGCCACAATGGCTAGGCTCTGCCTCCACAGACAGAAGCAGCAATGCTTCTTGAATACCAGTTCCTGGAAGCCACAGGAGAGGAGAAGACTCTTGTGTTTGAGTCTTGCTTACAGGTTTCCCACCGGAATCCAGTTAAGCACCGTGAGAACAGGCCATTGGCCTGATCCAGCAGGGTTGTTCTTATGTACCTGCAATCATATAGCTCAGAAAAAGATTGAACATCTCACCAGCTGCTTCTCAGAATCTAAGACCCAAGTCTCACATACCAATCTCAAATTGAAGCTATTCTTTATATCAGCCAGAAGGCAGGGAAGGAGCAAATCAGAACAGCCAGACAAGAAGACAAGCTATTAAATGTGCCAATCTGTTACACCCACAAGGATATTAATAGCTAGGGGAAGGAATAATGGGGTTTTCCCCCCTGTGTCTTTGCATGTAAGACTAAAGAACAGAGACTGAATTCCATTGGTAAAGGGGTTGAAGATAAAACTACCAATATCATAGCATTCTTATACAACTCTATAGTGGAACCACACTGGGAAACAGTTCTGGTTAGTTACCACACCTCAAAAAGGATATTGTAGAGCCAGAAAAGGGCAAGCAAAATAACCAGGACTATGTGTGCAATACTGGACCAACTCTCTTTCCAGGAAAGGTTACAACATTTAAGGCGCTTTAAGTTGGGAAAAGGGGTGAATAAGGGACGTGATAGAACTGCATAAAACAATACATGCTGTGGAGAAAGTGGATAAGGGTATGTTTTTCTTGCTATCTCATAATACTGAAACTCAGGGCTATCCAAGCAAGCTGAACTGGGGGAGATTAAGGACAGACAAAAGGAACGACTTCTTCAAACAGTGCACAGTTTAACTGTGGAGTTCACAACCACAAGAAGGGGTGATGGCCACCAACTTAAGACAGCTTTAAAAGGGGACTGGCCAGATTCATGGAAGAATAATGCTATCAAAGGCCCGCTAACCACAACAGCTTTGTACAACTACTTTCCACTGCTGGGAGACAGGATGTCTTTGAATACCAAGTTATAAATGGGGAAAGGTGCTGTCACACACAGGTGTTGCTTGTGGGCTTCTCAAGGGCACCCGGCTATGATTATTATTTATTAACTGTGTGCATTACTCCCACCAAAGTCTTTAAGGTGACTTACAAGATACAAAATAGGAAATACAATTTAAAAATCCATAAATACAACCGCATAGGAATATCAACGGCCATTTTACAAAGCTGTGCGAAAAGGGTTCCCATAAACAACATTAAAATCTGTCAGCAGAAGAAAGATGATAACTCCCCAAACCCTAAAAACCACATCACTGTTGAAATTAATAGAACTGCTAACGTTTAATGAAAAGCCAGGGAGCTTACTTGCCAGGAAGTATGGCTGGAGAAGAGTACTGGAACTCTCTGCTCCGCTAAGACTTGACAAGCCTTTTGCTAGTACAGTCATACCTCGGGTTGAATATGCTTCATGTTGAGCGTGTTCGAGTTGTGCTCCACAGCAACCCGGAAGTAACGGAGCGCATTACTTCTGGGTTTTGCCACTTGCGCATGCGCAGACACTCAAAATGACATCACGTGCATGCGCAAAGCGGTGAAAAGCGACACGCGCATGCGCAGACGTGTCGTCACTAGTTACATTTGCTTCTGTATGCGAATGGGGCTCTGGAACGGATCCCATTCATATCCAGAGGTACCACTGTAATAAGGATAATTCTGGAAGGACCACAGCTTAGTGGCAGAACATCTGCTTTGCATGCAGAAGGTCCCAGGTTCAACTCCACCCCCTGGCATTGCCAGGTAGGGCTGGGAATGTCCTGTTTAAAACCCTGCAGAGCAACTAGAGTCAGCTTGGAGTCTGAGTTATACAGATCAATGCTGTCTGGGTATAAGGCAGCTGCCCATGTTTCTCTTATGAATTAATTGTCAAATTCCAGGAAACTCTTGTTCCATGCCCACCTGGAAGGGACATACATAAAGGCTCAATTCATGCATTATGAAAATGGTGAGACACAGAAACAGAACCAAATGCAAGATTTTTATTTTTTTTTAAGCATTTGGAAAATGAATGCTGCAGTACATCAGATTGAAAGGCAGATGAATTATTTAAACTGGGTATGGATGGCATACCACCCGAAATGAAAACTGCCAAGCAACGTAATGTAGAATTTGTGTATCATCTTACATGAGTTTTGTTTTTTTAAAGAAGGAAAGGAAGAGGATCATTACCTGTAGCGGTTTTGTCAACCGAATTGTAATCTTCAACCACAGAGTCCTCGATCACATCGCTGATTTTCTGCCACGGCTCCAGCTCCTCCTCCTCACATTCCATAAATAGGTCTGTGTCCGCCATCCTGGGGGTGGGGGAGAAGAAAATAAAATTTGTCAATCTGTCTTTTGTGGGGAAATGAAGAACTGAGGCCTAAGCCAGGAAAACATATGCTATCGGTCCAATGGAACGGTTCTCAAACTTCCTCCCCTCTGGGAACTCTCTCCACGTTCAATGAATGTAAGAAGAGTCCTGCTGGATCATCTCAGTGGCCAACCAGATGCAAATAAGAAGTCCACATAAGGTGGACATGAGCACAAGGACACTCTTCCCTCCACACCCCGTTTCCAGCAACCAACAGGCACAATGCCTCTGACAGTAGTGGTTTCAGAATTCCTTATGCATTCTAGCGGCCCCCAATTCTTGATCATCCTGGGAAGTGTTCAACAACTGCCGAAGGCTGGTCAAATACCAGCCCTGCCTGTGTACTGAGATTGTTGGAAGGATCTCTTCTCTGTGTTCCACCGCTGGGGGAACGAGGCTATGTGGTAGTGCATGGCGGGGCCTTCAATGTGGTGGCTTCCCAAATGGGGACAGCCCTTCCCTTACAGGTAGAGGCAGTTCCAAGAGCATTACCATTTCACCCAGGCATGTCAAGTTTTGTAAAGTTGATGGTTGTTTTAACCTGATCTATTTTTCAATGGTATATTTCAGCATGTTGTTTATTATTTGATTGTTTTTATCTGTGCCCCACCAGAGAACAGATGAGAGAACAGATTATAAATATTATTTAATAACTAAAGTAAAGAGGAAATAATGTCAGATCTTCCACAAAGCCATGATGCTGAAAGTGTTTGAGGAATTGGCCCAATGCCTATTTAGAACAACTGCTAAACTGAAAGTTTAAAAACTGGCTTTGTGTTTTGTTTTTTTAAAATACTTGCTGTTACTTTGTTTTGCTTCAGTCATTTAAATTGTAACTGTATGTCAGCTGTGATACATACTATCACATTTATATAGCTTTGAAAGAATTATTATTAGTACTTCATTTCATTAATATTACAACAAAATACCCATCAAACCAAATTATGACACTGCGGGAACTCTTTAACTCAGGGGTCAGCAACCTTTCTCAGCCATGGGCTGGTCCACTGTCCCTCAGACCATGTGGTGGGCCGGACTATATTTTGGGGGGGGAAATATGAACAAATTCCTATGCCCCACAAATAACCCAGAGATGCATTTTAAATAAAAGGACACATTCTACTCATGCAAAAACACCAGGCAGGCCCCACAAATAACTCAGAGATGCATTTTAAATAAAAGGACACGTTCTACTCATGTAAAAACAAGCTGATTCCCGGACCGTCCGTGGGCCAGATTTAGAAGGCAATTGGTCCACATTCGGCCCCCAGGCCTTAGGTTGCCTACCCTGCTTCAACTGGTGCCAAGATAACATTCCCTCTATCTAGTTCTTATTTTCAACAAATGAGGAGTACAAAAAAGAAGAAATGTTCCTAAAACGACGCTTTGAAAGAGTGAAGGTGATCAAGGAAACACAAGGATTTCACTGCTTTTTCCCATCTACATCCAGTCTAACAGAAATTGTGACTGAGGTGTACTCCTTTAGCAATGAGATTGAGAAGCTTGACACTGAAGGAGGTACAAAATCTCTGGATATGTGCTGTTGGTGGACTATGAAAGTAAAAAAGGAACCGTGACTTCTTTCACCCGCCAAGCCCAGTATCATCTTCTGTTTACCCATCTAGCCGGGATGCTCTTAAGGTGGGGTGAGCACAAGTTCTAACAAGGGTCAACCAAGAACTGCAACTGGCCGCACTTACACTTTGACAAAAAATGAAACGTTGTGTTGCTACAAATGCTCTTTAAGAGAGTTTGGTGTGAAGTATAAATAATGGAAGAATAAATGTTTTCAGACCCGTTTCATGTGTAAGGTTTCCACACACACCCATAATTTAGTTTGATATGCATTTTGTTCTAATGTTCATGAAATGAAGTACTAACAATAATTCTTTCAAAGCAATTCTATAACGCAGCAGCAAGCTATCACTCTACTTTGGAACATGTTTTTAAAAGAAAAGCCTGACTAGCTTTTCAGATACCTTACAATTGCATAACTTTCTAAATAAATGCCTAAAGTAACTGATATTATAGTTTGAAGTCTTGTTTCTTCTGTTATATTTTACTCTAAGAAGACCTATTCACCCTAAATAGAACCCAGTAAGGCAGATATGTACAAAATATTTTTTCCAATGTGATCCCATTGAGAGCCCAAGATGAAATTTTGCAGGTAGATCTTAGAAATATTAAATAATCAATACAATATTTTTTGAAAAAGTTTCATCATTAATTTTTAATCACTTTTTAAATTTTTAAATTTTGTAACTTAAATCTAAAATTTAAAGTAAGTTCATCTTTTGACATATCATATTAAAATCCCAAGAAGTTCTGAAGAGATTGGTGTTTTAGTTTTAACGTATCTCAATGCTGGGTTGAGCTTTTAAGATTTTTGTGTACTCCAACAAGGCCAAAATTGTCATTTTTTTTGACAATTTCAAACCCTCATAGCTCACAAACGGGATGAGATAAAAAGCTAAAATTTTAGATTTAAACTTTGTTTTGATCGTTCAACAAATGTACAAAATATTAAGAAAATTGGATGACAAGGTAAAAAAGTTGGATCACTTGATATGGAATAAACCAGCTGAGGTACCACATCCAAAAAGGTGTTCTCATTGGTAGAGAGAGAAAGTGCCAAAGAAGAACCATCCCGTGAACTCTCTCTGCATTCAAAGCTTGCTGACATGGTTCAAAGTTATAAACGATTCACTGCAATTTTATTTTGCTTGTTTGAAGCAAAATTTCACAATACAGTACTGTAAACAGTTAACAGATTTGTTGGGGGTGGATTATGTAATTAACACTAAAGCCTAAACCTATTGATAATTCAGTGTTATGTTGTTGTTGCTCTAATTTAATGCTTGAGAGTTATTTGTCTGGTTAAATGTCCAGCTTCTCCAAATGCTACAATTCTAACCACTCTAGAGGAGGCGACTTTATTATTATTACTTAATTCATACACCCTAAACAAAAAATTATATTCACAGGGCAGCTAAAAAATGTCCTCTTAAGGGATCAGTTTTGCCATACTTCTTGCTATTCTTCCATATATGTAGCATTACATTTGCAAAACAAAGTTGATGTTTACTGCCGTTTTTTTATCAAGCAGCTCAACTAGCTCTGCTCCAGCCATCCAGCCTGATCTGGCCCATATGCTGCTTGGCCTGATCTACGGCAATGCCATGATAGCAGCAGGCCTGAAAGATGACCCCCTGGCCAACAGTGAACTGGCTGAACAAGCTCCTTGACAAAGCCCTGGAGAAGCACTGAGAGTCTGGACTCTCTAAGACTTTAAAGCTCAACAACTTTCGGGGTGTCCTAGTTTTTTGTTTCTGAAATATGGCAACCCTAGTAGTTTCAATTTTAATGGGTTGTCTGCAACCAAATTTTACCCAAAGTAGACCTACTGAAATCAATGGACCTAAGTTAGTCATGTCTATTAGTAATTTCAATGTGTCTACTACTCTACTGTTATATTATTTCAACAATTTGCATACCGCTTAATCGCAGTCCTCTCTAAGCAACGTGCAAGAGAATTTGAATGGACTGTTTCCATTTTAGCTGGTTGTGTTAGTTTGCATGATTCATTTTATTATTCCTATGTGCTTTTAACCAGCTTGAAACTAGCATGAAAGTCACTATTGCAGATGTTGCCTTGGTTGGAAAGATGTTGTAGCAAGCAACTAAAAGTGAATAGAGAGACTTTTGCCGTTCGGCCTCCTGCCTTTCAACTCTTCAGATAACACCTCTTGGCTTAAATTCCACCTTCTTGTGGGTGATTCCATTTCCTACCTCATTAAACTTTTACTCTCTGTCCATTGTGCTATTTGCCATCAACTTCCTGGTCACCTACTGAAGCCAACTCCCTTTGACTTCCCATCCTCTTTTCCTCACAACCTCCGTGGGTCCTCTGTTACCAGGGTTTGCATCCAACTGAGGTCCATTCATTTCAGCGGGTCTACTATGAGCAGAAAGCTGGATGCTGCTCAAGCGATACTGCTGTTTTCAAACCCCTTGGGTCCACATTGATCAAAGGCAGGGAGCCACAGGCCTGGAAACCAAATACAGCTCTCCAAGCCTCTCTGTCCAACCCTCAATATTCTCTCCAGGCCACCACCTCCACCAGCCTTACTTCATAGCCTACTTGAGTCTTTTTGCTTGGTTGGGATGTCCCATTGAACTCTGATAATTCTCTTGGTTGCCTGCATCAACATCTTTGAAGATTGAGAACAAACATAGCCTGGCATCAAGATTCACTGGTCTACCTACAACTCCAGCACATTATTTTAAACCTCCAGAACTCTTCAAGAACTGCGAAGAGACAAATTCTAAGCAGGCCACTGCATCCAGCCTCAAGCACAAATCTGTACCACTTCCACACACCAGTTCAACTAAGTAGAAATCTCCCACATTTCTTCTTCCCTTCAGTCTTCCTCCCAAAGCCTTTGCTGTACATAATTTTGAGACCCTAAGGCTTCCCTGATTCAATCCAATTATTTAATCCAAGTGATAAATAATGCTAACATTTTGCTTTCTGCCACCTCACAGGCAGATGCTCATTCGCAAACATGGACCCAGAATGTGCTAAATATATCACAAGATATCTTTTCTCCCCTTCTAAACCAGATTCGAACACATTAGAGGTTTGTTCTATTAAAATAGACCTTTGTGGGCACTAAGTAATTAAGTTACTGTACTTAGTGTACTTAATTGATTAACAGCCTGGCACTAATAATAATAATAATAATAATAATAATAAATACAGACCACTTCCTTAACTTAAGCAGCCAAACCAGTTTTAAATTTTCTTACAAGAAGGAAAGGAATCATTCCATTATTTTCAAACTGAGTGCCATGAAAAATGAAAACAGTGTTTATTATTTACATATACAGACTGGTTGTTGTCTGAGATCTCAAAGCAATTTACAATGGATAGATATGAGCACAGTAAGTAAGTACAATAAAATCTTCCATCAAGTGATTTGTAAAACAAATATATAAACAATATCCATACATAAACACAATACTCACGTAAATGAAATAGGGGAGCACTACAAGGCAGCACAACGTAATATTTCAACCAGCTAAAACACATTGTCATTACACCCACTCACTTGGTCCACTCACCTTCCATGCAACCACCACACACCTTCACTACCTCAACCAACCACTCATACATAAAGCACTCATACTCAATATTATAATTACAATATTATAACCCACATACAAATGATATGATGGATGTACCCACCAACCAAGCCTTCACCAATCTGAAAACCTCCAGATCTGGATGGCTGTGGGTGATGGAAGTTATAGTTCAAAACAGAGCATAGAACATTGGTGAGGTTTCTGCTAATCTATACCCCTTGAAGGAGGGAGGCCATGGAGTGTTGATCAAAGTGGACTGGACAAATCCATTGAGTAGGCCATCAGTGGATACTAGCCATGGTGGCTATGCTTTGCCTCAACAGCTGGAGACAGCAACGCTTCCAAATACCAGTTGCTAGAAAACAACAGAGGGGAGAGGGTTCTTGAACTCAGATCCCTGTTGCAGGTTTCCCACAGGCATCTGGTTGGCTACTGTGAGAACGGGATCCTGGACTAAATGGGCTACTGGCCTGATCCAGCAGACTCTTAATGTGTTCTTAATCCCACTCTGCTAATATAGGCAGGCGCTATGGCCCTGAATGAGGAAGGACATACAGGCTGACTCAGTTCACCTTACAACTGTCAGGGGTGTGTGTGTGTGTTGGGGGCGGTGTATCCCTGAAGCATCTAATGCTAACTGATGCTCCCTTGTTCCTTTCACATCAACACTATTAGGTGAAGCTCATTAACTGCATTCCCATTTTATTTTCCAACCAGCAGCATCAAACCCTGTGCGCCAGTTAGCAAGTCATACAAGATGAACAGAGTTAATATGCCCACGTAATCTAAGAAAAGTCCCCAAGTGTTACAACGCTCCGCGCCCCCCCCCAAGAAAAAGAATGGCTGAAAAATTGCTGAGGAAAACGAGAGGTTAAAACCATCATACTCATATTTAGGTTATTGATTTGGTCCTGAACTTTTTTTAAAAAAGCAAGGTTCACATGGAGGTGAATCTCCTTCACCATGGGCGATCAGATGTGTGGCTATTTAAAAGGCCTGTGTAAAATTACATTGTAATGATTGCAACTGGAATAAACACATATTATTCCGCTCCTTGCTACCACACTCACACACACTTCCCTTTGACTAATTTTAAAATGTAAGTCCACTTGGGACAGGCACCTCGCCTTTTATCTAGAAAGAAATGCATATTCTTCCTGTAGTGACTCTTCTCCTCCTTCTGTTGCCTCTTCCACCACGGTTGGCTCCAGTGGTTGGAAATTTCCTGGGGGCCCACACTGGTGGAGTGTGTGTGTGTGTGTGTGTGTGTGTGTGTGTGAATAGCAACAGCACCTCCCTGCAAGACCTGCTCCTCCTCCTCTCCACCATTGCAACCTCCTTGCTTGTTTATCAGCCTCTTCACTCTGGTCCAGAAAGTGTTAGCGGTGAGAAAGTGGATCAGAAATGACACTCTCAGGTATCTTGTTCGTTCTCTGCTTGTCAAGCAAGCAGCTCTGTTGCCATGAAGAGGAAGAGAGGGAGATGGTGATGATGGTGGAGAGGAGGTAGATTCGCTGAAGGGAGGAGCTTCTCTGAAACCTGGAGCCAACACTATCTCCCACATTAAATTTCACACTGGACCTCTTGTACATCATAAAGCATCGTGCACATTGACAATGTTACCAGCAAGTAAATACCCAGAGATTGCTACGGTGTCACCTCTCTCAGAAACCCAGTGCACTCAACAGTCAGTATTTAACCGAGACCTCACAACACCCACGCAGGTTGGCAAGGATACACACTTGATCAACAGTAACAGAAGAATGGGGGGAGGATGCACAGGGACCGTGCTCCAATAAAAAGCAACTCAGGAGCAGCCAGCCACTCTGTCTAGGAAACTGGTCTTCCTCTTCCAACCAGGAGCACATAGTGCCAATCTGCTTTTAGCATATTAAAAGTCAGGATGATGAAAACATATTATGCCTGGGTGAAACACAGTGAGTGGCTTGTTTACTGACGGTTGTTATCAAGGGGTACCACGGCCATAACCACAGAGTTAACGGCTGTGGATACTTTGACAGAAAAGCAGTATGTAAAAGATACAAAGTGTGTAAAAACCCTAGATGCTTCAAGGCAGACTGAGAACAGTGGATAGAAGGAATTTGTTTACAGCAAAGGTGGATAAAGCTGAGTTGTTGGACTCCATCAGTCCCCACCTAGCACGGCCAGCCAATGGTCAGGGAGGATGGGAACTTGAGTCTAGAGATATCTGGAGGGCGGAGAGACACCTGCATTCCTGCATTACAGCAGTCACCAAACCTTTCAGATCTTTAACCCTAACACACAACATAGGACCAATCCACTTCATAAAAGAAACCCCGCACACACTTATTATTATTATTATTATTGTTGTTGTTGTTGTTGCTTTCCCCCTGCTTTTCTCTCTACTTCCTGCGCTTTTCTCAATATTTCCCCTTCTCTTAAAAAAAATTCCAAGAAGAAAAGAAAGATAGTGATGTCACAGTTGTGCATTCTAGCCCACTAGTTGAAATCCAACAATTAATTAGACCAGGGCTGGGAAAACTTTGGCCCCTCCAGATGTTGTCTGGCTCAAACTTCCATCAGCCCTAACCATCATGGCCAATAATCAGAGACAGTGGGAACTGTACTTCAGTAACATCTGGAGAGCCACAGGTTACCCACCCCTGAAACAGAATTAGGCTTACAATTCCAGAGGGCTGACCACATTTTGTAAGAATAAAAAACCAAGGCTCCAGTGGCACCTGAAAGATTATCACGTTTCTCATGCTATAAGGTTTCTTGGGCTAGAGACCACTTTTCCAAATCTGACCACGTGGCCTGTGGTCCTCTGAAGTGACAGTCTTTTAAGACGCCACAGGACTCAGCTGTTTGAAGCTATGGGGTGGTTAAATGGGGAGCTTATTTTTAGCAGAAAAAGAAGAAAGGAAGGTATTGTCCTGGGATTGGCCAGTGTGTGTGTGTGGAATTTCCAGGCTGCCCATCACTGACAAATTTGGTTATAGTGCTCCCAAAATCAATTAACTGATGGTTAAATTTATTGCCTACTCTTCACCAGCAGGTCCCAGGGTGTGGTTCCAACAATTACAAATGGCACCTAGGAACATGTAAGATTTCCCCCCTTACTCCAGCAGCAACTTGGAATATTGAAGGTGGACATGGTTTTCCCAGTAGTGATGTATGGAAGTGAAAGCTGGACCATAAAGAAGGCTGATCGCCAAAGAATTGATGCTTTTGAATTATGGTGCTGGAAGAGACTCTTGAGAGTCCCATGGACTGCAAGAAGATCAAACCTATCCATTCTTAAAGAAATCAGCCCTGAGTGCTCACTGGAAGGACAGATCCTGAAGCTGAGGCTCCAAGACTTTGGCCACCTCATGAGAAGAGAAGACTCCCTGGAAAAGACCCTGATGTTGGGAAAGATGGAGGGCACAAGGAGAAGGGGACGGCAGAGGACGAAATGGTGGGACAGTGTTCTCGAAGCTACTAACATGAGTTTAACCAAACTGCGGGAGGCAGTGGAAGACAGAAGTGCCTGGCGTGCTCTGGTCCAGGGGGTCACAAAGAGGCGGACACGACTAAACGACTAAACAACAACAACAACATGGCACAGAAAGCTGCCTTATATTGAATCAGATCCTTGATTCAACTAGCTCAGTACTGTCCACACTGACTGGCAGTGGCTCTCATGGAAGTGCAGGGAGTTGAACCTGGGACCTTTTACATGCAAACTATGTGCTCTAAAACAGAGCTGTGGTCCTTGCCTCAAAACTAAAGCAAGATTCCAGTCCTCATGATTCTGAATGATCGGCTGATTTGAACAGGGGCATAGGAAGCTGCCATACTGAGTCAGACAGTATTATCTGCACTGACTGGAAGCAGTTCTCCCAAGATTTTAGGCAGGAGTTCTTCACAGCCCTAGGTGGAGATGCTGGGGATTGGACCCAGTATCTCCTGCATGCAAAGCAGTTGCTCTACCACTGAGCTGCAGTTCCTCCCCTCACATTTTCATCAACACATTATTATTATTTTTTAAAAGGGTATGTTAATAATGTCATACTGGCCAGAGGGATTGAGGCTGGATGATTCTGGAATGCAACAAACCAGCCCTAGATCCAATTTCTTGTGACGCATTTTTCAGGCCAAAGAGTCTACGGCTTTCCAACTCAAAAGGTCCATTTTCCTAGCAGGAGATTCTGATTCAACAAGAAGCATGGCACCTGGGAGAACTCCTGGGAAGAGGTGGGTAGAAGACACAGTCACCTGACAGACAGCAGAACTGGTCTAAAACACACACACAAAGGTTAGTCTTGAAGGAACTGACAAGATACTACACATTGTTCAATTACATGCATGTTTACAGAGAAATTCAGTCAGAGGATTCTGCAGAGGTCAGACCTAGGGTCACGCACTACTCAAAATCCACATTAATTACATAAACTAGGGATAGATAACCCCTTCATGGATCACTGCCTTGCCGTGGTGAAGGGGCTTGAATAACTCAGAGAAGCTATGAACTATGCCGAGCAGGGCACCCAAGATGAACAGGTCATAGTGGAAAGTTTTGACCAAACGTGATCCACCTGGAGGAGGAACCGGCAAGCCACTCCAGTATCCCTGCCAAGAAAACTCCATGGACAAAGACAACTCCCTGGAAGAGACCCTGATGTCGGGAAAGATGGAGGGCACAAGGAGAAGGGGACGACAGAGGACGAGATGGTTGGATAGTGTTCTCGAAGCTAGCAGCATGAGTTTGACCAAAATGCGGGAGGCAGTGGAAGACAGAAGTGCCTGGCGTGCTCTGGTTTAGTCGGACACGACTAAACGACTAAACAACAACAACAGGGATAGAGACTTTTTCAGCTTGAGCCGCGCATTCACTTTCAGGCAAGCTTTTGAAGGTGACATGTCTGCAGTGGGCAGGGCCAGAGGGTAAAATGAGAGGAGCAACTAATACCAATTTCACCTATATACGGTAAGTTAGTTTCTGCACACACTCACACACCATTCTGTATCCTATCCAGACCAGCAAGAGGCATTATCAGACTTCAACAACACATTCCAGCCAGGCAAAAGCACTGGGGGTGTAAAGCAGGGCTACTGAGGGGGGGTTGCCTGGGAAGCAGGGTGTATACTCTCAAGAAGGGTTATGAGGGCCAGAGAGAGAGGACTGGGGGGCCACTTTCACCTCCTGGGCTTGAGGTTCCGCGCCCCTGACATATATGCTTATGAAAATGAGACAAAAGTAGGAGCACGTGCAACCATTTCTGAGGAAAAATTCAAAATGACCTGAAACGAAGGAGAAATCAAGATGCAATTGAATGGAAGTAGAAGTTAAGTGTAAGTGTTACACAGAAGGTTATTGAATATGATGGGGCAAAACTCACTAGCTACTCGCACTTCGAAAGGAAGATTCAGGAATTACAGTACGACAAAATGGACATGAGATAAACCAACAATAGGTTGCTATGATACAGAAGAATGTTGCATCAATGAAATATCACAGCCAAGATTCTGGAAGCAATGGAACTGGTCTATTTTGGACCAGTGAAGCATCTCTTGGGCAACCCAAAGAAGTTGGAAAATAGGGAGACAGTCTGAGGAAAGTCTGAAGATACAGGGTGTATTTAGCATAGATTAATGAAAATGATTTATAGGTGGTACATGACACCAGTCAAGCTTGCAAAAATTTACCATTTGCCCGACAATAAATGTTGGAAATGTAATGAGACTGAAGGCACATTCTTCCACCTTTGGTGGACATGCCCAAGGATTAAGACATTCTGGGAGATGATTTATAATGAAATGAAAAAGGTATTCAAATATACCTTCCTGAAGAAACCAGAGGCCTTTCTCCTGGGCATGGTAGGCCAATTGGTGTCAAAGAAGGATAGAACTTTCTTTATGTATGCAACAACAGCAGCAAGGATACTCATCGCAAAATATTGGAAGACACAAGATTTACCCACCCGGGAAGAATGGCAGATGAAGTTGATGGAGTATATGGAACTGGCGGAAATGACTGGCAGAATCCGAGACCAGGGAGAAGAGTCGGTGGAAGAAGACTGGAGAAAATTTAAAGATTATTTACAGAAATATTGTAAAATTAAGGAATGTTAGAAAAATGTTGGAATGAAGTTACATGGCTTTAGTAAAAACGTTATAAGGAATTAAGTATAAATAGATTAATAGAGTATTAAAGGAAAAAATAAGGTTAGAATGAGTTAAGATAATTATAGGATAGAAAACAGAGGAAGATGGAAAGGAATTGCTGAAATAATTAACAGAAGTGGAATACAAAAAGGGAGGTGTGAGGAGGTCGTGGAAATAAGTGAATGAAAGATGGGATAATGAAATTGTTTGATTTTTTTTTTTTTTAATGTATTGTATTGTAATGTATTGTATTGTCTTTTTAGTGTTTAAATTTTTTGAAAAGTAATAAATATTATTTTTAAAAAAATATTTAGCATAGATTAAGGAAGATAAACTGGACTTACTGCTCGTGTTTTCAGACAGAATGGATAGATAAGATAGATAGATAGATAGATAAAACTGAAGAAAGTGAATGGTTGGTCACCCTTCAAAGGATGTTCAAATCCCAGCTTAGTGAAGAAATTCACTGGGTGATGTTGGGTTACTCTCAGTCTTTATCTCTTTACAGGGTTGTTGTGGACACTAAGTAGGTAAACTCTGTGCACACTTTCCTAAGCACATTGGGAAATGGTATATTAAAAATGTGTCAAAATTAAATGCTGACTAATTTAAGTGACAGTTCAGAGCATGGTATATAAGAACCAGCCAACCAATTCAACAGTTTATTTATTTATTTATTTATTCATTTGTTGTTGTTATTGTTAAACAATGTGGCAGAGTCCTACCTAGACAATACCATCCTACTTTGAAGAAGAGGGTGTCCTCCTTCCTCATGGAAGTAGGATTGCCAACTTTTGAAAGAGCCCATGAATCTACAACCTCAGTAGCAGTTTGAGCTGCAGATAGCAGCAAGTACATTAACACTCATCTCAATGAGTTTCCTATGCACAGAGTGCTTTGTTTGTTTGAAAAAATACAGCCTTGACATTGAAAACTCCGCTGAACATGTAGATAATTTAATCCATTATGGTGCTCATGCTGGTGTCTGATATTACAACAGGAACAAGTGCTAGAGAAACAGTGATATATGGCAATAAAATAAAAACACCTTTCTTAAAGGACTACAGTATTTTGTTCTAGGCACATAAAGGGAGGGGCACTGAGAGAGTGTGCCCTAAATTTATGCAAACTATTATCCTAAATTTGTCACCAAACTATTTATTTTTCTTATAGACCTGGGTAGACTGCTTGGATTTTTTTCCAGACCTTGTAACTAACAAAGGATGCCCAAATCCTGTGTTTCTAAGACTCCTGAACTCACTTATTAGGGAACAAATCCCACTGAATACAGTAGGATTTACTTCAAAAGGAAAACTCTTAGGAGCCTTCTAGTATATCAAATCTGGGGACATTCGTCACCTTTCCACAGTAGGGGTTTACACATCATAATCAAGTTAAAAGGTATCACCTTTTCAACTGTTTGACACTTTACAAAATCCCTACACAACAGACAATCCCTTCACAGAATTTGCCACCATGTATACAGGTGCCAATTTGCACTGTGATCTGTGAGCTGTAAGTTTATACCATCTGCCATGAATTCGCAGGATGCCCTAACAGCAACAAATATGTCTGTCTCAATGCCCACCTGTAATTTGGAGTTAAGAAAAACGGGCCAACTTACTGTCTTGTTATATAAGCACATGAAGATAATGGCCCGGTTCACACTTAACTTGGTTTAAGCCACAGTTTAACAAGCGATGAGTTGTCCCACAGACAATCAAAGAAGCCATGGCTTTTCTCCAGTGTTTGGTTTGTTTCCCAGCTGCTTTTGCCTAGTGCCTTTGTGGGTTATTGAGCATCTGAGGATGGGGTGGCCAAACAAACCATTATTATTATTATTTATTAAATTTATATACTGTCTTTCATCAAAAGATCTTAGGGGCAGTTCACAGAGAATTAACACATAATACCCAAGACGTGGTTAAAGCAAACCAGGGTTTCAGATCACTGCCTGTTGGGCAGTAAACAAACCACAATTAAGCAACTGGCCTTTGCATGCAACGCTAAGCCATGGTTTAATAAACCATAGTTTAAGCGCGTAAGGGCCCTGCAAAGGCCTGTCTAGCCCAGCATGCTATTCATACAGGGGTCAACCAAAGGCCTCTGGAAAGCCCACACGCTGGACCTGGGCACAGTAATAATACAGTCATACCTCGGGTTACAGCCTCTTCAGATTGCGCTTTTTTGGGTTATGCACCCGCCAAAACCCGGAAGTACCGGAACGGGTTACTTCTGGGTTTTGGCGGTCGCGCATGTGCAGAAGCGCTAAATCGCAACCCGCGCGTGCGCAGACACGCCGCTGCGGGTTGCGAACGTGCATCCCGCACGGATCACGTTTACAACCTGAGCGTCCACTGTACTTTTATTGTCATTGTACAACCTGTGTACAAAGAAATTAAACAACAGCACTCTTCCCACTTGCGATTCCCAGCATATGGTATACAGAGGCATACTGCTTCTGACAGTGGACAACACAGCCATCATGCCTTCTAGCCACTGATATCCTAATCCCCCGTGCTCATTTATTAAACCAGGCCACTGTATACAAATGTGACATATCCCTGAAGCCATAAAGGTGTCAACCCACCAGCCTCCTTGCTGCACAGATGCAGAGTCGGGAAACGGTGGCTTTCCTACCTACGTTGCGCGGACGATCATTATGTTATAATGCACAGAAGAAAAATTAACGGGAAGCTCACCTGTAGCTCCTAGCCCAACAGCTGATCGTAAGCACAGGGAAAGGGGGAAGCCCCGGCCGCGACTGTCACATGGCCGCAAACTCCCTGCACAAGAAGACTTTGGCAGTGAACAAAAACAGCCCTCGGTGTGAATTAGTATGGAAAGGGTGGGTCCCCCCCCCCCTGCAACTCTCACAGAACTCCCATCGGCAACGGCAAATGCGGAATTCTATTTAATGCAGAATAAAAGGAGCTGTGTCGCCTCGAGGTGGTTGACATGACAACAAAGTCAGGTCAAGGGATGAAGCTTCCTTTCTTAATTCTGATGGGGGGGAAATGGAGGGGATTGTCAGAATATTAAAAGCCCCCCCCCCCCAGCGAACATATTCTTATATTCTATTATAATTATGTATGTATTGGGGAGGGAAGCGATTTCTGAAGCGGAGCATCTCCCTTACTCTTTCCCCCCCCCACCCTCAAAGTGAGGGAAATTCAAAACCAGCTACTTCCCACTCAAAGAGGACCCCAACGAAATATCATTATTCCTCCCAATATGAATTTAAAAACCACCTTAGAAAGCACAACACCTCATGCTTTGGGTGGGGGGGGGGGGGAAGAAAAATAATCCCTTTGCCCAACATGGCCGCCCACCCAGCAACTGAGTTGCAGCTTGGGAAGGATGGGTGCATTCGATTAATATATTAATAAATTTGTACTATATACGTGTGTGTGTGGATGGGGTGTAGATACATGGAGTCCATAGGTTTATTCTGATTTTAGCGTGTATTTATGCTTTTACTTAGTACCTCAAAGGAGATTTGGGGGGGGGGTGTTAGCAGGGAGGAAGAAACGGGTTCTGTTTGAGGGGCGAAAAAGAAGATTGGGAGTGGGCGGAGGGAGCCGCGGCCACCTCACTCCGTTTTTTCCCCCTCTCTTTCTCGTCCCGCCCCTCCGGACGAAATAGTCCGGGATCACTCCGCGCCTTCCCCTCACAGCCAAGGAGGGGAAAAGTAACAAGGCGCCCCTCAAGCGAGGTAAGCCGCCGCCAAGCGGGCGGGAAAAGAGCGAAGCCCCGCCCCCTTTCTCCCCTTCCAAGAGCGAGGCCCCGCCCTCTCCCCACCTCCCTCCAATCGCCGGCTCTCGCCTCCCCCCCCCCGCGACCCCTCCCCCCCCACGGAACGTCTCGCTTTGTGTACGGCGCGCGCGCACTCCCCCCCCCCATACGCGGCTGAGGTAAAATATATATATATATATATAAAAAGGAAGGGGGGAAAAGAGACGAATGAGGGGGTGAAAAAGAGAGCCGGGCGGTTCGAACCGGTTTCCAACGGTCTCCAACCGCCACCTGCGTTCCGTTGGCTGGCGCCCGCGCGCCGCCGACGCCATGGCGCACGCGCGCTCCCCTCACACACATTCTCTCCTTCCCTCTCGCGCCGCTGCTTCCCCTCCCCCACTCCCCTCCCGCCAGCGGGTCGTGCCTTCCGTCGCGTCCGCCTCTCCCCTACATAACGGAATGGCGGCGACTCACCTTCCAGGCTCTGGCCGCCGCGGCTGCCGCCGCCGCCGCCGCCGCTGCTGCGCCTCCCGTCTCCCTCCTCAAAGCCTCGGAGGCTTGGCGCGTCCACACTCTTAAAGGGACACACACACCCCTCCGCGGAGGAGAAGAGCGGCCTAGCATGAGCTTCTACGCACACCCCTCCCGCCCTCCCTCAAATCTCCGGTTTATTTTTTTTTTCCCCCCCGTTGGAAAAAAAATAAAAAAATATGGTTGCGGGTTGATACTGAAGGAACAACACACACACACACAAAAAGGGGTCCTGGCTGGCGGAGGGATACGGTGACGTCATTTCCTCCGTCCCGCCAAGCGGGCGGCGGATTGGCTGGGGGAGTGACGTCACTGGCAGGCTGGCACACCCTAACCCAACCTGGTGAAGTTTGTCTGAGGCATAAATTATTTTGGGTGATTTCCCCCCTCCCTCCCCTCTGGTTCCTCCCAGGGTTTGGGGGGTGTCCTTTTTTAAAGGTATTTTCAAGCTAGAAAGGGAACAACAGGTGGTGGGGGAACAAGGGGATCAAGGTTGGCCATTCCCCATGGAAGCAGACATTGTGGTGTTAGCGCATCACGCCAAATATTCAGCTATTGATGCATTTACGCTAAAATATGTTACTAATTTTTATTTTCAATTTCCCCTCTCTTTTCCAACAGATGCAAACGTTCTGGAGGTTTGGTTTGCCTCCGCTGTTGGGAACTCGTTGGCGCTCAAGTAGAAGCATGGAAGGCCGCACCATTCCATCAAAGAAAGAAGTGTTGAAAAGAAGCGAGTCATCAGAAATAATCCTGCCACTGGGATTTTGAAGACTGATTATTTAAATTATGCATACATACAGACACACATATAGTTTTTTTTTAGAAGCATTTGAACCACACCGAAGTCTCCATGGATTTCAACCCATTATGTGGGCACTCTTACTTTTTCCCGCTAGATGATCAGTTGTCTATTGGGACATTTAATTAATTAGTAACTTATTTAATAATTATTTAGTAACGTTCCAATAATGCCTTTGCACTCAAAGAACTTATAAGACAGCTCACATCCATAACTTTTCAAAACAGGATTGCCTAAAAAAACTGCAGATCACAATAAAATCATCATTCTGGTTGAAACCAGGTCCAAACAAAGCATGTGTTGAACAGCCCACACGCACCCCACCCTGAAAAAAATAAATAAGTTAAATATCCAAATGGCCTGGTGGAGACAAGTTCTTAAAGTCAAAAAGAAGACACTAATAGCATCTCTCTCAAAGAGAACAGCATTTGATACAATGTGATCAGGGAGGAGAAACATGCTCCGTTACATCAAGCCAAAAAAATTGATGTCTACATAAACCTTGACTATAATGAAGGATTATGTGGGGTTTTGGAGGATTAAAAAAGTTATCAGTCATTAGTTTACTTCATCGTTGGGATTGACTCAAACTTTTAAAGCCATCAAAATGGACTGAGGTCTAAGACTTCCCAGTGACTTTGGCAGAAAATCAAAATGGCACCCTTGGCTACTACAGAGGTGGACTTAGGGGAGCACCATGGGTTCGGTTGCCCTGGGCATGGAGCGTTGGGGGCACCTCAACTATGAGGTAGAATGGAAGGTGAGAGGCGGGGGGCACTGAATTTTGGCATTGTGCAGGGTGCGGCAGAAATTTGAGACTCTCAAGTTCTGCCACTGGCTGCAGTAAGAATATATATAATAAGTGAAATACTGTAGTTGACAATTGGCTGACTTTTTCCAGAATCTGTCTTCTTAGAACTGGGGTCACTGTGCTTAATGATAGGACTTGATGGTAGAAATCAAGATGAGGAACATCCCTTTGTAAATAGTTTGTGGCTCCTGGGATTCTTCCTCTGAATTAATACCTATAATTTCCACTGTCTTGTTGACAAGACACTGAACACAGTTGTTCCTGTTATATACGTTGAGCAAGTGCCCAGAGGCTCCGTCCTACTTCACTAAGCATTTTAACGCTGAAGGTCTTTAGCTAGTAGTTAATTACAGCTGGATATGTAGGTGGCAAAGTGTGCTGGCTTAACACCCGTGTCTCATAACGACTTAATGGTCCCCTAGTGCAATATTACTTGGGCTGCTTTGCCACAACAGATTCTGCTAGTTGGAAATTATGAACGAAGGGCCAACAAATTTCTGTAGCTCTGGGTACTTTAAAGGTGTTTTATTATGTTTCCACAGCGAGTGGGCAATGCCACAAAGTAAACAAGTCAGCAAATTCCGGTGGATACCCAAAGTTTTATTTAAAAGCAACAACTTCCCAGCATGTTTCAAGCAGAGGTTACACTGTACTGTATCTGGAAGTGCTTCTTTGGTTTCCCCTCAAACTAGATGGATCAGAATCACAACTCGTTTTGATAAAGATGTTGCATTGCCAAGACCTGAACTGCAGCCAAAGGTAACGCCAGCTGGCAGCCGGATTATAACATTATCATATTGATTGCAGTATGTGTAGCCCTTTATGAAAATGGCAAGAAGTTACTGGGAGCTTTAGGAGAGGCAATAAGTATTCATCAGAACAGGTGAATATTGGTTCCTTCAAAACATACTAGTTCAAAAGCCAGTTTCCAGCCTCCTGTCACCAACAGAATTCAAAATGAATTCAAATGAAGGGGCAGTCTTGATTCTTAATAGATGGTGTCGCACAAGACGTCTCACATACCACATCCATCAAAATGATAGCATTGTGCTAGTTATGCAAAATATGTCCCCCTGATACACACATAATAAATTTATTTTAAAAACATTTTGCCTGACAGGCCACTAAAAAATAATTCAGAGAAAACAGTATCCTGTAATGTGCTTCAATTGAAATCATTGTTAACAACGCACCGAAGCAAATAATATCAAACAGAATTTTACAATTAATTTATATTTATTTATTGGCTTAAGTTGCAAATTGTCCTTCGGTAACAGGACATCTGGGGGGCAGAGAATTTAAAAACCTTTTTAGCTAATTAATTTTAAATTTCTTTAATTAATTAAAATAAGCTACCCGTAGCTGAAGGCTTTGACTATTGAAATGATTCCCCAAATTTATATATCCTATAGTGGGTAACAGATTTATTTAGTTTAACAACAACAACAACAACAACAACAACCTTTGTTCCTGAATGCTTCTGGTGAGATAACAATATTTATGAAAGTAATATTGTTTCTGATAACTGTCTGTCTCGGGAGACAATGCAAAAGTGCACCTTTGGAAGCAAGTCAAACTGTTGGAGAGTTGCAGCGCCTGCTGTGGCCGTAGAGACCAATGCGGGAGAGAGATGTTTTATTGCCGACAGGGCAGATGAAGGGGCCCATTTGTGCGGCTGCAGATGCCCCATGGCGTTTCTTCTCTCTGCCCCCCTCCCAGTGCTCATTCCTCCTCTGGTCACAGCTGCAGCTACACAACCTGTCTGTCTGTCTCCAGGCACTGCGATCACCTGCAAGGGATTCCCATACGGCGGGGTTAATGTGCTTTGCCCATGACTCGCTTCCATAAAGCAGTGAGCTCAACACGCAGGCCTGGCAGACCTTCTTCATGCTATTGGTTGTGATAATAATGAGGGTGATGATGTAGTAATATTTATATTTATTTAGAAGACATCTGACATATATACTCTGGTTTCTCTTCAGATCGTATAAATCTTTCACCTTTTATTTAGAAGACATCTGAAGGCAGCCCTAAACTTAGGGAAACTTTTAATGTTTGATGCATTACTGTATTTTAGTGTTTTGTTGGAAGCCGCCCCGAGTGGCTGGGGAAGCCCAGCCAGATGGGCGGAGTAATAATATATTATTATTATTATTATTATTATTATTATTATTATTTGCCCTGACTTTTAGGAGAAGCCCTCTTGATGCATCTTACAATAAAATTCTTAAAATGATTGGCTAAACGCTAAACACATAACAACAACAGCATAAGATATAATTGAATAGGGTGCCAGCAATAAAATCAATTAACAGCTTGGTGGATTAAAAAACAAACAAACACACATTTAGAAGTCATAGGAAAGGGGCCCAAGTGAAGCTCCTGGGGGAGGAAATGCCTCACAGTACGTTAAAGTAACATATAACTAAAATCTAAAATGAAACAGTAGACCATAGTATAGACCTGGGTTGGCTAACATTGTCCTCCATATATTATTGGACTCCCAACTCCCATCAGCCCCAAAAAGCATGGCCAACAGTCAAGGGTGATGTGAGTTGTAGTTCAGCAACATCTGGAAGGACACAGGTTCGCCACCTCCTGGTCTAGACTGGTCTAGAGAGAGCACAGTTAGTTGTGTTTGTCTCTGTCTGAAATCAGTGGGGAGTGTGGTCTCAGCTATAAAATACACTTTACTGAAAGTAATACTACTACTAATAATTTATTATTTATACCCCGCCCATCTGGCTGGGCTTACCCAGCCACTCTGGGCAGCTTCCAACAAAATATTAAAATACCGTAATGCATCAAACATTAAAAGCTTCCCTAAACAGGGCTGCCTTCAGATGTCTTCTAAAAGTCAGGTAGTTGTTTATCTCTTTGACATCTGGTGGGAGGGAGTTCCACAGGGCGAGTGCCACCACGAAGAAGGCCCTCTGCCTGGTTCCCTGTAGCTTTGCTTCTCGCAGTGAGGGAACCACCAGAAGGCCCTCGGCGCTGGACCTCAGTGTAGAACAATGGGGGTGGAGACGCTCCTTCAGATATACTGGACTGAGGCCAGTAAAGTCAATTTACCTATTCAACATATGGATCTACTAGCTTCTAGTTGGGAAGGTAACAGCCTTAAGCTGTCTAATTGTAAACTGCAGCCATATGAAATTACTGCAGCCATCATGAAATATAAATGTATTTAGTTAGTGCTGCTGCCTGCTCGTCATTGATGATGCAATGTCTGCTGAAAGTGAAAGATCTCTGGAACTGACTGACTGACTGACTGACACTTTGATTGATTGATTGATTGATTGATGGATGGATGGATTGATTGAATTTCTTCCCCATTTTTCACCATGAGGTCTCAGGGTGGGTTACAGCAAACAACATACCATGCCTTATTTTGGGGTGACTGTCAGCCCTCGATCAGCTGAGCTTGCAAATGGAGCAAATGTGTGGGATCTACAATAAAATGTTATGGTGTACCCACACTCATAGTAACAGGAGTGCAAACTTCTGGAGCAGGGGTAGCTACCATATTGGCCCGAATATAAGCCGCACCTGAATATAAGCCGCACCTTTAAAATTGGAGGGGGGGGGAGAAAAAAAGAAAAAATACCCAAATATAAGCCACTCTATTCCTCGCTGCTCCTGGCTGCATACTGGGTGGGAGGAGGAGTTACGCTGCGTTGGCGGCGGCCGTTCCCCTTCTTCGCTCTCTCCCTTCCCGGCCTTGGGGGAGAGGATGGGGGACTACGCATGGGGCAGGCACCGCTTTGCGCACTCCTGGCGCTGTTTGCCCCACGCTCCTGGCTGCATACTGTAATGTCGTGAATATAAGCCACACTTTAACTTTTCACGGTCGGAATTTGGGGGGAAAGTGAGGCTTATATTCAGGCCAATACGGTAATTTGTGACCCTCCAGGTGTTTTTGGATTCCCATCACCCAGGATCACTGGCCACACTGGTTGGGGCTTAAAGGAGCTGGAGTCGACTCCAACAGCATCTAGAGGGAAAAGTGGCAGAACAAAAGAGCAATGTCTGGGAATACTTACAAAGTGACAGAACTTTCTTTTTTTTAGAGAGAAGAGTATGTGTGAGTCATATGATTTCTGTTTGATGCTGGGGATCACTGCGGGCATAACAAGTAGTGTGTTCACTTACCACTTTAAGGCATAATACTGTCATAATTAATGTTTTTAAACTTAATTACATGAAACACAAGTCATGTTTTTATTCACACATATGTCTAAAGCATTATGACACATCTTTCAGGTTCATGAAGTCTAGGCAAATAAACCCCATTCACATAATTTTGATAATGTTGATGTTATTTGTCGGAAACATTTAAGCCAGGAATTTTCTTCTACGGTATCAACTAGTGTCGTAAACAAAATCTGCCCTTATTCCTTTATGGGGTACACAAGAGCCCTTATAGAGTCCTTTGCAAGTTCTCCATCGGTCGGAGAAAATAACAGAGGCCAACCAGAAAATATTGAGAAGCAAAGCAGCTCGTAAGCCTGATCTTTATTGAACTGTTGCAACAGGGTGCTCCCTTCACACGCAGGAAAGGAGGAGGACCCAGAACAAAGGTGTGTCCGCCCTTATATAGACTTTTGGAATTGCCCGCCCTGGAGTCCAAGACCACCCCAGAAACATCATACATACGTCACATGGGACTGTCTAAAACAGAATCCTGAGTGTGTTGTTTATCTCCTGCCTGGCAGGTTACCTGCTTGCATTATCTGGATTTTGGCCACTCTTTTGTTGATAAAGGTAAAGGGACCCTTGACCATTAGGTCCAGCCGTGACCGACTCTGGGGTTGCGGCGCTCATCTCGCTTTATTGGCCGAGGGAGCCGGCGTACAGCTTCCGGATCATGTGGCCAGCAGGACTAAGCTGCTTCTGGCGAACCAGAGCAGCGCACGGAAACGCCGTTTACCTTCCCGCCAGAGTGGTACCTACTTATCTACTTCCACTTTGACGTGCTTTCGAACTGCTAGGTTGGCAGGAGCAGGGATCGAGCAACGGGAGCTCACCCCGTCGCGGGGATTTGAACCGCCGACCTTCTGATCGGCAAGCCCTAGGCTCTGTGGTTTAACCCAGAGCGCCACCCGTGTCCCCTTTTGTTGATATAACTACTTAATTCCTGAATCCAGGTCACAGGCTCACCCTATTCACACCTTAATGTGCCCTTAAGGCAGGATTTGGGAGCACAGAGACAATGGAGAGGTTTTTTAAGTTCTTCCCTCCTTGCAGAGAAACATTTGGTCAGTTTGGGAGAGTCCTGATATCAGGAATCACAAGACAGAGAAACCAGTAGGATTCAATCTCCCAGGACATTCTATACAAGATCCCAAAGTAGCTGTCTTATTACAAAAGAATTTCAGAAATAGACTGAAAAGAGAAGTTGCTGAATTGCAACTTATTACCAAACTTAAAACCATGGAGAGACCTGGTCTGAATAGAGACATTGGATTCTTATCTCATTATACATCTCACCCCTTGCTTTTTCCTGTAAGACCAACTGCAATCGCTAACGGTCGTCAACAGGTTTACCACACCTATCAGCCAATCACCCATTCCCAACACCCTTCTGAGTAATACAGTGGTACCTCGGGTTACATACGCTTCATGTTACAGACTCCGCTAATCCAGAAATAGTACCTTGGGTTAAGAACTTTGCTTCAGGATGAGAACAGAAATCGTGCTCCGGCGGCGCAGCGGCAGGAGGCCCCATTAGCTAAAGTGGTGCTTCAGGTTAAGAACAGTTTCAGGTTAAGAACGGACCTCCGGAACGAATTAAGTACTTAACCCGAGGTACCACTGTACCCCTCCCCACCCTCTCACTATATATAAGGATCCGTGACTTCTGTTTCAGTGTATCTGAAGAAGCGTGCATACACACGAAAGCTCATACAAACTTAGTTGGTCTCTAAGGTGCTACTGGAAGGAATTTTTTTATTTCCTGTACTGTTTCAGACATGTGGTTTATGTATTTATGTACGTGTTTGCCTTGTACATTTAATTTCCATATATTTGAGACCTTAAATTCTTATAACAATAGTAGTGTACAATAGCCACAAATCAGTGCACAGTTAGGCATGCTTGTCCCATGGAAGGGAAGATTCACACTACACATCTGAGGCACGGTCAGTGCATATTTAAAGCACATGACTTTCTCCAAGGTATCCTGGGTGCTGTCGTGTCCCTTTCACAGAGCTAGAATTCCTAAGACCCTTAAACTACAGTTCCCAAAATTATTTGGGGGAAGTCAAGTGCTTTAAATGTGTGTTAGATGTGCTTTTAATGTGTGGTGTGGATCTTCCCGAAATCATTAGGGAGGGATTGAAGGTGTACAAATCTGTATGGGATTATGACCAGTGCCTCATAGTGGCACACAGATAGATTTAATTATAGGGCCATAGGGTTGCATCGAGACTAAAGTTAGTTGCAGTTAAGTTCCATTGAAATCAATGCAAAAAGTTGGTTTCAGTTCATTCAAGTTCCATTGATACAGTGTAACTAACATGGTCTGGATCCAAACCATTAGTTTTCAAAATACAATGGTACCATACGCTTCAGGGTACATACGCTTCAGGTTACAGACTCCACTAACCCAGAAATAGTACCTCGGGTTAAGAACTTTGCTTCAGGATGTGAACAGAAATCGTGCTCCGGCCGCGCGGCGGCAGCAGGAGGCCCTATTAGCTAAAGTGGTGCTTCAGGTTAAGAACAGTTTCAGGTTAAGAATGGACCTCTGGAACGAATTAAGTACTTAACCCGAGGTACCACTGTACCAACAAGAAACCATCCTTTTTCAGTTGATTTATTCAGTTAATTTAATTGGTTAGATCATGGGTAGGCAAACTAAGGCCCGGGGGCTGGATCAGGCCCAATCACCTTCTAAATCCGGCCCGCAGATGGTCTGGGAATCAGCGTGTTTTTACATGAGCAGAATGTGTCTTCTTATTTAAAACACATCTCTGAGTTATTTGTGGGGCCTGCCTGGTGTTTTTACATGAGTAGAATGTGTGCTTTTATTTAAAATATCTCTGGGTTATTTGTGGAGCATAGGAATTTGTTCATTATTTTTTTTTCAAAATAAAGTCCCGCCCCACACAAGGTCTGAGGGACAGTAGACCAGCCCCCTGCTGAAAAGGTTTGCTGACCCCTGGGTTAGATTAATCCAATAAAACTGCTTCTGGTGTATGAAAAGATGCCCAGCATCAATTGGATGATGATGATGACGACAACAACAACCATAGTAATAGTAATGATGGAGATGATAGTGTATAGACTATGATAATGATGGTGATAATGATGTAAGTATATAGACTAGTAGAGGGAGGCTGGGCAACTCAGCTAGTTTGGGTGAGAGATCTGCAGCAATACATTTCCTAGAATCTTTTTCATTCCACCTATTGTTATAAGAATTTTGTGACTAAGGGCTAGTGTCTGAGTTTACTTTCTTCTTCTCTACCAGTGCCTTTTCTTCCTGTATTGTATCTTTCAAATGGTAAGCTTAAAGCAACGACTGTCTCATTTCCAATCTTTCTAAGTCACCCTGGGAGCCACTTTCAGTGGAAAAGTGGAATGTGAATGCTTTAATTAATTATAAAAACAACAGATTGCAAACATGATCTCTTCTGCCTTGCAGGAGGGCATATCTCTTCTAAGAGCTTGCCTTCAACACATACTCTGATAGTGATACAAAATAAGCTTTCTGCAGTAGATCAGCAACGGATTAAAGAAGCCAGTAAAATTAGAAGCATTTATATTGTATATCCCCTTCTACAAGCTTTCCTCAGTCTTTAATCGAAGACCCTGTTCCCAGATCACCTAGAATCCACCGCGTGTTCCCACGGTTTCACCTTTCCTGCTTTTTGAGGACTCTGGCATTTTCTAGATTATTTTTTAAATTGTTTTCCAAATTTAAGCCTAAACCCCACAACAAATTCTATTATGTGCTGTATGTTGTCCAATTTATTCCCAATCTTTAAACTGCAAAAAAACCAAAACCACAACCATAAAACATGGAGCGATAATTTCCAAATTTTTATATACATTTTAAAATTGATTTCAAATACTTTTGATTGTCTAAAGTAAAAAATGGACACACTTTTAAAAATATCTCAGAGCTGCTAATGTCATTAAATAAGTGCACTTTTATGAGCATTTACCACCACAAAGCATTTGGGTTTCTGCAAATGGAATAGAAAACAAGACCCCAGAAGATGACAGTTAATGGGATAGAGATTAATAAAATGTGTATCACATATTATTGCCTTTTAAAATTAACATAAGAAATGGAGAGATGCATGGAAGAAGACATGACAAATAAAAGGATAAGATTATTCCTTCTTTCAGCTGTGAAATCCTAGAGGACATTTGTTCCTCGGCCACTCGAATCCAGAGATAACCAAATTACAGGACTGTAGTTGTGTTATGTGCACAACATTTGTCATGGGCATATTTAACAGGATTTCCTTTGGTCAACGTAAGAAGGGCAGGCTAGGTCAGGCTACTGGTGGCCTATGTAGTCCAGGACGCAAGGGAGAAACATGCTAAGAGGAAGGTACGCTTGGCAAATCCACACCGTGATCAACTCCCACCCGGAAACCAATGTCCCCACTGTGGAAGGACGTGTGGATCCAGAATTGGCCTCCACAGTCACTTACGGACTCACTGTTAAAACCGTGTTTATGGACCAAAGACTTTGGGTATAATATACAGTTAAAAGATTGGGGAAAATTGTGGAAAGAAGGATTAAAGGACTGCATGCAATGCCTTAAAAGAAAATGTGATGAAAATGATGTACAGGGGGTATATTACTCCTGTGAAATTAGCTAAAATGTATAAAGTTAGTAATAAATGTTGGAAATGTAAAGAAAAAGAAGGAACATTTTATCACATGTGGTGGGAATGTAAAAAAGTGAAAAACTTCTGGGAAATGATATATAATGAGATGAAAAAGATGTTGAAATATACATTTATTAAGAAACCAGAAGCATTTTTACTTGGCATTGTAGGAGATGATATAAATAGAAAGGATTGTTTTTATATGCTATGACGGCGGCAATAATACTATTGGAACAAAAAGAATTACCGACAAAAGAAGAATGGAGGATGAAATTGATGGACTATGCAGAATTAGATAAATTAACAGGAAGGATTTGAAACCTGTGGGACCAGAGATTCTCAGAAGACTGGAGTAAATTTACGAACTATTTGAAAAGCGACTGTGATGAACAGATTACGCTAGTAGGTTTGCAAGAAGTTTTGTAAGGTGAATTATTTGAAATATTGCAAGAAAGATAATGAGGAGAATTATTAGTTAAGGACAATTAAAGGTAATATGAAGTTAAGAAATGCATAATAAGTGATAAAGAACGAAAAATCATCAGAGGTGTTGACCGAAGTTTAAAAATATTGTATAAGAGAAGTTATGTTGTAAGACTGTTGGAACTGATATGTTAAAAAATTAATAAAAATGTGTGTGTGTGTGTGTGTGTGTGTGTGTGTGTGTATGCAGTGGTACCTCGGGTTAAGAACTGAATTTGTTCTAGAGGTCTGTTCTTAACCTGAAACTGATCTTAACCTGAAGCACCACTTTAGCTAATGGAGCCTCCTGCTGCTGCCGGAGCATGATTTCTGTTCTCATCCTGAAGCAAAGTTCTTAACCCGAGGTAATATTTCTGGGTTAGCGGAGTCTGTAACCTGAAGCGTATGCAACCTGAAGTGTCTGTAACCCGAGGTACCACTGTGTGTGTGTGTGTGTGTGTGTGTGTGTGTGTGTGTGTGTATATAACCGTGTTTATTGGAAGACAATCTTACTTGGCTACGAGGGATGGCCTAAGATGTAGTCCAGCATCCTGTTCTCACAGGGGCCAGCTAGATGCCAAGGGAAAACCCAAAAGCAGGATCTGAGCACAACAGCACTCTCTCTCCTCCTTTGGGTTCCAGCAACTGGCTTTCAGAGATGTACTGCCTCTGACAGGGAAGGGAGAGCCTAGCCATTGGGGTTAATAGCCACCGATAGCTTTACCCTCCATGAATTGGTCTAGCCCTCTTTTAAAGCCATAGCTCACCTGGTAGCGCATGAGACACTTAATCTCAGGGTCATGGGTTGGAGCCCCACGTTGGGCAAAAGATTCCTGCGTTGCAGGGGGTTGAACTAGATGACCCTTGTGGTTCCTTCCATCTCTACCATTCTATTATTCTAAGTTGGTGCCCATCAGTATCTCTGGTGGGAGTGTCAGATGCTGGTGGGGGTTGCTCGTGAGTAACCAGGCAGGACCTGTCTTTTATAGGTTTTATTGTGCAAACTATTTACAGTGCAGATCTACCAAGTTCATGTCCGTCTTAGTCACTTGCAGAATCCGGGAGTGCCCCCTTCCAGCTTCTCCCCCAACATAAGAACTTCGGCACCCCAAGGCTCCTCCTCCCCTCTTTGCATTTCACCCTTCTGCGCAAGCTAGGCCACGGAAGTGGCGTGCGTCCCTCCTGGGCAGCCTGGCCAGGTGAGGCACTGGGACTCTCCGCAGCATCCTTGAGCCCTTTCCTCGCTTGGCTGGCCCCTTCCCTCTCTTCCCCACTGGAGGTGTGGCTTTTCCCACCGCTGGAAGAGGAACTGCTCTCTGTATCCCAACGGCCCCCCTGCCTCCCTCCCCTGTTCCAGTGGCAGTCCCCTGACAGGGAGCATATTCCATAGTTTAACCATGAGGTGTGTGAAGAAGTCCTTCCTAGAATTATTACAACGACTTCTACCTTTCGTGCCCTTATATTATTATTTCTTCCTTCTGTCTGTTCTGAATTGTCTTGACATTCAGAATCATTTGATGTCTAGAGCTTTGAGAGAGAAGAAAAACCACCTGTTCACTTTTCCCATGCCATGCAGAAACTTATATACACCTATCATGGTGCCCCCTTCTTGCCTTTTCTCTAAACTAAGACGTTCCCCCCCCCAAGTTGTCACTTTCCCTCACTGGGGAGTTGCTCGGCTCCCTTGATGGTTTTGGGTTCCCTTTTTCAGAACCTTTTCCCCAACTCTGCAATGTTCTTCCTCAGGTGAGGCAGCCAGAACTGTACACAGTATTCCAAGCGCACACGATAGATTTATACAGTGGTACCTCGGGTGGCACTGTGGGTTAAACCACAGAGCCTAGGACTTGCTGATCAGAAGGTCGGTGGTTCGAATCCCTGCAACGGGGTGAGCTCCCGTTGCTCAGTCCCTGCTCCTGCCCACCTACCAGTTCCAAAGCACGTCAAAGTGCAAGTAGATAAATAGGTACCGCTCCAGCAGGAAGGTAAATGGCGTTTCCGTGCGCTGCTCTGGTTCGCCAGAAGCGGCTTAGTCCTGCTGGCCACATGACCCGGAAGCTGTACGCCGGCTCCCTCAGCCAATAAAGCGAGATGAGCGCCGCAATCCCAGAGTCGGTCGCAACTCGACCTAATGGGGTCCTTTACCTTGGGTTAAGAACTTAATTCGTTCTGGAGGTCCGTTCTTAACCTGAACCTGTTCTTAACCTGAAGCACCACTTTAGCTAATGGGGCCTCCCGCTGCCGCCATGCAATTTCTGTTCTCATCCTGAAGTAAAGTTCTTAACCTGAGGTAATATTTCTGGGTTAGCAGAGTCTGTAACCTGAAGCGTCTGTAACCCGAGGTACCACTGTATTGTTATGAGTTCAGGGAACCCCTGGAATCTTGCACCGCTCGGAGCCTGGGGTGGCACACAACCATATGTTGTATTGAGGCAGAACTGGGCATCCGTTGCCCTTCTTGGCACAACTCACAACTTGGCTGCTTTCGCAACGTCTCCGGAGCCTGCCAGCGGTTGCTTTGCACCTGACATGCAAGCAAAATGGTTTTTAAAAAAAAAATTTAAAAACCTGCCCCGTTTGCCTGTTAGTTTCAAAACTGCCCTGTCAGCTCAGGCATGCGCTGGCTGGCAGGCTGAATTTTGCAACACCACCTCGAGCCAAGAGTTTTTGCTAAACTCCACTTGCTTGCTTCCTTTCCTCTCCAGCCCAGGAACCCAAGATGTTTTTTTCTGCCTTCTGAAACTAGAGTTGGATCTCATCCTGAACTGCGTCTCTGTGTGTGGGAAATAAACACCATCCAAGCCAGGGAACAAATCTGTCCTTTGTGGCTTACTGAAAGTGAGGGAAACTACTGGATTTTGACCCTGAATCCTCCTCCCACTTCAGCCTCTCCTCCTTCCAGTTGCCTCCTCTAACAGCTTCTTTCTCTCAACACTCCCCTTCTCCGCCCATTCAGCTGGTATATATAGCCCTTCAGAGCAGACCTCAGAGTCTGTGCGCCTCCTTTTTTGCTGCTGAATTCCTCAGAATCTGGAAAAAGGGAGAAGCAGAGGACTCCAGTATGGGTAAGAGAATAACCACCTCTTTCTGCTTTTCACCCAGCTTTGTGATCTGTAGGAAAGCGGAGCTTGCCCTCCTCCTGATTCTTATGTAGCTTCTAGCTACATAAAAATCAGAGAACATGCTCCTGTTTTACGGTTTTTTGCTCTGCAATCCTGTACACACAAGCCTCCAAGTTTACATCTTGGGGGGTTGAAAGTGTGTGTGTGTTTGTTGCTTTTCTTTTGCAGCTTAACCAGCCAAACTTGTGGGCGCTGGTATGGTTTCTGTCGCACGACCTTTCCATGTGGTCTCTGGTTTGGGTTGCAAGTTCATGCATGTTTCCTCGGGAGTAAAGCCTTGTGGAGAGGTTTGCTTTTAGGTAAACGTGCCCGTCTTAAGCGGACTGCGCAACTTTTACCCCCGCAGGGGCAGTCTGGAGAGTACATTCCATAGAAATCCATGGGGCTTCCAGGAAAATACGCTCTCCAAGTACAATATTTTATTATAAATACACAACCTCATTATTTAATATGCTGATGACAGGACGTTAGCTGAAAGGCTAGGGAATACCTTAAAAGAACTGATTTGACTGGTTCAGCAGGTTTTGCTGGCATCCGTCTGTCTCGGGAGACAGTGGAAGAGTCACCATTGGGGTTAAGTCAAACCGTTGGAGAGTTACAGCGCTTGCTGCGGCTGTAGAGAACAATACAGGAGAGACATGTTTTATTGCAGCCGGGGCAGATAAAGGCACCCAGTTTTGCTGCTACAGGTGCACCATGGCTTTTTATTCTCTCTGCGCTCCTCCCAGTGGTCATTCTCCTCTGGTCATTGCTGTGGATTCAGCAGGTTTACTCTTATGGATTCTAACCTCACAGATACAGAATCAGAGGCTTGAAAGAGACCCAAGCATATCATTTAGCAGGTTCCCCCAAATCTGGGTCTCCAGATGTTTTCGGACTACAGTTCCCATCATCCCTGACCACTGGTCCTTCTAGCTAGGGATGGTGGGAGTTGTAGTACAAAACCAGTGGGAAACCCAAATGTGGGAAACTGTGGTCTAGATCGATGCACCAGAACCTATGACATTTTAAATTTGACATAAATATGTGTGTGTGTGTGTGTGTGTGTGTGTGTGTGTACACACACACACACACACACACACACCCCTACAGACATGTAGGTTAAATAAAACATGTTTCCTCAAAAATACGTTTTTTTGTTTTTGTTTTACTGAGGCTTACTTCCAAGTAAGTATGCTTAGGATTGAGCTTTAATATTTTTCATAGCCTGTGAGCAGTAATTCCACTTTGAAACTCCTGCCCAGTCCTGTGCATGTTTACATGGAGATAAAGTTTCAATGTTTTTCAACAGAGTGTTCTCGTTTTTTGCTTCTATCTTGCATAGAGAAAACTATGGGCAAATCTGCATAAGTAGTGAGATTTTAGGGCCAGCAGATGAATTGCGCAAGGTGCCGCTGGAATGGAGAGACAGGCCTTTTGAAAGTCCAAATACAAAATCTGGAAGATCTGGAAAGTGCAGACTGGTCATGCACCATGATCTGTTTGTGCCCTGCTTCCCCAAAAGCCAGCCTAAAACACCTAACAACACGATATAAAATTGTATACAACAATATCAAAAGAGAATCAAACAATCTGAAAAGTGAATAAAAGTGAGAAAGTAAGCCTATAAACAATTTGCAGACTCACAACGGTGGAGGGGACCTTAAAGTTAACCTTGTCCAACCCCAGTCTGATTTTTTGATACTGGGAAAGATGGCAAAACAGGTTATAAAGTGATCAGTTTGTTCATGCTTGATTAGTAGGGGCATAGCTGTCAACTTACAGATTTGAAAATAAGGGACCAGCAGCCTCGAAAATAAGGGATCAGCAGCCAAAATAAGGGACCAACAATTACTTTGATAAAATACATATTTTGTTGCATGCAAATGACTTTAGATACCTATTAGGTCCATAAATTACCATATAGCATATATTCAACACACAAAAAAGCAACAATTTGTTGTTGACAAAGCACAGCTGGAAATAGAAAGGGCCCCATTACCTTCAGTAGCTTATTTAAGGGACATCATCAATAAGGGACAGCAGTGGGACATGGCGCTGGGATAAGGGACTGTCCTGCCAAATAAGGGACACTTGACAGCTATGAGTAGGAGCAAGCATGGATTTCTTAGGAATAAACCCTGGCTGATTAATCTTGTCTCTCGCTTCTCAAAAATCAGGTTATTGTAGGAAATGCACCAATAACCTGATTCGTGTATTGTGGGAATGCTGTGGACATAATTTATCTTTGCTTCAGCAACACATTTGACAAAGACCCCCATAATATTTTGTTTAGCAGACTAGTTAAATGTGGGCTTGATGGCTTTGCTCTTCGGTGCTTCTTCATCAAACTGGAGGAAGGTTTTCACTGGGAGTGCCACGCAGCTGTCCTGGGCCCAGTACTTGTTTAAAAAAAATTGTTAGTGACTTAGATGAAAGGGTGAAGGGAATCTTTATCAAATCTGTGGATGACACAAAGCTGGGAGGAGTAGTGAATGCTGGGATAAAATTCTGGTATTACTGTACTTTGATAGAATGGAAATTCAGCAGTGGTAGATGCATTTAAAAAGGGATGCGGGTGGCACTGTGGGTTAAACCACAGAGCCTAGGACTTGCCGATCAGAAGGTCAGAGGTTCGAATCCCCGCGACGGGGTGAGCTCCTGTTGCTCGGTCCCTGCTCCTGCCAACCTAGCAGTTCAAAAGCACGTCGAAGTGCAAGTAGATAAATAGGTACCACTCCGGCGGGAAGGTAAACGGCTTTTCCGTGCGCTGCTCTGGTTCTCCAGAAGCGGCTTAGTCATGCTGGCCACATGACCTGGAAGCTGTACGCCGGCTCCCTCGGCCAATAAAGCAAGATGAGCGCCGCAACCCCGGAGTCGTCCTTGACTGGACCTAATGGTTAGGGGTCCCTTTACCTTAGATGCATTTAGGCAAAAAACAAACAAACAAGTATGCAATGGGAGATACCAGGCTTGGAAGCAGAACATGTGAAAATGATCTTGGGACTAATCAATCCCAAGCTGAGCCAGCCATGTAACACTGCAGCAAAAAAGGCAAATACCATTTTAAGCTGCACTGATAGAATCATAGTTTCCAAGGCACGGAAAGTAACCACTCCACTTTAGTCTGTTCGACTGCTGTGTCATTTTATGGGCAATTAAAATATCTCCAAACTGAAAAGTGAGTTCCTGCAATTTGGATATATCGCTTTAGTTTATTGCCATGATAAGGCCATCTGACACCAGTCGTCTCCTCTTTGCCTTCTTTTGCTTAATCTGTTACTTATTAAATCAAATATACTGCTTTGGGACTTGTTCAGCCCAAATTCCAGTTGAGCCCAAATTCCGGCTCCGCTGGCTTGCTGCAGAAAATTCAACTCAAAAAGTGTCTTTTACAGGACAGTTCTAGACATGCCTACTTTGAGTTCAGCCCCACTGAGTTCAATAGGGCTTACTTCCAGGTAAATGTGCGTAGGCTCGTAGCCTTAAAGACTTAAAGATAAGCCAAAAAAGAAAGAAAAGCCTGTCTGTTTTTTTGCAATAGATATGCAGCAGCTCATAAAACTCGATAAGCTGAGATGAAGCAAACACATTACAAGGGTTTTTTATGTATCATAAAAAAGCATTGACTGCACTAGGGAGTTTTGAAATGGATCCTGAAGAAACCCAAGAGGGAAAGCACATTGTGAAATTTGGAGCAAAACGTTGACAGACCCAAGGCCAAAGCAATGGGCAGCTTACGCAGAGGCCACATTTATCCACTTCTCAGTCTCAATGTTTAAGTGTGACCAATGGCCATTAACCAAGACTTGTGGCTACCCACCGTATTTTTTTTGCAACAAATTCCATGCATTAATTTGGTGTTGGGTGAAAAAAAAAATCCATCCTTTGTCTGTCCAGAATCTGCTGCAAGTTAATTTTGTAGACTTCTGGAGTCAGGTAGTACCTTGGCAATCTTCTGGTGTAAACCTCTATTTAAGGCAGGATCTGAAATGATCTCTTTCAGCTTCTGCCTTCTATAAGAAGGTACAGGCTTATAAAGACCAGGACTAGCCGCCTGAGAAACAGTTTCTACCCAAATGCAATTCTGGTTTTAAACGCAGTATAAGGAGTCTCTATAGTATATTGTATTTTAAAATGGGGTTTCAGAATTTTTAGGGGTTTTTGAATGTCTTATGTAGATTTTTCAGTTTCATTGTTCTGTATGGGACGATGACAATAAAGATGTCGTATCGTAAATGCAGGTTCTCACAATGCTGGCCTCGCAACCTTCTTAAATACTGTATTTTTTGCTCTATAAGACTCACTTTTTCCCTCCTAAAAAGTAAGGGGAAATGTGTGTGCGTCTTATGGAGTGAATGCAGGCTGCGCAGCTATCCCAGAAACCAGAACAGCAAGAGGGATCACTGCACAGCGCTCCCTCTCGCTGTTCTAGCTTCTGGCTTCGCCGTGCAAACCCTCTTCAGGCTCTGCTCAGCGTTCCCTTTAAAGAATATTTTTTTCTTGCACTCCCCCTCTAAAAACTAGGTGCGTCTTATGGTCAGGTGCGTCTTATGGAGTGAAAAATACGGTACCTCCAGATTCTAGTGCTATGGTGAGAAGGATAAAAGCTTTTTTCTGGATCAACTTCACACACACACACAAACACGAAAGATATTAGAGTGCCTTCTAGGGTTCACTGTCAAGTCACACAGCAAGAAGGTTTGGCCGCTGAACTAAAACATGGGTGCACCTTGCAACTTTTCCCAGGACAGATTGCAGCTTGCAGGAGTCCTGCAGCAGGGGCAGGACATTTTTGGAAAATGTTATCTTTGAATAGCTTCCCCACCCTAATCTCCAGATACTGTTTTGCTTCAACTACAGCCCCCGCCCTGACCATTGGCCATGCTGGCTGGGGCTGATAGAGTTCGGAGGGCACCACGTTGGGGAAGGCTGGCTTAGGATGTTTTACAATGACCCCGCGTCAGGCTCTTTGGGTCGGCGCCCGATCTCTTGCGTGACAGCAGCTGCCTAAGAGGCTTAACAGGACACTCCTAAAAAATACAATTTAGAGTGTGGGGTGTGTTTTAGCACAAGTAGCTGCCGGGTGCCAAAAATTCCATTTTCACTCCAGTGCCAAGTTTGTCCATTCCAGAGCTTCATGTTGTTTACACCCATTTCTTGGATCTCAACCAACCTTAAAAGTGGAACTGCTGTGTGGATCTACCCCAGCTGTGAACCCACAGCCCTACATTGGCAGCTTTCTCCAGAGTAGCCATGCAGAGAGCTAGCAAGAAGAACCTCGCTAGGTCAGGCCTGTTAACGGAGAAACCTGAGGGCTCCCTTGGACAAAAAACAAGGACACCAGCCAGGAATACCAGAGCAAAACAGCAGCCAGTAGGCTTGGTCTTTATTGAAGACTGTCGCGACAGGACTCCCACCTGCCACAAGGTGGAACAAGATGGAAGCCCCGAACAAAAGAGCCCCCAAACTTTTATTTGCTGCTAATCCCCATGTTACACCCCCCCAAACTACATCACTAATACATCACGGTTACATCATGAAAGGGGAGGTCTGGTGGCAGGAATCTGAGCATCCTGGACCCTGCCCCATGGTTCCCCTTGCCCTCCACCAAACACCCATCAAGTGTAACAAAAGAGATATTTACATTTCCCTGTTTCCCAGCCAAGTTAATCACACCCGTTTGTCTTCATCTGGGTTTCTTATTTCTGACATGGCTACCTGTCTGGCACTCAGGTATCAGGATGCCAGGGATTATCACTCAGGCAGAGGGGCTGCTGAGTAGCTGAGCTCACGTGTCTACATGAATTTCTGAAGTTTTCCCAGTGAGCCAGTACAGAGAGACATTTATCAGTGAATTCTTACATTTGGTATCGTGCAGCAAAGGCCCTTTGAATAGATAGGAAGAAACTGTGATGAAGTGCTTTGTGGGGACAAGTCACAAAAGTCACAAAAGTGATTGTGCTGGTTTTGGTAGTGGGCTGCGTGTGCATGACATCTGCTGGAGGGGCAACCCCCTCATTAACCTATACATAAATTCCTACAACAGGCCCAAGGTTCACATAGTAGCCCAGTGTCCTCTTTCCCACAGTGGGATATTCCCAATGGCCAGCCCTTCCATTAGACAGTGTGAGGCAGCTGCCTCAGGTGGAAGATCTTCAGGGATGGGGTGGGGTGGGGGCAAGAGCTCCCTCATGCTTACTGAGCAACCTCATCTAGTGCTTTGGCTTAGAATCATAGAGTTGCAACCTTCGCATTATCAGCACCATGCTCTAACCAACTATCCAGCCTTAGCATTGAAGGAAGGCTTGTGCATGTGCAAAGGGGGGAATGGACCTATTTGATACAAACTTTGGAGGATCCTAATGGCTATAGTCTTGAGGGCTAGAAACCTGGCAGAGGGCCTTCTCGGTAGTGGTGCCCGTGTTGTAAACAAAAATTGCCCTTTTCCCTTATGGGGTACCCAAGAGCCCATATAGAGTCCTTACATAGGTTCCCTATTGGTAGGAGAAAATAACAGAGGCCAGCCAGAGAATATTGAGAAGCAAAGTAGCTAGTAAGCTTGATCTTTATTGATCTGTTGCAACAGGGTCCTCACTCCCTACATGAAGGAGGGAGGAGGAACCCCGAACAATGAAGCACAAGGCCTTATATGGACTTTTGAAATTGCCACCCTGTAGATGAAGACCAAGGGATGCGGGTGGCGCTGTGGGTTAAACCACAGAGCCTAGGGCTTGCCAATCAGAAGGTCCCAGTGGTTCAAATCCCCGCGACGGGGTGAGCTCCCGTTGCTCGGTCCCTGCTCCTGCCAACCTAGCAGTTCGAAAGCACGTCAAAGTGCAAGTAGATAAATAGGTACCACTCCGGCGTGAAGGTAAACGGCATTTCTGTGCGCTGCTCTGGTTTGCCAGAAGCATCTTAGTCATGCTGGCCACATGTCCCAGAAGCTCCCTCGGCTAGTAAAGCGAGATGAGTGCCGCAACCCCAGAGTCGGTCATGACTGGACCTAATGGTCAGGGGTCCCTTTACCTTTTAGATGAAGACCACCCCCAGAAACATCATACATACATCACAGAAGGGGTGTAACCTAAGACCACCCCCCAGATACATCATACCTACATCACAGAAAAGGTGATCTAAAACAAAAATTTGAATGTTGTTTTTCCTGTTTGCCAGGTTATCTGATTGCCTTTCCTGATAGTCTGTCACCCATTAAAATGCTGATTACTCAATTCCTGGGACAATGGGAAGGCTCCCTGACCCCCCCCCCCTTGCAGGGAAAATATTTGGTCAGTTTGGGAATCAAAATGGTTTCAGGTCGGTCTTCTTGTGCTGATCTATGTACGTGCTTGGTTGGTACACGTATGAACATTACCATATATCTAAGACCTCAAAATACCTATCACACATGGCAGAGGACCTTCTCGGTAGTGGCACCTGCCCTGTGGAACGCCCTCCCATCAGATGTCAAGGAAATAAACAACTATCGGACTTTTAAAAGACATCCGAAGGCAGCCCTGTTTAGGAAAGTTTTTAATGTTTGATGTTTTATCATATGTTTAATGTTCTGTTGGGAGCTACCCAGAGTGGCTGGGGATGTCAGCATCGCCCTTGAGCCAGTGCCACTAACTGGACTCATCCACTTCAGCCCCGACTGGGCTAGGCGAGCTGGGTAGCACTTCCAGAGACCATCTTCTGCACAGGAACAGGACTCACAGCTTAGAGTTGTGAGCACTGGATTCACTCCAACAAGAAGACAGTCGTCGCACAGCAGAGTATAGCAGAGTATAGCAGAGCATAAACGACTCGGAGAGCAGCTCTGTAGAATATCTTCTTTTATTCTATCTACAACTATAATACACAACTATGTACAGAGCTAAATGAGGTCTAAATGAAAATGCTGAACTGCACTGAGTGTCTGCAGCTGCTCTTAGCAGCAACCTTATCTATACACACGATCTCTCTCTAACACTCAGTCTCTCTCTCTCTCTTTGATGTGAGGCTGGAGCGGAATAAGTAGAGAGCAGAAACCGCCCCTCCTCTCTGAAGAATCAGCAGAGAACATCAGCAGATTCTTGGATATGGGAGGGGTGAAATCTCAGGGGAGGCCCGGCCAGATGGGCGGGGCATAATTAATAAATTATTATTATTATTATTATTATTAATTCTAATTTTAAAAGAAAGAAGTTAAGGTGTGCAGGAAGTTGAATTCTGCATGGGGAGTCATTCTTTACTCCCTGCATTCCCCTGTCCCAAGATAGCAAACTAAAGACATTCACTCACATTAACACTCGATTGGGAGCCGCCCAGAGTGGCTGGGGAGACTCAGCCAGATGGGCAGGGTATAAATAATAAATAATAATTTATTATTATTATTATTATTATTATTAATCAAAAAGCCTGGGAATATATCCAGGAAAGGCATCTTTTGGGACCAGCAAAACTGTCACCTGCTGATCTTTTAACCATTTCAATTTGCAGCGAAATGCGGAGAGTGCGGCCCTGGATACAAAACGCCATTGGACGCTATGAAAGGTAAGGGGGTGAGGTCTTTGTGGCCACTTTTTATTTTTATTACAAGCATGCCTGTATCTTGCCAACTTTCCAAGGAGTTCAGAGCAAGCTTGCGTACCCGAACAGCGCAAGGGGACCCACAATTTATTTTTTTGCCAGTCCCAATTGCTGGCTACTGTTTGTGTTTGCCAACAACCCTGTACTGGGGGAAAAACCAGTGCCTTGTCTGTGTCATCGTACTGGGATTTGAAGGTAGTGCTTTCTCTACTTCCCCACTGCTTTTTCCTTTTGTGTAGTTCCTGTTCTAGGTTGTAGGTCTGTGGGCTGGGATTCCCTTGTTTATAACTTGTGTGCAGCTTAGTAACGGTTTCTAAATGAGAAACAAGAGCATGGTGAAATCCAATCTACCCATTGGTCCATTGAGTTCAGTAATGTTTATACGCTGATTGGCAGTGGCTCTCCAGCGATTCAGCCGGTGATCTTTCTCTTTCTTTTATATATATATATATAGTATTTTTATTGATACTTGTACAAAAATGCATACCTATCACAAAAATATAATACACTGAAATATCTAAAAAAGAACAGAGGCAGGAAGAATATGAAGAAGAAGAGGAAGAAGAAGAAGATATAAAGGCAGAAAGGAAAAGCATGGGAAAAGAGAAAAGAAAAAAATATAAAAAAAGATTTCTAGTTCTCTGTCCTTCAGCTAAACATATTATTCGCTCATTCTGTCCAGTACTTTTTCAATCTTCAAATCCAGATATTACAAGTTCATTTTCTCTTTCATGCAAAAAGTCCATAAGAAGTTTCCAGTCCTGAGTAAATGTCAATAATGATTTTTTTCTCTATTTAAACACATTACCTTTGCCATCTCAGCCAAGTCCAATAGTTTTATCAGCCATTCATCTATAGTGGGTAGGGCTGTATCTTTCCATCTTTGTGCATATAACAATCTCGCTTCTGTAATCTTACATTGGAGTGAACTTCCATCGTCCTTTTGCAGTTGTGTCTCCATTAAGCCTCATATAAAGAGTTTTGGCTTCAACTGAATATTAAGCTTTAAAATCTACTGCATCCATGTATTTGTATCCTTTCCCTCCTCCTTTTTACACGTCCACCAAGCATGATAAAATGCCCTTCACGTTCTGGGCATTTCCATTAAACATTTGAAACACCTTTATACATTCTAAATAGTTTAAAAAGGTAAAGGTAACCCGGACTGTTAGGTCCAGTCGTGACCAACTCTGGGGTTGCAGTGCTCATCTCGCTCTATAGGCCAAGGGAGCCAGCATAAAGATTCTGGGTCATGTGGCCAGCAGGACTAAGCCGCTTCTGGCAAACCAGAGCAGCGCATGGAAACACCATTTACCTTCCCACCGGAGCGGTACCTATTTATCTACTTGCACTTTGACGTGCTTTCGAACTGCTAGGTTGGCAGGAGCAGGGACCGAACAATGGGAGCTCACCCCGTCGCAAGGATTCGAACTGCCAACCTTCTGATTGGCAAGCCCTAGGCTCTGTGGTTTAGACCACAGCGCCATCCGCATCCCTCTAAATCATGGGTAGGCAAACTAAGGCCCAGGGGCCAATCCGGCCTAGTCACCTTCTAAATCTGGCCCACGAATGGTCCTGGAATCATCGTGTTTTTTACATGAGTAGAATGTGTCCTTTTATTTAAAATGCATCTCTGGGTTATTTGTGGGGCATAGGAATTCGTTCTTTTCACCCCCTTCAAAATATAGTCCGGCCCACCACATGGTCTGAGGGACAGGGAACCGGCTCTCTGCTGAAAAAGTTTGCTGACCCCTGCTCTAAATAGTTTATGGGGAGTTAAATACCAATGGTCAGCCAGGAGACCTACCTGCAGACCTTCTGAGACTCCAGACCCCTGGGACCCATGCATTGCAAAGCAAGCCCTGTACCACTGAAGTGGTCATGCTGATCAGATTGCCTCTGAAGCCATGCACAGCATAGGAAGGACAAAGGAAGCTTCCTTGTTCCATCTAACTCAGTGCTGTCCACACTCTTCAGAGTGCCAGGCATGGGACATTCCCAGCGCTACCTGGATGCGCTAGGTTTTGAACCCAGGACTTGCATGAGAAGCAGCTGCTCAACCACTGAACTACGGCCCTGCCCTCTCTTGGGACTGGTTGCTTACTAATGTTTCAGTTTTCATTTTTGCACGTTTGAGAAATTTAATGAAATTTGCACACACCCCTCCCAAGGTTTCCTGAACTGCAGTCGCAGCCTCCATCCGGGAGTGGCAACTGTGTCCTAACACAGCAATAATAAGGAAATGCTTTCAAGCTAAAGAAACTCCCTCTTTCATTTTTCATTGTTAACGGAAAAATCTGAGGGCTCCCTTGGACAAAAACAAAGACACCAACCAGGATAACTTGGAGCAAAACAGCAGCCTGTAGGCTTGGCCTTTATTGATGTGTTGCAACAGGGTGCTCTCCTCACCCACAGGAGAGGAAGAGGACCCAGAAAAATGGTGTGCAAGGCCTTATATGGACTTTTGAAATTGCCACCCTGTAGATGAAGACCACCCCCAGAAACATCATACATACATACATCACAGAAAGGGTGTAACCTAAGGCCACCCCTCACATACATCACACCTACATCACAGAAAAGGCGGTCTAAAACAGAAATTTGAATGTTGTTTTTCTCCTGTTGTTGTTTATCTCCTGTCTGGCAGGTTATTTGACTGGATTGCCTGGGGAGCCTAGCCACTCTTTTGTAGTGACAAATACTTAGTTCCTGGGCCAGGTCACAGGCTCACACCCTATTCAAACACAGACATACCCTTCAGACAGGATTTGTGAAGGAAAAGACAATGGGGGGGCTTTTCCACTTTGACCTTGCAGAGAAAACATTTGCACAGTTTAGGAATAAAAATGGCTTCAGGTCGGTCTTCCTGTGCTGATCTATGTACGTGCTTGGTTGGTGCACTTATGAACATTACCATATATCTAAGACCTCAAAATTCCTATCACAGCGTCCACATCTGGGCACTGGGCACTGGGCTGTGGTTTATGAGGGTATCATTCTCATGGCTGCAAATATATCTGAAATAATCCTGAACTGCTCTCCTCTGCAGTCTTCAGGCCTTCATACCCCCCAGTAGGTGATATGTTCAAAGAAATATAGACGTTTTCATGTAGGTTTTTACATTATGTAGGACTGCCACTCCCCCAACGATATATTTTTATTGAGTTTTACAGTACAAATTTGAATTCAAACATTATACATCAACATCATCATTTAGAATTCTCTGAATCCTATGACTCTCCTCCGCCCTTCCATTGTTACCATTTTCAATCTTTTTTTCCAACTGCCTTCCTTGTTTTCTCTATTTTTTTAAAACAAATAAACCACTTTCACCATAATTCTTCGTATATTACAAGCATTACTCAAATCCTGCCAAAGTTTGTAGTTTGTTTACAGTGTTCTCTTAAATACATTGTGAATTTCCCCCATTCCTTCTTAAAATTCTTCTCCTCCTGGTTTTTGATTTTCCCAGTCAATTTTGCCATTTCGGGGTAGTCCATATTCATCAGCCATTTGTCTCTGGTTGGAACTTTTTCTTCTTTCCATCTCTGGGCCAGTAGCATTCGCGTTGCTGTCATCGCATACATGAATAGTCATTTCTGCTCCTTTGGATCTCTGCACCTAAAATAGTAAAGGTAAAGGGACCCCTGACCATTAGATCCATGGCCGACTCTGGAGTATTGGCGCTCATCTCGCTTTATTGGCCGAGGGAGCCGGCGTACAGCTGGTCATGTGGCCAGCATGACTAAGCCGCTTCTGGCGAACCAGAGCAGCACACGGAAACGCCGTTTACCTTCCCACTGGAGCGGTACCTGTTTATCTACTTGCACTTCATGCTTTCGAACTGCTAGGTGGGCAGGAGCAGGGACCGAGCAATGGGAGCTTACCCCTTTGCGGGGATTCGAACCGCCGACCTTTGGATCGGCAAGCCCTAGGCTCTGTGGTTTAACCCATGGCGCCACTCGCGTCCCCTGCACCTAAAATACCTAGTAGAAAAGCACCTGGTTTTTCCCTAAATTTTATTTGGAAAATAAAAGGACTGCCAAATTTAATCATGTTAGATTGGTTAGATAGATTGAAAAACATTTTGATTAGCTAAAAAGTCCCCCCTGCCTTAATTCAACAGCAAGTGTTTGAAATATGACTATTATTTTTTAAAAAAAAAAAACACCAGGTGCTTACAAGACCTTCAGATAGCATTGTCTTATGTTACGGGTTGCGGAAGGAACACCTCTTCATAAGATGGTCAAGTCAAGTAACCTTTATTGGCATCACATAAGAACATTCAGAATATATTTAAAATAGATAGGCCAGTTCGATCTTGTCACCACTTCAACAGCACAGTCATTTGCCAAAGGGCAGTAGAGTTGAGCAATCCGCCTCATCTCTGAGGGTTTCCAGCAAGGGCAGGATCCTGTAGCGTACTTCGGCGACAAAAAATCAAATAGAGGAACTTAGTTACTGTCTGGGTGAGCTCCTGGTCTCTCCCCTGTAATAAGAAGCGTATAACCTCTGTCTCTGGTTTCCATGTTGGAATACACAGATGGTCTAGAAATTGTTGGCGGAGATCATCATATATTTTGCATTTAAGGGCCATGTGAGCTAGAGTTTCCACCAGGTGGGCATTGCATGGGCAGATCCTATCTCCTTCTGCCAAACCCGCAAACCTACCTCAAAGGAGGTTAGAAGGATTAGAATTGAAACATAAGATGGTGTTCCCACCTGTGAGAGAGGAGGGATGCCTCATTCCATCCAGTGTGTGAGTGAAGATGGAAGACCTCTTAGAGGAGGCGTGAGGAGAGATACCCCCTCTTGAATAGCATTAGAAAGGGCATTCCTTCCCCATGAGGGAAAATGCCTCTTCTCAGATGGTACTAGACGAAGCACTCCATCCTGTGTGTGAAAAAAGAGTACCTCTTTTTAAATGAGGTACAAGAAGGGGAGGAATGGCACAAGATGAGGCATTACCTTCTTGCCTGCCTCTTCCCAAACTACCCCTGTTGTGATGAATACAGTGGTACCTCAGGTTATAAACGCTTCAGGTTACAGACGCTTCAGGTTACAGACTCCACTAACCCAGAAATAGTACCTCGGGTTAAGAACTTTGCTTCAGGATGAGAACAGAAATCGTGCTCTGGCGGCAGCGGGAGGCCCCATTGTCTAAAGTGGTGCCTCAGGTTAAGAACAGTTTCAGGTTAAGAACGGACCTCCGGAACGAATTAAGTTCCTAACCGGAGGTACCACTATACCTGCATCACCAAAAAGCAAAGTTTCTTCCCTTTCTACCCTTTAGAACTATTTCTCTCCCATGTGCAAATTCATGCATAAATTAATAAACAAAGCTTTTTAAAAATTGGCCTCATTTCATGGCAAATCAGCGATGGCCAGCTTGTGGCTCACGTGAGGGATTTGCCCCCTCGGGCAATATTATCTCATGTCGTCGTTCCCCCACTCCTTTGACCTTGCCAAAGTCTAATGGAAGTCTTGCCCACCGTTTCATTCGAGAGCAAAGCAGAGATGTTCCAAGAAAGACACTGTTTGCATTGTTCGTCACATCCAAACGCAGCGGTGAAAGGGTGAGCTTTTCTCCTTTCCTCATCTGGCTCCCCTTAATACCAGTGTAATAAACAAAAAATCTGCCCTTATTCTCTTATGGGGGACACAAGAGCCCTTATAGAGTCCTTTGCAGGTTCTCCATCGGTCGGAGGAAAAAACAGAGGCCAACCAGAAAATATTGAGAAGCAAAGCAGCTAGTAAGCCTGGTCTTTATTGAACTGTTGCAACAGTGTGCTCCCTTCACACGCAGGAAAGGAGAAGGAGGACCCAGAACCAAGGTGTGCAAGCCCTTATATAGACATTTTAAATTGCCCGCCTTGGAGTCAAAGACCACCCCCAGAAACATCATACATACATCACAGAAAGGGCGGTCTACAGCAGAAATCTGAGTGCGTTGTTTACCTCCTGTCTGGCAGGTTACCTGTTAATGCTTACTTGACTGATACCCTGGGGAGCCTGGTCAGTCTTTTGTAATGATAAATACTTAGTTCCTGAGCCAGGTCACAGGCTCACCCTATTCAAACACAGACATACCCTTAAGACAGGATTTGTGAAGGAAAAGGCAATGGGGAGGCTCCTCCATTTGACCTTGCAGAGAAAACACCTGGTCAGCTTGGGAGTCAAAATGGCTCCATGGCTGCTCTCCTGTGCAGCTTCAGACATGTGGCCTATATATCTATGTACGTCTTTGGCTGGTACATTTATGAATGTTTATTATATACGTAAGACCTTAATTGATTTATTTCACCAGTGTGTTTGCTTCCCTGTTACCCCACTCCCGGTGGCTCATACAAGGTTTTTTGCTTTTGGACAGGCCCCCGGGAAGAGATTGTTTACCTGCCCTGCATCTACAGGAACACGGGAATAAAGAAACCAGACTACCTGGCCACGGTGGATGTGGACCCGAAATCTCCAACCTATTGCCAAGTAAGTATCTTTCAGTGTGCGAAGGCTGGTCACGCAACAAGGCTTGGCATGAGCCGATATCTTCAGGGTTACATTATTGCTCCACAATTGTGTGAGAAGTCCTGTTTGCTTTCCAAGGATAATTCTGAGTTGTATCTTGTAAAAGAAAACCAAAAAGCCCTGACACATCCCCATAGCAAAACCCCACCCTAAAAACACTTTTAAAAGTGCAAACATTGCAATCCGCCTCCTTCAGGCCGTTTCAGAAGTCATCTGTGACAGCTGCTCGCTTTAAAACTGAAGAGCGCATTCTCGCAGAACAAAAGTGGGGGTGTGGTGGATTTCCAAAGACTTCCCCGTTCATTCTCAAGAGGTTCAGATTGCTAAATCTTTTGTTTGCTGTTGTATACTTTGCCACACACTTTGTGGGGCAGTTGATCTGGTCCAGCAAGATATCTTGTCAAAGCTTATTAATTTTGTTTTATTGTATATTTTCAAAAACCTTAAACTGTAAATAAATGTTGCAAGTTGCCACGTCGGTGTATGAGAAGGGTGCGGGTGGGCGAACCTCAGAGTGATAGTTGTGTTTAAAGATCTTTTTTTTAAAAAAATAATTTAAAAAAAATTTTTTTTACCAATCACCAAACACAAACAGTGAAACCCCGCAGGCGGCTGATACACTGGGAATACAATATTCAATAATATACATATTCAATAATAATATATTCAAATTAACCATATGTACACTTCTATATACCTTAACACTCCTCCATCCACAAGGTTTATTTAACTTCTAACATGTTAATTGCCCCAAATTGTTCAAACCTGCCCAAATAATTCAGTATCTTCTCAAACCAATCCTCCTCTTTCTCACTGACCTTAAACCCTTTCATTCTGTGTATCTTCACAGTTAGGTATTCTAAAATTATAATATTCAGTTTTTTCCTCCATTGGTTCACCCCTAGCTCTTCAGCATTTTTCTAGTTACTCGCTATAATCTGTCTGGCTGCAGTTACCATCAATTTTACCCATTTGCAAATGCAGTTGTGTTTAAAGTTCTAAACAACTAAGTGTCCAGATATCTGAGAGACCACCTCCCCCTCCTTCTCTCAGGTGTTAAGATCGACAGAGGAGACCCTCTTGGGAGTTCTGCCACCCTCAGAAGTATAGGGAATAGCAGCCCAAGAGAGGGCATTCTTTGCAGCAGCCCCTAAATGGTGGTGGCTCCCTTTCTGCCTCAAAATCTTCATTGTACAGCTTTCACCGTACGCCAAAGGCACACCTCTTTACACCTGAGATCTATTTTTATTTAACAAAATTGTATACACCTCTAAGCAGTCTACAAGAAATGTAGTGAATGTCAACAAAATCAGTTAAGAGGAAATAATTAAAAACATGTAAAAGATCATTAAAATTAAGCAGTGACAGATTAAAGATCAACATGTTGGGATTGTTGTTGTTGTTGTTTAGTCATTTAGTCGTGTCCGACTCTTCGTGGCCCCCTGGACCAGAGCACGCCAGGCCCTCCTGTCTTCCACTGCCTCCCACAGCTTGGTCAAACTCATGCTGGTAGCTTCGAGAACACTGTCCCACCATCTCGTCCTCTGCCATCCCCTTCTCCTTGTGCCCTCCATCTTTCCCAACATCAGTGTCTTTTCCAGGGAGTCTTCTCTTCTCATGAGGTGGCCAAAGTCTTGGAGCCTCAGCTTCAGGATCTGTCCTTCCAGTGAGCACTCAGGGCTGATTTCCTTCGGAATGGAGAGGTTTGATCTTCTTGTAGTCCATGGGACTCTCAAGAGTCTCCTCCAGCACCAGAATTCAAAGGCATCCATTCTTCGGCGATCAGCCTTCTTTATGGTCCAGCTCTCACTACTTCTTCTTCTTCTTCTTCTTCTTCTTCTTCTTCTTCTTCTTCTTCTTCTTCTTCTTTCATAGGTCATCCATCGCCTGCCCATGCCAAATGTCAACGATGAGCTCCACCACACTGGGTGGAACTCCTGCAGCAGCTGTTTTGGGGACACGACCAAGAAGCGAAACCGGCTCATCCTTCCCAGCTTGATCTCTTCCAGGATTTATGTGGTTGATACAGGCACTGACCCTCGAGCTCCGCTCCTCCATAAGGTACAGGCTTTTCTGGGGCTCACCAGAAACCACGCCCTCCGTTTTGCAAGTTCCTTTGTTGCTCAATGAATCAGAAGCCCTACCAGAGTGGCTCGCAGTGGGTCTTCGCTGTAGTATTTACAAGGCCATCAGCATTGAGGTTTCTTTGCAGCAGAACTAGTCCCTCACAAAATAGGTAATAATGTTAGCACTATGGATGGGGGAGGGACGTGGGTGGCACTGTGGGTTAAACCACAGAGCCTAGGGCTTGCCGATCGGAAGGTTGGCGGTTTGAATCCCCGTGAGGGGGTGAGCTCCCATTGTTCGGTCCCTGCTCCTGCCAACCTAGCAGTTTGAAAGCACGTCAAAGTGCAAGTAGATAAATAGGTACCGCTCTGGCGGGAAGGTAAACGGTGTTTCCGTGCGCTGCTCTGGTTCTCCAGAAGCGTCTTAGTCCTGCTGGCCACATGACCCGGAAGCTGTACGCCGGCTCCCTCGGCCAATAAAGCGAGATGAGCGCCGCAACACCAGAGTCGGCCACGACTGGACCTAATGGTCAGGGGTCCCTTTACCTTTACCTTTATGGATGGGGGATCAAATCCGTTTAGTTTTGCATTTTAATGCGAGCCAAACGGATTCTAACTTTCCAAGTCCAATGCATGAACCGAAATGCCACCACCCTCCAAAATTCACACACTTCTCTGAACTTTGGGACGCAGTTCTCTAACAATGCGTACAAGAATTCAAATGTTAGGCGAAGGTGTGCCTAAAAATGCATATATTAGATAAAACAGCACACAGGAGTGCATTATATTAGGGGAAATTGCTTGCAAAGGTTAATACGTAAGGGGAAATGGCATTTCAAGAGTAACATAGGAGAAATGTATGCTAAAAATATTCCCTTTATGGCAGTTTCTCTTCTCCTTCATTGATGGAGAATGGTTAGGGAGTGAGGAACACACGCATAGAACGTTTTCAGGACAGTACTAGCATTACTTTCTCTGTGCAGAAGAAGGCCCGATTCACACAATTTCTGTCGGTACTGTACCCTTGGAATCATAAGAGCCAGGAACTTAAAAAGCACACAGGAGAGATTTTTAACACCGCAGTAACCTTAGCTTTCTCTGTGCCATCTTTTCCCTTAGGCTGTTGAGCCCGTTGACATGTACTGGAAGTGCAACCTGGCTAATCCTCACACCACCCACTGCTTGGGCAGTGGCGAAATCATGATCAGCACCATGGGAGACCCATCCGGCAATGGAAAAGGTGTTTTTGGGGGCTGGGCAGGCAAAGGAGGTGGGCTGGGCTGGGTTAACAAGAGCGCAAAAGCGAGTCCCAGTCCAAATTTTGAACGGAGAAAATTTCTGTTCTTCCACATGCAGTTTTTTAAATGCAGATTTTCACCCTGCCTTTTATTTTGCATAATTTATTCCAATATTGATGGCTCTGGAGCAGTTTTCCCCTGCCACCAAGCTCCTGGGTGTGTTCATCTGCTTGTTGGGTTTCAACAGGCACGGCTCACAATTCTAGACTGTGTCTTTGCAATCATAAGGACTACAAACTTAACCTTTTTTAAAAAAAAGAAAAAGGCTAGGGCGGGGGGGTGGAAGGAAGCAGAGATAATTGGGAAACTGAAATGTTAGGACTCTTGTGGGCCAGCTTATTATTTATTTGTTAAATTTGTTAGTTTCTTTATCTTGCTTAGGGCAAAGTGACGTACAACCAAGTTACAGCAATATGCACGCATACTCTCTAGGAGAGGTTTTTATTTATTTATTTAATACAAATATAACAAAAAGAAAGAAAAGAAAGGAACAGCATCAGCTCACATTAATATTAAAAATAATCCATCAATCCTGACTTAAACTATACACACACACACACACACACACACACACACACATTATATACATTGGTACCTTGGTTTAAGAACAGTCCGGTTTAAGAACAATTTGGTCTGCATACTCCGCAAAACCGGAAATAGTGTCTTGGTTTGAGAACTTTATCTTGGTCTAAGAACAGAATCCGAATGGTGGAAGGGCACCAGCGGCGGGAGGCCTCATTAGGGAAAGTGTGTCTCAGTTTAAGAATGGTTTCGGTTTAAGAACGGACTTCCAGAATGGATTAAGTTCGTAAACCAAGATACCACTCTATGCGTGTGTGTGTGTGTGTGTGTGTGTGTGTGTGTATACACACAAACACACACAAACACACCGGTCGCCTTCATCTGCAACAAAACATGTCTCTCCTATATTGGTTTCTACAACCTTCCAACAGTTTGACTTCACTCCAAAAGACACACTCCTCCATTGACAGATGGATGGCCAACCAAACCATTATAATCTACATTCAAATGCTGAAAGAGCAGCGTGAACTTCCGACCACTGAGTAGTGGATGGAGCATGTTTACCCTTCAAACCTACAAGTCTTTTTGCAACCCGCACACACACCAGCTGGGATATATCAAATACCTTTTGGGATTTAGAACAATGCATCTTCTTGATGGCAACGATTGTAGCTTCCTGGCAGAGCATCTCCCTTGCATGGAGAAAGCCTCGGGTTCAGTCCCTGTCATCTCCAGGTGGGGTTGGGAGCCAGCCCTGTTTGAATCCCCAGAGAGCTGTTGCCAGTAGGCAGTACTGCCTTAGGTGGACCAACACGGCCTGACTCAGTATAAGGCAACTTCCTGTGTTCCTACGACATCTTCATTGGCTCCCAGTACGTTTCTGAGCACAATTCAAAGTGTTGGTGCTGACCTTGAAAGCCCTAAACGGCCTCGGTCCAGTATACCTGAAGGAGCGTCTCCACCATCCCGGACACTGAGGTCCAGCTCCGAGGGCCTTCTGGCGGTTCCCTCCCTGCGAGAAGTGAGGTTACAGGGAACCAGGCAGAGGGCCTTCTCGGTGGTGGCGCCCGCCCTGTAGAACGCCCTCCCATCAGATGTCAAAGAGAACAACAACTACCAAACTTTTAGAAGACATCTGAAGGCAGCCCTGTTTAGGGAAGATTTTAATGTTTGATGCTGTATTGTTTTTAATATTCAGTTGGAAGCCGCCCAGAGTGGCTGGGGAAGCCCAGCCAGATGGGCGGGGTATAAATAAAAAATTATTATTATTATTATTGACATCAGGGCTTGCAAGACAGAGCTGTTCTGCCTGGCCTTTGGTTTGGACTCAGTCTGACCCTTATGTTTCCCTCCCATTATTATTATTATTATTATTATTATTATTATTCCTTTTTTTTTTTTGTAATGTCAGGTGGTTTCGTGCTGCTGGATGGGGAGACGTTTGAGGTGAAGGGCAACTGGGAAAAAGGGTCCAAGGTCCCTAAGCTGGGCTACGATTTCTGGTACCAGCCGAGGCATAACGTCCTGATGAGCACGGAATGGGGAGTGCCCAAATGCCTGGCAAATGGGTTTAATCCAGCTGATCTGGAGAAAGGTGAGTGCGTCCTCTCTGCACAAAAGCACTATTGAAGCAAAGGGTGGGGGGGAATAATAATTGTAATAGTGATTTTTTAAATTTATACTCCACCCTTCTGTGGCCCTCCAAACGCTGTTGGACTACACACCCCAATCAGCCCCAGCCAGTGTGGCAAACCGTCAGGGATGGTGATGGGTGCTTTACATAGCTGTCAACGTTTCCCTTTTTTAAGGGAAATTCCGTTATTCCGAATAGGATTCCTTGCAAGAAAAGGGAAAAGTTGACAGCTATGGTGCTTTAGTCCCAACATCTGGAAGTCCACAAGGTTGACAGCCATTGCGGAAAAGGTAACCAAATTCATTTCCACGAGGGGCAATCATATTCAGACTAATTTTTCAGTGTGTGGCATTGATATTATTATTAGAATTAGAATTTATATACCGCCCTATACCTGGAGGTCTAAGGGCAGTTCAAAATATGAAACCACAAAATACATCATCAAAATAAAAACAACAACTCAATAACCCCCTCGCCCCCCCAAAATAAAACCACATTTTAAAAGGGCACAGGATGTCAAAGGCCTGGTTAAAAAGGAACGTTTCTGTCTGGCACCTAAAGGTGTATAATGAAGGCGCCAGGCAAACCTCCCTGGGGAGAGCATTCCACAGATGGGGAGCCACTGCAGAGAAGGCCCTGTTTTCATCTTGCCACCCTCTGGACCTCTTGAGAAGGAGGCACATGAAGATGATCTCAGGGTTAGGTTCATATGGAAAGAGGAGGTCCTTGAGGTATTGCAGTCCTGAGCCATTTAAGGCTTTATCGGTCAAAACCAGCAATTTAAATTGGGCCCAGAAACTAATTGGTAAGCAATGCAGTCAGACCAGGATCGGTGTAATATGCTTAAACCATCTTGCTCCGGTGACCACTGGCCGTCTTGCTCCTGGCCACTGAATTCTGCACTAGCTGAAGTTTCCGAACCGTCTTCAGAGGCAGCCCAAATATAACATGTTGCAGTAATCTAACCTTGAGGTTATACAAATAAGAAATTATTTAAGGCAATCTCCCCCGCTCCCTGTAACTGTAGCATATGGACACATTTGTGACAATGAGTAATAGAGACCAAACATGACAAGTATTTATACCTTGAAATGAACTGGTTGTATGTGTCTCCCTTGACAACGTCTCACAAGGTTGTTGAGAAGATTCTGTCTCTGTTTTCCTTTAGTAAAACGAACGATGGCTCGGTTAGCAATAGCATCATGTCAACACGCTTGGTGATTTTGCAAGGGGCCCTGAGACATTTGTTCTGTGTCACAATGCAGAACAACAAACCCCTGTGTTGCAAACTTAACACAACAAACAATACAAGCAACACGAAGACCAGTATACTAGATAGCACTGTAATTCTTATTGCATAATATAAGTGATTTAGTACAACAAAAACAAAATGTGTACCCTTGTAAATCTTCTGATATATTTGAAATCAAATGAACACACCTCTGTCAATCTTTGAAAGTCCGTAGAAGTATAAGTCTATGGTTGAAACAAAGTAAAAGATGCTATCCTGTGGGCTAAGCGGTAAAACTTTTTTAGGCGTTCATGGTGCCGAAGTAGTAAGTGACTTATTATACTTCTACGGACTTTCAAAGATTGACAGACATGTGTTCATTTGATTTCAAATACCGTATTTTTCGCTCTATAAGATGCACCAGACCATAAGACGCACCTAGTTTTTGGAGGAGGAAAACAAGAAAAAAAATATTCTGAATCTCAGAAGCTAGAACAGCAAGAGGGATCGCTGCGCAGTGAAAGCAGCAATCCGTCTTGCTGTTCTGGCTTCTGGGATAGCTGCGCAGCCTGCATTCGCTCCATAAGACACACACACACATTTCCCCTTACTTTTTAGGAGGGAAAAAGTAAGTCTTATAGAGCAAAAAATACGGTGTATTAGAGAATTTACAAGTGTACACATTTTGTTTTTGTTGTACTAAATCATGTGTATTATGCAACAAGAATTACAGTGCTATCTAGTATATTGGTCTTCGTATTGCTTGTATTGTTTGTTGTGCTATTTCACAATGCAGCATTCCTCTATGAAATTATGAGGAGCTGAACACTGAAGAATTGAGAGTAGCGAAAGGAAGGGCTTCTTCACACAGCGCCTAGTTAAAATGATGGAATTTGCTTCCTATGAGAAGTAGCAATGGCTGCCAACTAGGATGGCTTTGCAAAAGGTTTAGACAAATCCACGGAGGACAATAAGGCTATATTCTGAATGGCACTTGCGGGGAATTGCAAGTGGGGAGAATGGTCGTTGCCCTCAGGTCTTGCTTGTGGGCTTCTATCAAGAGCATCCGATTGACCACTGTGAAAACAGGATTCTGGACTAGTTGGGCCATCACCCTGATCCAGCAAAACTCTTCTTACATTGTTAGATGGGAGGGATTTTGTGCACAAAAGAATGTATTTCACAGGCAGCTGTTGTAAACAAAAATTGCCCTTTTCCCTTATGGGATATCCAAGAGCCCATATAGAGTCCTTACATAGGTTCCCTATTGGTAGGAGAAAATAACAGAGGCCAACCAGAGAATATTGAGAAGCAAAGTAGCTAGTAAGCCTGATTTTTATTGATCTGTTGCAACAGGGTGCTCACTCCCTACATGAAGGAGGGAGGAGGAACCCCGAACAATGAAGCACAAGGCCTTATATGGACTTTTGAAATTGCCACCCTGTAGATGAAGACCAAGGGATGCGGGTGGCGCTGTGGGTTAAACCACAGAGCCTAGGGCTTGCCAATCAGAAGGTCAGTGGTTCAAATCCCCGCGACGGGGTGAGCTCCTGTTGCTCGGTCCCTGCTCCTGCCAACCTAGCAGTTCGAAAGCACGTCAAAGTGCAAGTAGATAAATAGGTACCACTCCGGCGGGAAGGTAAACGGCATTTCTGTGCACTGCTCTGGTTTGCCAGAAGCATCTTAGTCATGCTGGCCACATGTCCCAGAAGCTTTGCATGTGCAAAGGGGGGAATGGACCTATTTGATACAAACTTTGGAGGATCCTAATGGCTATAGTCTTGAGGGCTAGAAACCTGGCAGAGGGCCTGCTCGGTAGTGGTGCCCGTGTTGTAAACAAAAATTGCCCTTTTCCCTTATGGGGTACCCAAGAGCCCATATAGAGTCCTTACATAGGTTCCCTATTGGTAGAGAAAATAACAGAGGTCAACCAGAGACTATTGAGAAGCAAAGCAGCTAGTAAGCTTGATCTTTATTGATCTGTTGCAACAGGGTGCTCCCCTCACCCGCAGGGGAGAGGAGGGACCCAGAAAAATGGCGTGCAAGGCCTTATAAAGCACTTTTGAAATTGCCACCCTGTAGATCAACACCACCCCCAGAAACATCATACATCATACATACATCACAGAAGGGGTGTAACCTAAGACCACCCCTGAGATACATCACACCTTCACAAAAAAAACCTGTCTAAAACAGAACATTTGCATGTTGTTTTTCTCCTGTCGCTGTTTATCTCCTGTCTGGCAGGTTACTTGATTGGATTTCCTGGGTAGCCTGGCCATTCTTTTGTAGTGATAAATACTTAGTTCCTGGGCCAGGTCACAGGCTCACACCTTATTCAAACACAGACATATGCTTAAGACAGGATTTGTGAAGGAAAAGACAATGGGGAGGCTTTTCCACTTTGACCTTGCAGAGAAAACATTTGGTCAGTTTAGGAATCAAAATGGTTCCAGGTTGGTCTTCCTGTGCTGATCTATGTATGTGCGGTTATGAACATTACCATATATCTAAGACCATAAAATTCCTATCACACAGCACTCCTCACACACCAGTGCTGGGGGAAATCGAAAAAGTGACCTCTCAGTAAGCTTTACTTTTCTGCTCTTTGTTTACTCTACTTCCTCCACAACCACTGCCTCTTTGAAGGCTGCTACGGTGGCAACATTAATGTGTGGGACTGGACCACCCATGAACTCATCCAGTCGATCGACGTGGGGAAGAATTCCATCCCTCTTGAAATCCGCTTTCTCCACAACCCCGACGCGGCAGAGGGGTTCATCGGCTGCGCCCTCACCAGTGCGATTCATCGTTTCCACAAGACCGCGGTAACAAAAAGGAGTAACGTTTTTAGTAATACTTGAGGAAAGGCTGTGGCTCTCTGGCAGAAGATCCTCCCAGGCACCTCCAATTAGAAAAGGCCATTTCTTTGTAGACTTGGGGGAGAAATTTAAATTCAGTTCACATCAGAAGGCCAACTCACTAAGTTTGCACTTTCTGAAACAATGCATGGACTGAAACGCAGCCTTCCTTTGAAATTTGCTCTTTTCTGAATTTTGCAGTGCAGTATTGCGTACAAAAATGCATATACTGGGGGAAAGTGTACATAAAAATACATATGTTCAGAAAGGTAATACACAAAAATGCTTAATACTGGGGGAAATCGATTTGCAAAATTGTGGATGTTAGGTGAAATTTCATCCAAAAATGTGTTTGGGAGAAATTTGCACTAAAGTGCTGATGAGTTTCCACGAGGACTTTTAAAAAAAAATTCCAAACTGATGTGGGAATGTGGAGAACTGAACTTAAGATGGGGGAAGGGGAGAAAAACAGAATCCGAAATTGACAGGTGCCTAGTTGGATATGGCCTTGGGGAGCGTACTCTGTTGGACTGTTCTCTTTTGCAAAATATTTATTGGTGTACAGTCATACCTCGGGTTACAGCCGCTTCAGTGAGAGCCAGTGTGGTGTAGTGGTTAAGAGCAGTAGTCTCGTAATCTGGGGAACCGGGTTCGCGTCTCCGCTCCTCCACCTGCAGCTGCTGGGTGACCTTGGGCCAGTCACACTTCTCTGAAGTCTCTCAGCCCCACTCACCTCACGGAGTGTCTGTTGTGGGGGAGGAAGGGAAAGGAGAATGTTAGCCGCTTTGAGGCTCCTTCGGGTAGTGATAAAGTGGGATATCAAATCCAAACTCTTCTTCTTCTTCTCTTCTTCAGGTTGTGTTTTTTCAGGTTGCGGACTGCCAAAACCCGGAAGTACCGGAACGGGTTATTTCCGGGTTTTGGTGGTTGTGCATGCGCAGAAGTGCTAAATTGCGCTTTGCGCATGCGCAGAAGTGCCGAATTGCAACCTGCGTGTGTACAGACACACAGACGCGGGTTGCGAACGTGCATCCCACATGGATCATGTTCGCAACTCGAGCATCCACCCTATTTGAGTGTATGTGGTTAGAGATGATAAAATAGACGACATTGCGAAGGGATGTGGCAAGGGTCCCTATGGTAGGGCATCTGTTGAGGCTCTGCACCTTAACAGGGGTCGCATTAACAACAGCCTGGCCCCCACTGCAGACCTTCTCTTCCTCTAAACTGTTGCAACCTGCCTGCTTGTTCACCCACCTCTTGCTCTGGGGCAGACATTGGTGGTGGTAAACAGGAAGAACAGCGATTCCCCTCTCTGCTTCCTCATTCCTTCTCTGCCTGTCAAGTAAGCAGGTCAGCAGTGATGAGGAGGAAGAGGAGCTGCTGCTGGCGGTGTTGAGGAGGGGAACTCACGGAGTGTGTTTTGTCCAAGGGAGCCAGCATTGGAAGTGATGAGGATAATAATAATAATGATAATTTATTATTTATACCCCGCCCATCTGGCTGGCTTTCCCCAGCCACCCTGGGCGGCTTCCAACAGAACACTAAAATACAATAACCTATTAAACATTAAAAGGGACACGGGTGGCACTGTGGGTTAAATCCCAGAGCCTAGGATTTGCCGATCAGAAGGTGGGTGGTTCGAATCCCTGCGATGGAGTGAGCTCCCGTTGCTTGGGCCCTACTCCTGCCAACCTAGCAGTTCGAAAGCACGTCAAAAGTGCAAGTAGATAAATAGGTACCAGTCCAGTGGGAAGGTAAACGACATTTCCGTGCACTGCTCTGCTTCGCCAGAAGCGGCTTAGTCCTGCTGGCCACATGACCCGGAAGCTCCCTCGGCCAGTAAAGTGAGATGAGCGCCGCAACCCAAGAGCCGGCCACAACTGGACCTAATGGTCAGGGGTCCCCTTTACCTTTATTAAACATTAAAAGCTTCCCTGAACAGGGCTGCCTTCAGATGTCTTCTAAAAGTCTGGTAGTTGTTTTTCTCCTTGACATCTGATGGGAGGGTGTTCCACAGGGCGGGCGCCACCACCAAGAAGGCCCTCTGCTTGGTTCCCTGTAACTTGGCTTCTCACAGTGAGGGAACCACCAGAAGGCCCTCGGCGCTGGACCTCAGGGTCCGGGCAGAAGGATGGGGGTGGAGACGCTCCTTCAGGTATACTGGACCGAGGATGCACACACACACACCTCCTCTGCAGTTTGTGACAGTCCTCTCGAGACGGTGGGCAAAGGGAAGTATTTGCAGGCAAAATTAAGTTTTACCAATGGGGGCATCCAAAACGGATCTCCCCACCCCCCAACTTGGTGCAAAAGATCCCTGCTTGCAGCAAAGCACAGTGGGACAAATTGCTGACGGTCCGATTCCCTCTGAACATGTAAAAAGCCAACAGTGCACCGGATCTGTGTCGGCAGGAATAGGCGCCAGTCCAACTGGCGATGGAGTCAAACAGGTGTTGTCAGGCGGTGAGCAGGAGGCTCTGCGATCCCAACGGTTGTCTGACGGAGGCCCAGATCTGCAAGCCGTTCCCTCCCCACCCCACTATGCGCAGTTATCGCCTTTGCATCTCAGGGAGTGAATTATTGATCTTTGGCATAATGGGACAGCGCAATCATTAACCCGCCTGGCTTACCCGTGGTGGTTCATTGAGCCGCCGCTCCCATTGTAACGGCTGTTTGCTCAGGTCTCGTGTCACCTCCGCATATGTCGAGCTGTGTACATACGATTGTGCAGCGGTTCAAGCCATTAAGCTTTCTCTTGTCTACATAAGATAGGCGCCTGTGATACCGCACAAGAGCTGTTTATTCTGCAGTGCGTTGTGGAGTGGCCAAGAGACAGTGGTGATGGAGGAAGTCTCAGCATTCAGAGATTTCGCCTCTGCCCTGCACTCGCTGTCTCCTGCTGCCTCAGCCCTTCCATCTGTAAAATGGGACTAATAATGTTTGGCATGCCTTGTAACAGAGCCAGGCACACTTCAGGTTTGCAGGAACTGCTTTGAGCATTCCTCATCTCCCCCCTTTTTTTTTACCCCTGAGATCCACTGACTGGAACCAGATGCAAAATAGTGGCTGGAGTGGGGTGGGGATCATAAGCGGATTATTCCAACAGCTGGCCTGGAAGCACCCATTCTCTGAGAATCAAATAACAAGATGCCTCTGAGCGCATGCTCAGCACCAGAATTTCTTTTCAGCAGTTGTCACACAAAAGTCCATGCCTGGACCCATCCCCCTCAAAAACTCTCTTCCCCTCACAGCAACCTGATTTAGAAATAGGGTAGGAGGGTGGGGGGACACGGGTGGCGCTGTGGGTTAAACCACAGAGCCTAGGACTTGCCGATCAGAAGGTCGGTGGTTCGAATCCCCGCGACGGGGTGAGCTCCCGTTGCTCGGTCCCTGCTCCTGCCAACCTAGCAGTTCGAAAGCACGTCAAAGTGCAAGTAGATAAATAGGTACCACTCCTGCGGGAAGGTAAATGGCATTTCTGTGCTCTGCTCTGGTTCGCCAGAAGCAGCTTAGTCATGCTGGCCACATGACCCGGAAGCTGTACGCCGGCTCCCTCGGCCAGTAAAGCGAGATGAGCGCCGCAACCCCAGAGTCGGCCACGACTGGACCTAACGGTCAGGGGTCCCTTTACCTTTACCTAGCAGGGTGGGATCCCATTTTGATGCCCCTTTTGTTAAAACAACTGGGTGTCATTTGTTGCTAGCGTTGAACAATTATTGAACAATTGCTGGCATATTGCAAATCAGTCCAAGGGATCAGCTAGTAGACTTTGATCTTCCTTAAGTCTTTTTGCCTCCTCGCAGAGTGTGTTCACACTCTCACCATACATTTAAAGCAACATTATACTATTTTAACAGTAGCTACTTCCCTCCTCCACCAAGAATCATGGGAACTGCAGTTTGTTCAGGGTGCTGAGAGTTGTTAGGAGACACACTTCAATTCCCCTCAAAGAGCTCCAGGTCTCAGAGTGGCTCAATGGTCAAACCCTCTTTCCAAGGCCTGAGGATCTCCTAACAATGAAGCCGTTTAGGGCTTTCAAGGTCAGCACCAACACTTCGAATTGTGCTCGGAAATGTACTGGGAGCTGATGTAGATCTTTCAAGACCAGTGTTATGTGGTCTCAGCGGCTGCTCCCAGTCACCAGTCTAGCTGCCACATTCTGGATTAGTTGTAGTTTCCAAGTCACCTTCAAAGGTAGCCCCACATAGAGTGCGTTGCAGTAGTCCAAGCGGGAGATAACCAGAGCATGTGTCACTCTGGCAAGACAGTCCGCAGGCAGGTAGGGTCTCATTCTGCGTACCAGGTGGAGCTGGTAGACAGCCGCCCTGGATACAGAATTGACCTGCGCCTCCATGGAGAGCTGTGAGTCCAAAATGACTCCCAGGCTGCTTACCTGGTCCTTCAGGGGCACAGTTACCCCATTCAGGACCAGGGAATCCTCCACACCTGCCCGCCTCCTGTCCCCCAAGAACAGTACTTCTGCCTTGTCAGGATTCAACCTCAATTCATTAGCCGCCATCCACCCTCCAATATTAAGAATATATCCATCTGTGCTAAGTGGATGATGGCGTTCCTGTGATTAATCTCCACTGTGGTTGCTCTTTCTGCAGAATGGGACATGGGCGGCTAAGCAAGTGATCCAGGTGCCCAGCAAGAAGGTGGACGGCTGGGTTCTTCCCGACATGCCAGGTGAGTCCAGCGTGGTTTCAGATTTGGGCCACAAGTAGGATTTATCTTGTCATTTTGAGCAGCTTCCCCAACCCACCTACCAGGCCTCTAGAGGCAAGAAGTTCAGGGCAGCTTAAGAGAGTAAGTTCGTCCCAACGAAAGAACAGTGGCAAGAAAAATGGATGAGTTCTGCAGAACTGGCTAAATTGACATACAAACTGCGGGACAAGGACAAGTGCGACTTTAAGGAAGAATGGGAACTTTTTACAAATTTTAAATAATTTTACAAATTGTTTAAAAAGACAACAAAATGAACTGGACTCCTTGGCAGGTTTTGAAGAAACATACACAAATTTATTGGTTGATAACATGATAGATAGACAAGGCAAGGATATGTATAATTTTATAACATGCAGAGAATAATATGTGCAGAGAAATCAGAGAGAGGAGCCGAGGGAAGTCCCTGGTTGGGGGGGAGGGAGGGATGGAAGGGGGGGGGGGAATAATATATGTGATTATATGATTTGATAATTTCTTATGTTGCAATTGCTTAATAAAAATATTAAAAAACAACAACAAATTTACCCAAAAGCAAAGTATTTCTTTAAAGAGAACAAAACAAAACAAAAACTACATCTCCCCCCCCCAAAAAAGAGAGTAAATTCACTGGAGAGAATAAAATATTAGAGATGTGTGATATCTTTGTAGCACCTAGTATATTTCCCCTCCCCCTCTCCCCCCCCATACACACAAACAGGTGACTCACAAGAGTTTAACACTGTGGCTTCTTTTATTACTCTCCAATATTCTCCTTAAGGTCTCATCACGGACATCCTCATCTCCCTGGATGACAAATTTCTGTATTTTAGCGACTGGCTTCATGGAGACATCCGTCAGTATGACATCACCAACACCCAGCAGCCCAAACTGGTGGGACAGGTAAAAGCTGGCTTTAAATGTATGATCAGAGCAAATAATTATTATATATATATATATATATATATATATATATATATATATATATATATTTACCAATTAGGTATTTACTAATAATAATTTACCAATAAGATAATGAACAATTTCAAGAAAAAATCATTTGACTTTGTTGCATACACACTTACAAAAGAAAAAGGCTTTCAACCACCAGCAACACGTGGTAGACTACAGACAGATACTCATTTTTGAAATTGAATCCAAAGTTAATAAACTATTTTGTTTGATTATGCTGAAACCTACTGGCAAGGAGGGTGAGGGGGGAATTCTTTGTTGTTTATTTATAAATTGTATTATCTGCAAAACAAAATAAATATATTTAAATATGTTTGTTTGTTAAATATCCAGGCTTCCACTGGTGTATAAAAAAGGAAGTGTAAACTGTAAATACTGTAAAGTGATAATTACCGTAATACCTGGCAAAGTCACCAATATATGCATGTGTTTAACATCGTACTCCATTTATCAGCATCAGTCAGAAAATACATACAGTGGACCCTCTGGATACGAACTTACCGTATTTTTTGCTCTATAAGACTCACTTTTTTCCCTCCTAAAAAGTAAGGGGAAATGTGTGTGCGTCTTATGGAGCGAATGCAGGCTGCGCAGCTATCCCAGAAGCCAGAACAGCAAGAGGGATTGCTGCTTTCACTGCACAGTGATCCCTCTTGCTGTTCTGGCTTCTGAGATTCAGAATATTTTTTTTCTTGTTTTACTCCTCCAAAAACTAGGTGCGTCCTGTGGTCTGGTGCGTCTTATAGAACGAAAAATACTGTAATTTGTCCCGGGGGTCCGTACTTACCCCCAAAAGTCCGTATCTGGAGGTGCCGTTTCTGCGCACGTGCGCAGTGTGATAGAGCGCTTCTGTGCATGCGCTTCTGCACACACTCTTCTGTACGCTTCTGCACATGCGCACACGGCAAAACCCGGAAGTATACACTTCTGGATTTGCTGCGTTCGTAACTCAATTTTACATTACCCGAAGGTAACATAACCTAAGGTACCACTGTATATCAATCAAAAAATGTAAGAAAAGGAAGGACCTTGCCACACAGCGCATAGTTAAAACTATAGAGTTTGCTCTCACAAAATGTAGTGATGGCTTTTAAGGAAGATTAGGCAAATTTGTAGGTAAGGCTACCAGTGGCTATCAGCCATGCTGACTATGTTCTACTTTCCCTGTGGGAGGCAATGTGCTTCTGAATGCCCGTTGCCAGCGGCTGCATTTTGCCCTAACCAAAAGGGTGACCTGTCTCCAAGGGGCAGCCCAAGGTAGACCCCTTTGCAGTAGTCAATATCTTACCTATCATCAGATGCAGAGGTCACATACCTAGGAAGGAAAACTAGCTAGCAACTAACCAGCCAGATTTTTTTAATTTACACCACCTTGCCAGATGGCCAGTACGGTACGGAGATTGCTGGCTGCGCTGTTTGCCCCTGGAAGCTGGCGACTCTGCAAGCATGATTCCGTTCTGTCCTGAGTCTGGTATATTTCCTTGCAGGTTTTCGTTGGAGGCAGCATCGTCAAAGGCGGGCCAGTCACTGTGGTTGAGGACCGAGAGCTGGACTGCCAACCAGATCCATTTATCATCAAGGTGCATGAGGACCACCACATTCCCCCCTATTTATTAATTGTTTATCACATTTTATATCATGCCTTTAAACCAAGGCACTCAAGAAACCTTCCTTCCTTCCTTCCTTCCTTCCTTCCTTCCTTCCTTCCTCCCCTTCTGTTTTTGCCCTTGTCACTGTTGTTGTTGTTTAGTCGTTTAGTTGTGTCCAGCTCTTCGTGACCCCATGGACCAGAGCACGCCAGGCCCCCCTGTCTTCCACTGCCTCCTGCAGTTTGGTCAGACTCATGCTGGTAGCTTCGAGAACACTGTCCCACCATCTCGTCCTCTGTCGTCCCCTTCTCCTTCTACCCTCCATCCTTCCCAACATCAGGGTCTTTTCCAGGGAGTCTTCTCTTCTCATGAGGTGGCCAAAGTCTTGGAGCCTCAGCTTCAGGATCTGTCCTTCCAGTGAGCACTCAGGGCTGATTTCCTTCAGAATGGAGAGGTTGGATCTTCTTGCAGTCCATGGGACTCTCCAGAGTCTCCTCCAGCACCATAATTCGAATGCATCCATTCTTCGGCGATCAGCCTTCTTTATGGTCCAGCTTTCACTTCCATACATCACTACTGGGAAAACCATAGCTTGAACTATACGGACCTTTGTTGACAAGGTGATGTCTCTGCTTTTTAAGTAGAGTCACTACCAGCATGAAATTAGCATCCCTCGAGCAGCAGATTCTCCACCCTGTTCTTACCATTCCTCCCCTAAGCTTGCCTTGCCTCTGAACAAAAAAACCCCCAAATGCTTTATCCCAGGGGTTCGGAGGTGTCCTGTAGCCCATCATTGTCCCTAACCCTTTTCCCCCCAATTTTTTTTTAATTGATTATCCACATTTATCACAAAATGACATAACAAAGGAACACAAAACACACAACTAAGAAAAACACAAAAGAAAAATACAAAAAACACATTACAATACAATACAATAAAATTAAACACAAAAAGAAGTTATTTCTTCTAATACCTAATTCTCATAACATTGATAACTAACTTCCTCAAATCCTCTCTAACTGAATTTCATTATATCACATTTATAAGCTTTCTCCAAATTCATATTTCTAATAATATTAACTCCTTTCATTTACTAATCTCTTCTCCTTTATTAATATTTCAATCCTTAATGTTTACTACCACATATCCTTATTCTACCCTTAGGCCTATTTGTTACTTCCAAGGATTTTCTATTTATTTTCTATTACAGTATTTAGCTAAATATTCCTTAAATTTCTTCCAATCTTCTTGTGTCTCCTCTTCTTTCTGGTCGTGGGTTCTTCCAGTCAGGTCGGCCGTCTCCAAAAAGTCCAGCATCTTCATCTGCCATTCTTCTTGTCCCTAACCCTTGACCATGCTGGTTTGTTAAACAGTGGAACTCACTGCCACAGGAAGCAGCAATGACCCCCAACTTGGATAGCTTTAAAAGAGGATTGGAGATGCTCATGAAGGCCGTGGATGGCTACTAGTCATGATGGCTAGTCTCTTGCCTCCAGAGCTGCAGGCATGAATACAAATTGCTGGGAACCACAGGAGGGGAGAGTATTGCTCTTCTGTTCAAAACCTGCACCTTGGTTTCCCAGAAGAGGCACCTGCTTGGCCACTGTGAGAACAGGCTGCTGGAGTAGATGGGCCAGAAGGTTCTTGTTGTTGTTGTTGTTGTTGAGTCGTGTCCGACTCTTCGTGACCCCCTGGACCAGAGCACACCAGGCCCTCCTGTCTTCCACTGCCTCCTGCAGTTTGGTCAAACTCATGCTGGTAGCTTCGAGAACACCGTCCAACCATCTCTGTTGTCCCCTTCTCCTTGTGCCCTCCATCTTTCCCAGCATCAGGGTCTTTTCCAGGGAGTCTTCTCTTCTCATGAGGTGGCCAAAGTCTTGGAGCCTCAGCTTCAGGATCTGTCCTTCCAGTGAGCACTCAGGGCTGATTTCCTTCAGAACGGAGAGGTTTGATCTTCTTGCAGTCCATGGGACTCTCAAGAGTCTCCTCCAGCACCAGAATTCAAAAGCATCAATTCTTCGGCGATCAGCCTTCTTTACGGTCCAGCTCTCACTTCCATTCTTCTTACCTTCTTAAAATCTGGAAGGGCACAGATGTCCTGCATCTCTGCTTCACTCTTTCCTCTTGCTCCAAATTGTCCTTCCATGTACACCAAGCAACACAGGATCCTCTGGAGTGTGTTAACATATCTGTTTTTTTCAGGGAAAGAGGGTTCAAGGCGGACCTCAAATGATCCAGCTAAGCTTGGACGGCAAGCGACTGTATGTCAGTACTTCCCTCTACAGCGGCTGGGACAAGCAGTTCTACCCAGACATGGTCAAGTAAGACACCTTTTGCCTGGATATTGTTATATTTAAAAGTCAGGGCTGTAGCCCAGTGGCAGGACACCTGCTTCACATACAGAAGGCCCCGGGTTCAAACTCCACGTTGGGTTGATAAAGACCCCTCTCTAAAACCACGGAGAGCCTCTGCCCCTCTGCTCAAAGCATCTTCTTCACACAGCGCCCAGTTAAACTATGGAATTGGCTCCCTTAAGGCCATGGATGCCTTTAAGATGTGGCTTAGGGCCCTCGTATTTATGGGACCACCTCTCCTGGTCTGCCCCGCAGAGGACCTTAACCATAGTTTCGAGGTCCTGGGCCCTAAGGAATTCAGACTATCCTCCGCCAGGGCCTTCTCAGTGATGGCCCCGACCTGGTAGAATGCTCTGTCCCATGAGACTAGGGCCCTGCAGGATTTAACCTCCTTCCGTCGGGCCTGTAAGACAGAGCTATCCTGCCTGGCCTTTAATTTGAATTCAGCCTGATCTTTTATTTCCCTTCTCTTCCCTCCCCCTCCCCTTTTTATGAAGATTACCCGCTCTGGGATCCCACAGCTAATTCTCCCCTGGCCTCCTCGCTGGCCCAAATAGGACTAACTTAGCCAGCTAGCCTAATGTTTATTGGAAGGATTTTCCCTCTAAATTTATTTTTGATTTTATTGTTATTCACGTTTTATACTGTATTTTATGCTGTTTTTTTGTAGCATCAGTTAAGTGTTTTAAATTTGTTGTTAGCCGCCCTGAGCCCAGTTTTCTGAACCAGGAAGGGTGGGGTATAAAATTTTATTTATTTATTTATTATTATTATTATTATTATTATTATTATTATTATTATTATTATAAAAAAGGATTAGGCAAATTCATGGAGGGATAAGGCTTTCAATGGCTACTATGCTCTGACTTCATGGTTGGAGTCCAGTGATGCTTCTGAATCTCAGTTGCTGAAACTGCAGGGGGGGAGACAGGACTTCTGGGCTTGAATCCTGCTTGCGGGTTCCCATTGAAGCATCTGGTCGGCTGCTGTGAGAACAGGATGCTGGACCAGATGGGCCACTGGCCTGATTCTGCTACAGGACTTCTTCCCTTTTGTCCTTGAAATGATGGTGGCCTTATTTCTGCCTTCCCTCACGACATGTTTTCTCCACTCCCATTTCCCCTCCTCTTCACTTCAGGGAAGGCTCTGTCATGTTACAAATCGATGTCGACACCAAGAAAGGCGGCTTGAGAGTGAATAAAAATTTCCTTGTGGATTTCGGGAAAGAGCCGGAGGGCCCAGCGCTCGCCCACGAGATCCGCTACCCAGGAGGAGACTGCACCTCCGATATCTGGATCTGAGGAAGGCTCCCAGCAGGGCAGAGTGCAGTTGGACCCTTAATGTTGACCCTTTGTCCTTTCTATGTTCCACATATGAAAATTGATCTTGGTGGGGCCTCTAACCAGATTTCCATGTTCTTGCAGACAGGGAGCAAGTGCAGGATGCACGTTCGCAACCTGCAGAGTTCACAACCTGCAGCGGCACGTCTGTGCACACGCAGGTTGCGATTTAGCACTTCTGCACATGCGCGGCTGCCGAAACCCGGAAGTAACCCGTTCCGGTACTTCCAGGTTTCGGCGGGTCCGTAACCCAAAAAAACACAACCTGAAGCATCTGTAACCCAAGGTAGGACTGTAAAGCTTTTCCTGGACTGTACCACTTCAGGCAGTAAGCAGGGGGGTAGCACGTTAGGACGCTCCCACACAACGATAAAAAAAACATATGCACATAGAAAACTAGTACATTAGCAGTAAGGCTTATGATCAGCTTTCTCTATACATAGGGAGTCTGGGGGGAGTGGGAGGGGAAGTATTCCAACATGTAACTCCCCCTTCCTGAAGGCTGAAGTGGAACCATCCATAGCTCATTATGAGAATCTCTGGAACGGTTGTATTACCTGATGCTTTTAATGATACCAAACTGTCCTGCGTGTTTACTGGCCTGCCTGCCTCTCTCTATTGCAAACTGTAGTCTTGCTCACATGATTTATTCTGCACGTGATAGATCATCACACTAGGCCTTGGAGCCATTCAATGAAGCTGAATGTGGGAAGATTCAGGGTGGACAAATGAAAGTTCTCCACCACACAGCGCTGGGAGAGTTTCCTTTCACAACCAATCAGAGTATAAATCTTACGAAATAAATAAACGAATAGCTGAACTGTGGGATGTGGTCCCTGCCAGATGTATCAATGGTTTTTTAAAAGTCCTGGACAAATTCGTGGAGAAGAAGGCTACCAATACCTAGTGACTTTGATGCTGGAGGCAGAAATGTTTCTGAATACCAGTTTTGGGGACTTTCTGGTGTGGAGAGCCCTGCTGCTCTCAGGTCCTGCTTCCCATTGAGGCATCTGGGTACCCAGAGCGAGAACAGGGATGCTGGACTAGAAGGACCTCTGGCAAAAATAAATAAAAAGGCCTTCTCCCCACATGTGCTCCTTAGGAAGTGGTATTCAGAGGCATCCTACCTCCAGTGCACACAGCTATTGTGGCTCTGGATCCGGGCATTAGCTTTGCCCTCGTAAACTACCGTATTTTTCGCTCCATAAGATGCACTTTTTTCTTCCTAAAAAGTAAGGGGAAATGTCTGTGCGTCTTATGGAGTGAATGCGTAGTCCCTGGAGCTGAATTGCCCAGGGGCAAAAAGCAGATCATTCTCTTTTTTTTGAAAGAGGGTGTTGAAACAAAGCCGCTGATCGTTTGCCGATCAGGGAGAGAGATAAGGGACGCTAGAGATAAAGGAGGCTGCCTGGGAGCGGGGAGGTAAATACAGCAGACTTGCAAAGGGGGGAAACAGGAAGACTAAAGCAATGAGGAGAGAAATTAGAAGAAAACGAGGAGTAAAAAACTGCTCCAGCTAAGGAAAAGACACTAAGGCAAACAAGAGGGAAGGGAGTGTTGAAAGGAAGCAGCTGATCAGTAAGTGATCGGGAGGGAGATAAGGGACGCTAGAGATAAAGGAGGCTGCCTGGGAGGGGGGAGGTAAAAGCCCATGGATCCTCCGGATTTTTGCATTGGGTCACCCCAGATTCACCATCAGATCACATAGCATGTCCATGGCTACAGCCTGCACCAAAAAAATCACGCATCCGCTGTTGCGTGGGGCGGCGCAAAAACGTGGTTACAAAGCACGGTTCCACATGGATCCTCAGGATTTTTGCATTGGGTCACCCCAAATTCACCATCCAGTCACATGTCTGTGGCCACAGCTTGAACCACAAAAACCATACATCCACTGTTTCGTTCAGAATATTTTTTTTCTTCCTCTAAAAACTAGGTGCGTCTTATGGCCAGGTGCGTCTTATGGAGCGAAAAATATGGTGCTTCCTTCCTACCGCTTACTTGGATTTTAACGTAGGGTTACCAGACATCCCCGGTTCCCGGGGACAGTCCCCAGATTTGCAAATCTGTCCGCGGAAAACGTGGCAGCGGCAGCCTCAGCAGCCTGGAGCCAGCCTGGTTGCGCAGTTGGCTCTGGCTGGCTTCAGGAGATGCTTGCTGCCACTGCTGAGGGGGAACCGGGGGCGTCCGGGGATACAGATTTCCTGCCCCCTTCCCCCTTTGTTTTGACAGATCGGGGGAGGCTCAGGAGTTGCGGGTGGGCGGCCGTTGCCCAGGAGGGGTGCAAGGCGCGTGGTTTCTCTGCCAGGCAAGGCGCAAAGCCCTTCTTTCGCACCCAGCGAAACATAAATGCGCAGAGTTTTTAAAAAATTGGGCAACGGCCAGCCACGACTCCTGAGCCTCCCCTGATCAGTCAAAACAAAGGGGGAAGGGGGCAGGAGATCAGGGGAGGCTCGGGAGTCAAGGGCGTGTGCCACGCCATTGCCCAGTTTTTTAAAAACTGCGCATTTATGTTTCACAGGGTGCGAAAGAAGGGCTTTGCACCTTTATACAATATGCATGTGTGCTTGGGCCCGGGGTCTTTTGCCTCACCATCTCCACTACTGACTCCCTGTTGCTACTCAACTTCTCTCCCCTAAAAAAATTGTCCCCGGATTCATTGAAAAAAATCTGGTAACCATATTTTAACGTTCCGTCTTCTTTAAATGTGTCAACAGGACCCAAAAGCTAATGGATTTTTTTGAATGTATAAGGTTTGGACCCAAGCACAATTTGTTTCTCATCCTTCATCATTACTGAATGATGAAAATGTGTTAAAATACCCACAGTCTACAGCAGCCTTTCTCAAGATGCTGTTGGACTACAACTCCCGTCATCCCTAGCTGGCAGAACCTTTGGCCAGGGATGATGGGAGTTGTAGTCCAACAACATCTGGGGACCCAAGCTTCAGAATGGCAGTGAGATCTGAAATTACCGATGCTCCCTGGCCAAAAATGAATGGCTCGCGCTTTATTTGGTAACTACCATTTTCTGCCACAAGAGGTCACATTCGTATTTTACCACACGCCATTTAACTAGGGGCTCTGCCTGCATCCACAGTACTGTACATTACTGCTTTTAAACCAATTTGATGATAAGTTCAACTGTGTTATCATGATCAATAAACCTAAGGAACATGGTCTTCACCAAAAATTATTGGAATTCATAGTGAGGCTACAATCCCCAGGGAGAGGTTTCAAACTGATTTAAGGCCTCCCTCAGACATCCTTTTTATAATGCTTATCTGTGCTTATGATAATACTGAGGTGGTTATACACAATTACAATTCTGTTTGCACCTGCAAACGTTTTGGAGAGGACATAACTGCTCTTGTTCCAATCGTTGCATGTCCTGTAACTTCCAGCTTGAAATCCTGTAACTTTTTATTAGAGAATGTTTTCAAGACACAGTAAGCTGCAGGCATTCCTGTGGAAATTGAGTGCATGTTTTGGATAAATTTATAAAGCGTTTTAACAAATAGCAGAAGGGACCAGCATACAGTGGTGCCTCGCAAGACGAAATTAATCCGTTCCGCGAGAGTCTTCGTCTAGCGGTTTTTTCGTCTTGCGAAGCAACCCTATTAGCGGCTTAACGGATTAGCGCTATTAGCGGTTTAGCGGCTATTAAAGGCTTAAAGGCTTAGGGATTAGCTGCTAAAAGGCTATTAAAGGCTATTAAAGGCTTAGCAGATTAGATAAAGGGGGGGGAAAGCGAAAAAAAAATCTCTAGACTCGCAAGACATTTTCGTCTTGCGAAGCAAGCCCATAGGGAAATTCGTCCTGCGAAGCGCATTGAAAACGGAAAACCCTTTCGTCTAGCGGGTTTTCCGTCTTGCGAGGCATTCGTCTTGCGGGGCACCACTGTATTAGAAAGGTATGTGAGTCCTTTCCAGGGAAGGTAAGTGACAGGTCAGAATCCAGTTAAGGTGTGTTGAGGAAGGTGTATATTAGACAACTGGAGCTTCTTTTAGGAAACCTCCAAATTGTTGAGCTTTTATATGTCTAAGATCCAGGACAAAGCGCTGCCTTTCAGAAATTCCCCCCCGGGCGTCAATTCTGCCTTTGTCCTCCACTATATAATTTTTACATAATTTTTATTGCAGGGTTTATGCACTCTGATTTTTTTTTAATGAATAGTGGCAATGGTGGTGCTGTGGGTTAAACCACAGAGCCTAGGACTTGCCGATCAGAAGGTCGGCGGTTCGAATCTCCGCGACGGGGTGAGCTCCCATTGCTCGGTCCCTGCTCCTGCCAACCTAGCAGTTCAAAAGCATGTCAAAGTGCAAATAGATAAATAGGTACCGCTCTGGCGGGAAGGTAAACGGCGTTTCCGTGCACTGCTCTGGTTCGCCAGAAGCAGCTTAGTCATGCTGGCCACATGACCCAGAAGCTGTCTGCGGACAAACGCCGGCTTCCTTGACCAGTAAAGCGAGATGAGCGCCGCAACCCCAGAGTCGGTCACGACTGGACCTAATGGTCAGGGGTCCCTTTACCTTTACCAAATATTTTTTTAATAAAAAAATAAGAACCTAACTTTCATGTAGTGTCAAGGGCTGCTGTGACCTCAGCAGCCAATTGACCAATCGCCTCTCCCGTTATCTGTCACATCCCCCACCCCAGCACATCTGAAAACGCTGAGCTCGTATCAGCAAGTCGGGTCACACAGTGTAGATCTCAAATGTTCTCATCCCCAGACGCCCAGCGGGGCTTTCAGACTTGCGTTTCTTGAACGGCAGGCTCCCTCCTTTCAGCCCCCCAACACTTTGGCTCACGTCTTAAGCTTGGGGTGATTTCAGAAGTGGCGATATGGCGACAGGGCGGTTCAAAGACGAATAAGAAGCGCTAATGAACTGCTGAGCATGCATACATATATGCTTGCAGGCACGCCCCACTGCTTCCTGGACCCCTGCCATGCGCTTGAAC